CCAAGCGAGCGAACATTGAGCCTCGCCTCGCCTTGCCTCGCCTTGCCTCTCTTCGTCTCTTTCCCTCTGTCTAGTATCGCGTCAATTGAATTACTGCAAATTGATTCAGATGTATCGATCGTGCGCCTAATCCGCGTACTACCAGCCAACCGGTAGACGTTGATCGATCCTAGCGGTCAAGCCGCGTCCATTAGCGCGGCCTGTGAAAAGCTACGGACACGCTCTCCGTCCCACGGAGGCTGCGTGAAATTCCATCGTTATCGGTATCCGTGCTTTAATGCGGCAACGCTCGTTGGTTATCAGCGTCATTACCGGTGGCAATGGAAAAAACGTCGATCGGTTCGCGTACGCTTCCGCCAAGCCGCGAAGCCGCCAAACAACCGCTCGATACGATGCCCAGAGGAGGGTACCGAGATCCTCTTGAAAGAATTCCAAGCAGCTGTAACGCTTTTCTCACGGTACACGAGAAACCTTTAACCCGCGTTGATGATACGCAAAAATAGAGAGGAGACTGTTCGTTAAAGACGCGTTCACAAGAGCGCGGAACGCGAGAGGAAATAACTTCGATCTTCTAGCCGGGATGGTTTAAAGCGCAGCGCAAACAATTTGTTAGTCGAGCTGCTTAAGGGAAGAGTTTACCTTCTCGGTGTAACCGAGTTAAATTATAAGCCGCACGCCTCGGGGTCCCGATCGAACGGTCAATTGCAGTCATTATGTAAATATTTCACTAAGAAGATGACAGGATTAAGCCGATCCCCCGGACCTTGACGCAATAATCGAACAAGAATGTTCCAATTAAGCCTCGGATAGCTGCTAGCTAAAATGTAGTTTGGTACTTGAAATAATAAATATTCGCACATCGAGCGCGATTAAACGTAATTCCGTAATAGAAAGAAAATTTGTGGACAAGAAGATGATAAAGGGAGATTGGTATAAGCTTAATTTATTCAAAGCGATGCATAATTCATTCGATTGAAACGCAACTAGCCGCTGGTTATCACGACTATAGATTGTTGGTAACGCGACGATGTAATAACAGATGGTTCGAACAACGATCGTCTTCGATGAAAAAGCGACTTTTAACGGTTGGTTGAAGCGTATCGTAGGGTAGCAACTGGCTCTCTCCTTGGAAGGTCTCTTTTTCTTCTTGAAAAGCTTCGCACTTGGTGGCAAGGAGAAAGGGCCATTTGCCATTACCCTGGTCTCTCGAGGTCTCCGGTACAATGCCACGAAACGATTTGCACTTGAATGCCGGGTCTCATCCGTTTTCAGGCCGGATGTAGGTCCCGCCTTGCGCCGGATACGCTCCTCTGTCATCCATCTTGTTTCGTCGAACTCTCTGGTTAATGTCTACCCACCTCTTTTACCTTTTCTATTTTTCTTTTGGCCTGGGTCCAGGGACATTCGTTCTCCGTCGAGCAATTAACTGAAACAGCATAAATTCGAGGAGAACGGGAAACGCGGATCGAACTTTCGCTGTTGGTTTTGTTTGTTCGATGGTCGCCATAACCGTGTCCGCCCACGCGTCTTACCAGCGAACGATACGTCTTTCTGTTTTTTAATGGCCTCTATAAATCACGAGCACGTCGGTTTCTCGAGTTCTTTCATTTGGAAAACTCATTAAGTCTCTGTCGGACGGTTCGCCTCGGTCAACGTTAATAACCGTGTGCCCTTTTATCGTTTGCTCACCGAAAAAGCCCGCGTCCGCGGGCTGGAAAATTCTTTTATTCTTTGAATCGCGAATGAAATTAATTCGAAATTCCTCGTCTCGTAACAACCAACGGCCAAGTCTAATCTCGCAGAGAGCCAAGGGCTAACGTCAGGGAACGAACGAACGAGAAGGGGAGCAGTTTGCCGGTAGACCGACGTAATTAACAAAGTCACGCTTAGTCGAGCCGAGTCAAGGCCGAACAATTGTTTCATCCTCGAACCGAATTCGCGTTGCACCGGCTAACCGAGTCGATTCCAGGCCTAATCTTGTGGCGTGCAACCGTCGACCGGATGTCCCGATGCATTCACAGAGAATACCATGAGAATTAACTGTAGGTACTGTGCAAGATACATGGGTATCTTCGCGTTATCGTTTCAGCCTCGGACACGGATGAACGCAGAACGGGTCATTACGCTCGCGCGTTATCCTGACGTTCGACGAGAGAACTAGGAACGAGGAAGTGGCGTTGCTTAATCGATAATGCATTGTGCCTTCGTACGAATGCGTAACGCGAGGAGTACGCGTTCATTGGAAAACGGCGATGCTAATAACACGGTGGCCACGAACCGACGTTTCTAGTATACGTCCGGAAGATTAAAACTCGCCGAGTTTTTAACCGTTTCACTGGTTAGTTGGCTGGTATCGATCGCTGGGATCGATCTTTAGACCGGTTTCGAGCTTTCATCCAGGCTACCCGTTAGAATCGCGGCTGGTTACTCCGATTCCTCGAATCGCTCGGTTCGTAAGCATCGGTGCTTTTTCGCGTGTGTCACCGTTTATTTGTAGCGCATCGCGAAGAAGCATCGGAAGAGCGATAATACGAAAACACGAGAAGGAATATCGGTAGGCAATTAAAGTCGAGTTAAAGCAATAAATTGCGTGAAACAGCGTTGCGGAGAAGGTGGCGGGCAGCGAGTCTATCGCGAACCGATCAGGAAAGAAGCTATCACGAGTAACGGACGCGGTAGATCCAGCTTCCAAGAATAGAGCGTCCTCACGGAGGCTAACCCCACCTGGAATGCCACCTTCTGCTTTTCATCCTGCTTGCTTTCCCATCGAACGCCGCGCCGGCCATCGAGAACGTGTGAAAAAGCCGCCTCGAAAAAGGAGAAACGAGCAGCCACCGCTAGCGTGCCTCTACCGCTATTATCGCAGCGATACTTTTCTTCATTTTAGAGCCGCCACATCGCATCGCGATGGGATTCATTTTATTTTCCATGGGGATAAACGATTGCAAATCTTCCACTATGGTTATCACGTTGCATGGTATAGACTCGAAAGCGGCGAAATTGCATGCTTCTCGTGAACGAATTATTATAGTTGGATAACACCGTGAACGCGGTCAAGCAACTCGCGATAACCTAGATATTCGACGATGCTAATAAGAACAAACGAATGGACGTACGATTCGCGTGAATTTGCAAATCAGCGTATTTCTTTAATGGATCTTCGATTAAATTACTTTTGCAAATGACCGGCTGAATTTTTGGCGATTGTTTTGTCGGTCGGTCTCTGATCCACGGTACTTTGTGATAACCGGTTCTCGACCGTGGGTATCCGCTCGAAACTCGTGCACCTTCCTTTATCAATCACTCTGGTCCCCTCTTAATGAACGCGGGTAATTGAACGCGCACCTATCTTCCACGGCCAGCGTGTTCTCGATATTTCCGATTGCTTTCGATGCTCAGAAACCGGCTGTTCGCCGGTTGCTGTGCGCAAGAAATTGAAGGAAAAATAAAGGGGATACGGTTATCTCTTGCATTTCGTGAGAAACGTATTGAGTGTCTCAAAACACAAAGCAGAAATGAGCGCATTACGTGGACGTGGTGCTCCTCCGCTCGACCATCGTACGTGCTCGGAATACGGCCGCGTTCGTGTTTAGAACAATAAAGAAAATGGTAAAGCGCGCGCGATACAAAAGCGAGTAGCAAATTCGCGACGAAGCGTCGTCCAAGTAATTGCGACACGCTTTAACGCTCGTTACGATTTCACGCGGTCGCCGGCTTTCGCTGGTGTTCGCTGCCAACGACGAACACTACGAGACAGAAGAAAGGTAATAATCGTTAGGCTCGAGCAAATCGACGACGTTACGTCACACGACCGAGTTTCTAGGACGATTGTCGCGAATCGGTGCTTCGAGCGGCAACCGTTGTCGCGAAATCGAGCTAATTTCACTCGTTTACTCGGTGACCGTTTCGGAAGCTACGAATAAATAAGTCTATGCTCCCCGTGGACGAAGGAGATTAACTCGGTCTACGTCACGACCGTCTACGTCGTTCACAGGCAATTTTGGACCCTTCCGATCACGCTGGGTTTACAATTGGACCACTTGTTTCTAAATATCCTCCGCCAGCCTTCGTTCCAATTCCTCCCGTCCGTTTCTGAGAATCGGCAACGCACCCTCGAGGATGTTCTCACAAAACGCGAACGTTGATTTCGCGAATCGTTCGAAATGGCACGGTTGCCCGAAAAAAAGGATCCGTAGTATGGTTTCGAGCCGCGAGACACCTGGAGGCAGGACTCTCGATCGCGTTTCTCTCGCGCATGGCTACCTGTGGCGGCTACTATCGCAAATATATATCCGTCGCACGTAAAGAAGAAATAAATTGCCAGCGGGCCGTAAAGAAATCCGTAGCGAAGGCGTGCACCATTGGCTTTGGTAGCTCGCCAACGAGGTTAGTGGGATTTGAGATTTTCGATAGCTCCTTCCTACGCGTAGCTGGTGTATAACGTGTCGAGGATAACCGGCGGGCGTTCTCTTCTCGCGTGAACGCGTTCCTCTTCTGCACGAGAACGTTCGACCGCCAGCTCCTGCTTTCTGTCGCTACGGAAGCAAACGAGCAACGAAGAAACTCTCTTCCCTCTTCTTCTTCTTCTTTTGCTGCTGCTGCTGCTGCTGGTTCGCGCTAATTTGCATGTGACGCGCGCAACCAAGTTCAATGCACCAAACGTTAACCCTTCACGGATGCTTTATTGCACGAAAGAGAAAACGCAAAGCCCGTTCGATCGATCCCATCTTCCGCAAGAATTCATCGTGTTTGCACGAAGAGAACTAACGAGAAATTTTTCGTGTTTGTTGCAGGTACGTATCAGCCGGACTTATTTGCCAGAGATACCCGCAACAGGCTTCCCCATTGTGAGAAAGTACCTACGATTAGTCAACGCTGATAATTCCTTATCGTTGCGTGGAAGGCGTCGGGAGATTGCTTCACGATTATCTATCCCTCTCTCTTCCTCTTTTCCTCTACATGGCATCTCGAGTGAAAGGTTACAAACGAGTTTTCTCCTACCCTCCACCGTCTTGTTTTTCTTTCTTCTGACGTAATTTCAGTAGGTGTTAATTTATGTTATTAGTCAATGATTTCTGGCAACGGTATCTCGCAAGGCCATTGAATACAGAATAAACCACCCTCTAACCACTTATTTTACGCAAAGCGGAAGTTGGCGAGCTGACAAAGAATCGAGTTAGATGCAATGGCCTTTCGTCGCCCACCGTGCATCGCGAATCGTGAACGAAAATCCACGACAGTGCGTGGTACACGCGTCTGACTCACGCGACTTGATTTGGTTTTCATGCGGGAGGGACATGGCACACCTTCTTTTAACGCAACATCTTCTCGGCTAATTGTGATTCATCGACGGTAGCCATCGATAGCCGCGGCGTTTATGGTAATTACCCTTTGCGGTCCTCTACGACACGACGACGTCGTGTTTAACTCTACCTATTAGATGCGTCGCATCTGACAATTGTTCTGACTATAAACGAAAAAATCTCCCAGAATGATGAGCAACGTGTTAATAGTCGACGAGTATGCGGCGGAGTCAGTTTGGTTCGTGGTACCCGTCAACCGGTTGGTCAATTTTGGCCCGATCAGGGGACCCTCTTCCCGTCCTTCTGGGATCGACATCGATTTTTGCTCTTTTCGAACCGGGTCAGCAAACTGTGGCGACCGACGAAGGACGCCAAGGGTGTTCTCCTCCCCTCCGTTCGTCCGGGGCTTCCTCCTTTTCCTCCACGTTCGCTTACCAAGCGCCTCGTTCTTTTCTTTTCTTGTTGGCGAAATTTGGAAGTCGACGCCCGTCTCTCGGTCCGTTCGTGACAAGCATTAATCCTGGCAACGACCAAAGTATCATCCTCTTGTTGGCGTTTTACGGCGTTCCGCGGCTAAATCGGGACCCCCGAGAGATACGATCGATGAATTTGAAACGGTATTCAACCGGCCCGTCCTACGAATCGATTTCTCGATCGTTTTTCTTTCGTCTGTCGTTTGGCCGCGCCGCGATATAACACATTCACCCCTTCGTTTCTTTTTCTCTCGATTCTTTTCCGTCAATGAGACGAAACCGTTAAAGGACCGTGGAATTGCCGATCGTCATGGTAATTCGATACGTTTATTAGCCACGATCAAAGGATTAGAATATTCAGTTTATACACAAGCAAGTTCCCAACGCAGACTCTGCGTTTACGTAATTAATTTAACGCCAGTAAATCAACGATACTCGTTTACGCGACACCTGCGGCAGAATTCCATCCGTGTGTTGGTGAAACGAAGTATAGTCAGCAAATGGAAAAGTATCCCGTGTCCAGTGCCGTAATAATAATCATCCTCGGTACAGAGGGATAAAAGTTTCTGCGGCTCTCAACCGCAGGAGGTTTCGAATGAAACGATTCGAAGCGGTCTGCGGGAATGCAGTTGATCCGACAAAAATCATAAAACTGTTCTTCTAGCCGCTTGGATGGAAGCGAGTGAGCGAGCAAGCGCGTACGGTCAGCAACATTGTAGAATTTTTGTCGAGGAAATTAGCAAAGAAGAGAAGGGGTTGTGTTTCCGCTGCGCCGCGATTCCTTCGCTTTTTCTCGTGACATTACCCTAGGCTGCTAGCTAAATTCCTTTTCGTACGACCCTGAACCGAGCATGGAATCCAAATGCCTGCTTAAGAGTTTGCTCTCTCCTCCTGTTGCTTCTTTGTTCGTACCGTGACATCCGTGAAGAATCGGAAGCTGGAAGAAGACAGTGGAGGCCAAAGGTCAAGAGACTACACCGCGTCGCGTTGCCACGGAAAACAAGCTCGGTTAAGAAAATTACCATTGTCTCGCGTCCCCGTTTAAATTCCCTGGTCGTCTTGGTTTTTATGCAAATTTTTGTCTGTCGAAAGGAAGCAAGAAAAATTCTTGGGCTGAATCCTTGGCCCGTAGTTCGCGTTCGAAACGCGCAAACACGTTCTCCAAGATAAAATCGCGCATTTTGTCGCGATACGTGACCGTGCGCGTACATACACATATGTACACAGCCGACATCGACGATTTCGTTTCAGCTCCATCTTCTCTGCAAAGTCTAGTCGCTTTAAATGGCAGCGACTGGCTCGCGACACGATATTCAACCGTATATTTTTCTCGGCCCATCCTGGACAACCGCAAGCCGTATCAAGTGCGTGTGTTGCGTAATGCGTGTTGTACGTGTCGCGCGTCCAAGTCTTCCACCACAATGGCGTTAACGAGCGGCAATCGAGGACGGAAAGGCTACGCGAACGCGTCCGTTTGACTCGCGCCATAACGCCTTCCGTGATCGCGTTTCTGCTCACTCGATGATTCCAATTTTTCTTATTTTTATCATTCTGACTCTTCATTCCAAATCGAACCTTTTTATTTGTCTGTAGAACGTTGAGTTACCTCGTTACCGAGGCAGTAACACGGAAATCGGAGCAACTGCCTCTGGTCGCGATTAATTATGCTCGACTCGGTTCGCAATTAAAGAAATTAGCGGGGATAGGTAGACCGAGGCACGATGTTCGTCGTCCAGCTGCATCGGTGCTCTCTCGAATGCAAATCCATTGTGCAACTACTGCAACGGGCCAGCAGTACATACGGTGAAATTCGTTCCAGTTGCGTTCGCGGCTCGTTAGCCGATTACGCAACGTTGTGCAACCACTGTCTCTCAGGGGTAGCCTCGTGCCTTTTTCGACCTACCCTAAAACAGCTTCCCTCGAATTCTCGAGCTGTTCGAACTTGAAAGAAACGAAAGAGGTGTCGGAATATCGGATCACTCGAATCGAGGACGCGACTACCTGGTTGAAAAGAGTAGGGGCAAAGCCAGCAGGGGATACGGTGGTAGATTAACGCGCGCAAGGTGCGTGGCCAAGCTGGTAACCGCGATAACCGGGCAACGACGCGACGGACGTTGCGTACAATGTCTCCTGGCACGGATGTCGATGACCCTCGAACGAACGTCAGTATCGGAAGGAGGCGAAGAAGCGGGAGGTGGAGAAGGACGAAGCGGGCAGAAGACGGAAGAGTAAGAAAAATAAAAAGTCAAGCTGCTGGGAAGAGGCGGAGGAAATTTCCTGGTGCGGTGGAGGACTGGAGTGGCGGTCGGTACGAGCAGGGTCGTCGGACCGAGATCGGTGTGTTTAGTAGTTAGGAAGCTAATGGATGCCTTAAAGGACGACGGATACACAAGGTTGTGTTGCACGACGTTAGAAAGACTGCGATCCCGGTGTTAGCACCGATTTCCTGGTCCGCCACGCTACACCAGAGGGCAACGAGCACTTAACGCTCTACTCGACTCCCCTACCTCTCCTCTTGACCCTGGGTCGTTGATCTTACACCACGCTACGTATACAGTTTTAATGGGTCTACGCTCAGTAGTTTTAAGTAACACGCCATTCCGAGCTTTGCGGTTGATCCCCGGCCGTGGGAAGAAACGACCGACTTCCCATTTACCAGAGCTCCACCACCGAAACGTCCACGCGAGCCCCACCGCGAAACGGACACCGCCTTGTCCGTTCCTTTGCCCGCTCCATGGATACCAAAGCTCCAAGGAGAAGGCTCGAGGCGCGTCCTACGAACCGTGCACCACCAGAGATACCACAGTGAAAGCGTGTACTTTCTATGGAGTTTGCGGCACTACCGCGTTCAGCCTCGGTTACAACTTTGCCTTCCACCGCGACAAACTTTCAACCAGATTCAATCCCTGACGAATCGAATCGTTCTCGAAATGGAAGAACCCCGCTAAGTAGATCGTCGAACGCATTCGTTAGAGCTACTGACACATATTCGAACGTGTTTCGATCAAAAATATCGTACAACTCGAGAAAAGTCCTAAGCACGCTTTAAGACTCGCGCCTCGGAGAAATAATAACATAGCTGTCGCTGCCCGAGAGAAACAAACATAGTGAAAGTATCCCGTTTCGTTGCTACATATTAAACGCAGACGTTCGCGAAACTGGCAAAGACGAGGTCGACGAAAGCGGTCGGTCCCACGACATTTACCATCTAGAATTTTTGGCAAGCAAACGCTCGCTTCTCGTTTCATCAAAGACCTAGGTCTATCGAACGCGAAGATCGAACAGCAGGAAGCAGCGACCGCGAGTTTCTTTAACCAGGGAAGCACGACAGTGGAACGGTCCAGTTTCCTGCTCGGTACACTTTCGAGCTGCTTCAGGAGCAGCGACTTTGGTGTCTTCGAACCGTTGCTCATTGACGTTGTTAGCTTCTGGATAAACAAAAGGAAGTCGCCATTTCTTGACGCTTCGAGATATTCCGTTCTTTCGTCTGCTTCTCGGAAGCGCGTCGCTTTAACGCGAGAGTAACGATTAGACCTCCTCGAAGAAGGCTTCTTGCCTTCTTACCTGTTGGCTCTTCCAACGGATCTTTCTCATTTACCCTTTAACGACCTGAACGTGGCAAAAAGGAAGATTCGTCTACCTTTCTCACCGAGGCTTGTGCCTATGTTTTCGCAGACGAGAAAATTTCAAGGTTCGACGCGTCGCGAAAAGCAGTGGTACGGATCGCGGTCGCTATTAGCTACCACTTGTTCGCCGAGCTATTCTTCGTGCGACTAGTGACTAGGGAAAGCAAAAAGAGGAAACGGGGAGTAGCACTCTCGACCTTTGAGAGTAGGTAAGCGTACGGTCGACGGTCGTTTCCTCGATTTCTCGTTCACGCAGACCAAAACGACGACGTCGACTAGCTCGTTAGAAGAATCGAAGCGTCTCGTGAAATAGCTGCTTTGCATTTCCACGGAGAAATCCGAAGGCGACGTCGAGGTCCCGTGATTTCTCGTTAGAACCCGTCGATCAACCTCTCGTTTTCTTTTATCACCGCTGCGGACAGGGCTATACTTTCGTTCGCCGTGGAAATTGCGGTTCTCGACGTTCGAATGACATTTCACCGTCGACAAATTTGACCTACGCCAATGGAAAGCGTTGCAACCGTGATACCAGTTTGATCCGCGACATTCATGCTCGCGCAAGTCCGCCTTCTCTTGGACGAAAGTCGAGTTTCTGTCGCGATACCCTCCAAGGTCAATGCTTAATGATCCCTCGTAATTAACCTCCAACGAGTTGCCAGCCGGCACTTTGTATTTTCCCGGAGAAATCCAAGAGACTAAGCGAACAGCTTCGGACAGGTACACTCGACTTCTCGTTAGAGGCCTGGAATCAGGCTGCTCCTCTCGGACTCGGACTTGAACTCCAACGGCTACTTAAAATTCACCGCAACTCGAGACTTTATCGACGCACCAGAGTCGAACATTAATCTTGCTCGAACGATTCGCGGGCTGACCCTATTAACGTCAAGAGAGCCTCGGTCTCGAGAGGAGCGCGCGAAAGTTTCCTCTATTCCTCCTCCGCGAAGAGAAGGTGTTTAGGTGGATCGCGATTCAATCGACTCCCTCGATATTTAATTATTTATTTAAATCATACGGAACCAAAGGAGTGATAGTGAGTAGAAAAGGTTGTAATAAGATATGCTTTATTTTCTTCTTTTCTTTTTACATTTCACAGTAGCTACTTACTTTGTTAAGTTAGGGGCGGGCTTTCCGGTCGCGTATAAAATTTCGGCCTCGATTTATCGGCGCACCTGTTGGCCGTTGCCCGTTGCAGCTGCCTCCTCGCTATTACAGGGAATTTGTTCGCAGCCGTAACGAACGCACGACTCGGGCAGATGCTACCTCGAAGGAACGAAAAGTACAATTTCCATTTCTTGCTATTCGCTTCTTGCCGTTTGCCAGAAATTATTGTTCGTCATCGTGTTGGCGAAGCGTTGGATTCACTCGCGAAAGCAAGCGCGTTGCTTTCGAACGCAATATCGCGGCAAGATTGCTCAAGACAAAACGCGTCGCATTTCCAAGACAAATTAGGCTGGAAAGTAGATGCGATTCGTTGGTCGAAGGCGCGATCTTTACGAGAATCGTGCATACGCGCGGTAACAGCGGAGCGTGGGAGTTCGACCTGGCCTCTCGACCAGGGAAATCGAGATCACGTGCATAGCAATGTAACCACGACGCGTTTGCTAGTTTGTTTTCTTAGCCTGCGCCTACTTCCTCGACTTTTGAACTTATTTCCTAGCGTTTTACCTACATTACATAATCCTGTGTTACACGAACCGTTTCGCTTTGTCCGCGTCGATCGAACGATTGCCAATGGAATGCATAGACGACGAATCAGGAATAAGAAACGTTCGCAATCGCGTACCGACTAATGGCGCAACTATAAATCTGATATTACCGCGACAACGATTGCTACGCTGTTATTATCGCGACGCGATCTCGGATGTTGCAGCCGCGTCTCGCTGGAAAATTAGAACCTTTCAGCAAATGAAAGTCCAAGCAACCTACAATTATCGTTCTTCGAGAACGATTGCGTTTCCCTTCTGAAACAGCTTCGTCGTTTCTTCGACGAAGCGATCATCCATTTCGAGCCGTGTTTTATCCATCGCTCGATTCCTCGTGCCACTGGTCGTTGGCGAACGGGTTTATCGAGCGGCTCGCAAAGGGGAACGCTGCCCTTCGCCTCTAGAATGGATCGTTAAAATCGCCGCGTCGCGTCGCTAGAGAGGGTCTGTCCGCTGGACGATATTGGACTCGCCCTTTTCCCTCGTTCCTTTGTTCAACGTACAAGAAGGAAAATCAAACAGAAAGGTCTATCGCTGTAACAATGCGTAATTAGAACGCGGATAACGAGTCTGTTCGATAGAAGTTGCATGCTGTTGGCGTTTGTCAACCTACATAGGCGAGTGTCGTCGTCGAGCTGAACACGCCTATACCCCCTTTTGGGGCCAGACGGCTAATTGTTTAAAAGATATTAACAATTACAGTTAGTTACTCCTTACATTCTGAAGTATGACAAACTCACACATACAACTTGCAATCTAGAGATCCACGGTTCAAATCTTTGGTTCTCAACATTTTTTTTTTTTTTAATGATAATTTGTCTCTTTTTGAATAACTATTACATAAAAATTATCATTAAAAAAAAAAAAAAAAAAAAAAAAAAGAAAATGGGAACCCAGGATTTGAACCGAGGACCTTTAGATTGCGAGCCATGGATCCGCTCCGTGATTAAACACATGACTCGCAATCTAAAGGTCCTCGGTTCAAATCCTTGGTTCCCAACAATTTTTTTTTTTTTTTTTTTTTTTTTAAATGATAATTTGTCTCTTTTTGAATAATTAAATATAATTCTAAACTAAAATTCTATATTCTATTTTGAATAACCTAAATTCTATAAAAATTACAATGTATGTAATTAATTATTAATAAATGCAATGATTATGGCACAGCTGTAATAGTTATTCAAGAAGAGACAAATTATGATTAAAAAAAAAAACTTGGGAACCATGGATTTGAACCGTGGACCTTTAGATTGCGAGTCAAGCGTTTCACTACAGAGTTAACCGTTTATAAGAGAAGACGAGCAAGGCCCGTTCCGCGACGTTGATTCTCTAACCAGTTTATCGAACGATAAGTGTCCACGTCGATACTCGCGAACACCGCGAGGATAACTCGACCCAGTTGGAAAAATCGGCGAGTGGAGCTCACGCGAGAACCGTACAGAAACTTTATCACCGAAGGTATCGCGAATTTTTGCTCGTTGCTACTTGGACAAGCACAGGCAAGCCTAGCAATCCAGGTTAATGCCACCCGGATAATTGCATCCACGATCTCACGCTGTTCGAGACCATAAAATTTTTCCCTCTACAGAATCAACGGGGTCGTTAATAGTTTTACAGTCGCCGATAATTAAAGCGACGCGCAGCGTGCTTTCCGCTCGGAAGTGTATACCTGTAGAGGAATAGCCGATCGTCGACGAGGCTAGCGGCGGGGCTTCGTTCGTTGTACCATCTACTCTGTGGGATACCGTCCACCGAACAATGCTCCCTAATGACGCTTACATTGACGCTTACTCTCGGTCCATCTGTCCCGTCCAACGTTCAACTTGTTTCAGAAGAACTCGTTCGCTAGAAGCCAGGGTACCGTTCGTCGCGCGACAACTCGTTCCAACAAGTCGTCCTCGTGGAATCGTGGAAAAACAGGCGCGAAAAGAAACGCGACCGATGCTTTCACCGTTGTTCTCCAAGATTCGAGTCGCTGTTCAGGAGCATTGGCCGCGCGACTTCGCTTTCTACGAGTTGTTTAGATGTTTGCATCGTAGCAGCCGCAATATAGATCATTCGTTATTTACGGAGCGGAACATTGAAACGCGAACGTGGACGCGGTCGACGCAGCGCAACATTTCCACGCGTACGGCGTAATTGGAAAATCGCGATTAAACGAGGTTTAGGTCTAGTCGTTAATGGTAGGGCGAAAGTAAAACGTTCACGTAAAACGTTACTTCATTCGTTACTTCGTTTCTCCACCGTAATTCCTTATTCTGATATTTCTACACAATCGTTCGCTAACGATCCACACTTGTTGTTTGCTTGCAGAGGTAAATACGCGACGGTGAGAAGATGTCGGGAGAGATCAAGCGGAAGACAGTGGGCCGCCAAGTTCCTCAGGAAGAGGAGACGGGCGCAGGAACTGAGGGCGGAAGCGCTTCACGAGGTCGCGGTGCTGGATGCTGCGGCTAATTGTTCTCGTCTGGTGTCTCTTCATCAAGTCTTCGAGACGACCACAGAGATGGTATTGGTTTTGGAATTGTAAGTGAAATGTTCTTATTATTTTTAATTATACTTAGAGTATTTACGGAAGAAGCGTTCACGAATCGTCGATAATTCGAACGCAATCGCGTTAACCGGTAGCGAAACTGAAGATTAATCGATCGTGGACTGAGTATCGCTTCCTATGCGTGGTTCTTCTTATCGAAGACACGAACGCAGCCCGATTAGCTCGATCGTTCACCAAGCCGCTTTTTCGTTCGCAGGGCCCCCGGTGGCGAGTTACAAATGATACTAGACAGAGACGAAGTTCCAGAGGAGCGACAGGTCGCCAGATTGCTGAAGCAAATTTTGGACGGAATAGCGTTTCTGCATTCCCTGAACGTGGCCCACCTCGACATCAAGGTGAGTCTAGACTTCTGCACGGAAAATTTCACGGTGTTCGCGAGGCTCTGTACTCTTTATCTCGGCCCACGTCAAAAACAAGCGAGAAACGAGACGATAAGAGAAGCACGTAGATTGTCGTTTCTGCAAACAACTCTTATCTAGATATATTCCCTGGTCGAGTTGAAAAACCTTCGCTGTGAATTGGCACGCGTGTACCGTCTGTGTTCGGTGGATAAAGAACGCGAGAAAGAATATCGCGCCTAATCCGCCGAGAAAAGAAACTGCTCTTGGCAACGAACGAAGCGACGACATTTCGGTCGAGAGCTGGCAGTTTCTCAGCGAACGTATTCCCTGCTCCCCGCGTCCTGCCGTCCTCGGTGCGAACGACCCAAATTGTTATGTAAAAGTATCCGCGTAACACGATGATCTCTGCCAAAAGACAGGAGTCGAACGCGAAACCGTTGACACCGATCGCGTATGCAATTTGCGTCTTTATCATACCATCGATAGATCGATCGATCGATTTTACCCACTCGTACAGTAGGATTGGATCGAAAGTTGGTAGAGGAGGAGGGACGCATTAATTCGCCAAACGTTTCTACATTGTAGCCTCGGAGAGTAACTTTCGCTTACAAATTCAAATATTTGCTAGAAAGTGACGGCGCTCTCGCTGGAATGCACAAGAGAAGGGGAGGCCTATTTTTCCACGGCGCATCGTTATCATAACAAAAGCGTCGTTGGTAAAAAGAAGAAACAGCGCGTCGTGTACATGTAACACGTGCAAGAAACGAGAGGAGAAGAAGACGAGACGCAGGCGTGAGCGTGAGCGCGAAAGCGATTCATCGCGATGGAATCCCGACGAAACGGGCGCCAATGGGGTGTTTCTGCTCGCTCTAAATTATTTTTGTACCAACCTCGAGGGAGTCTCGTCTCGCCGCGAAACTTTGCTACGGAAATAGATCGATGCGCGTCCCTCCTCTCGGCCTTTTATCTCGAGAATAATACGCGGACGCTCCTTGGCGCCCCTTAGAAAATCCGGAACCGAGTTTTTCATAAATTCATCGGTCTGCTCCTGCAGCCTCGCCTCGCGACACGAATTTACATAATTCCCCTGGTTTTATTCATCGATAAATCTACCGACGATTTTGCCAATAAATCGGTTTAAATTACGCTAAACGTCGTGCGACAACGATGCATCTTCCAAGTGATAGATAAGCATGTTTTATATGCGCGTCGCGAAACGCGCGATGCATTCGGTCGATCGCGTTCACGCGAGGTTTTTCTTATTTGGCAATGGGAACAATTTGCAATTTGCAGCGGGCATAGCTGGACACTGCGACACCGCGACACGAGATCGACGCAGGGCAGAGCGTAGGTATAAGTATAAGAGAGTATGCGTTTATCGATTATCGGCGTGATCGATATGGGCGAGCCAAGGCAAACGAGTCGTATTAATAATATTCCCTCGGCGACACACGCGCCGATTCGCGTATTTCAGCCTTCCTCCTCATTTTTTTATTCCCCTTAACGCGACTCGGATTATGATCGCGGTTATGCAACCCAATTATCCGGCTTTCGCAAATTGATAGCAATTTGCGGGGATGCAGGTTACCAGGTATATACCTACGCGACTAAATTACAAGTGGAGCGGAGCAGAGACGAAACGCTACTCGCTGCTGCTGGCGAATTGAATTACCGGAAAAATTTCATTCCATAGCGACGACGCAATAAAATAATTTAGCAGCTTTTGCGCATTAAGCGCCGCGTTGAAACGTCCTTTACACCGTCTGTTATCGAGTCTCTGTCCTGATACCAACGACGATTACACATCCGCCAGAATTATCACGATGTTTTCCAATCGATAAGATAATTTTATACGTTCTGGATAAGCAAAACTGCTCGATTAAACGCGCCGACGAAGCAATTCCGCAACCTTAACAATAAAAACGCGTTGCTGCTATATATTTTTATATCGAACACTTATCCCTTCGATCGTTTTTCTAAATCGTTGACCCGCAAGTCCGTTCGTTTTCGGTATCGGTGCTCGAGATCGCGAGAGCGTGGCTGAATGGAAACGATCGCGCCCGTTTAGAAAGGAAAAACCGCGTTACGTTTTTCAGACTTTCGGTTTCGACGCGTTCTCATTCGCGTGCGCGTTCGCGATCGCGATCGAACGAACTCCACACCTCCGGTTCGATGCACACCTCCGGTTCGTTCTTAAAATATCATCGTGCCACGAATTCACGCGATATGCCTGACCCAAATATAGATCTCGCGGTTATGAATGGAAAAATGCACTTTGGGAATTCTTTGGCTCGCTTTCAAGAGGCCTCGTTGGCCGACGTCCACGAGGTTTCGGGCGCCAACCGAATAGATAGAAACTCGGATTCGTCAGCATAGATCTCGCATATTTTACGAATTCGAACGATCGTATTCTCGCTTCCAACGACAACAATGCTATCGGTGTTGCGATCGAGCTCGTTTCTATTCGCGTGGAATGCCGTATGCTTGTTCAACGACCAGTCGTCGGTCGTCGATCCACTCGAGACGAGCATGCTGTAATAACGCGATATCTAAACTGGCGCCAAAGACTGTGTGTACTCTTCTCTATTTGCTCGCGCATCGATAATCACCGCCTCGCGTTAATCGCGTTGCTTGAAATTGGCGTGCACGTGACACCCATCGAACATCCTACGACTCGTTCGTTATTCTTGGCAGTGCTTTTCAACATTTTTTCCCGGGGAAGGAACAGAGGCGATCGACCTCCGTTGGAAAAGGGAGGATTCAGGCTCATCAATGAACTCTGTCGACTAGCCTGGATAGTTGGAGCAGCGAGCTCGTACCGAGAATTCCATTTCTGGCATGGCCAGTGGCTCTCGAGAGCAGTTGGTTCATTAGCCAGAACTTCGGTTTCGACGAAATCGATTCATCGGCCTGTTAATGGAATAGCCGAGCTCTCCGCCCCCATTTGAGCGAAAAGAGAATCGATATTTTATCCGCAGAGGAAAAAGCGATACCTTAATCTCCCCTTCTTTCCTTCTGCCTACCGATCGCGATTCTCTAATATCGATAAGACTGAAATTTACCACGAATTTAATCGCGATTCGTTTCATAAAACGATCGAGCTGGTCCGCTGACCTCTCGGAACGTCTGTTTCTCGCAGCTCGTTCAACCGAACTCTGAGCATTACATTCATACTACTCAAACACGCGCACGCGTTCTCGTGTCCGGCCACGCATCGTGTAGGGACGCTTCCCCCTTTTTCAACCGCCGGAAGTTTCAATGAACGCAAGAGACAGATCCTCATAAATTCGTTGTCCGTTGGTTAAAAAGCGTTCTGCCTTCCAACTGCGTGCACACGCTTTTTCTCTCGCGTATTTTGCGTTCCGAATGCCAAGCCTGTTCGTCATCGCGAAAATTTTGCTCCTGCTGCAACTCCGATGGAAGCAGCTTTCGACGGAATCGTATCGTGTATTCCACGTCGTACGATTACACGACGAATAAATAAAAGGCGATATACTCGCTCCTATCGAGCAGAACGTTGCTCGATTATCGACACGCGTGTACGCCGTTACATCAACCGTAGCTCCAAAACGTTTAACCAGATCCATTCGCTTGCTAAGCAAATTGGCATCGCGTGAATTACTTCGAGGAACGTTTTTATTTCGAGGAAAAGAGTAGCTACTAACTTTGATTTAATAGCTCGCGTCCTTCCTGTGCTTTTTGTAACCACTCTGCGTTACGTTGAACGACGACTTCCGACAGACGATGCCTCGGTAATTAACTCACCTGTTACACTTTTCTGAGCGCGTTCGTCGTCTCCTCGTTTCGTCGTAGCATCGTTATCAAGCTCAGACGTGCCCGTATCTCGGCTCGAGCTACAAAGTTTTCCGTCGTGACGAATCAAGCGTGCAGCAATGATATTCGCGGTAATCGATCGCGACGCCTACACGATTCGCGTCGAGGTCCGAGAAGAACGTTCAGAAGAACACGAGCGACGCAGGAACCTCGTAATGGTAAATTATGGAAATGTCTTTGTTCCTTATTGAACGACTTCCGGCAGTCGGACGGTTCGAAACCGGCCTGTCGAGTCTCGTCGAGCAACGGTCACTCCTAAAGCGTCGTCGTTTCTCTCCATATGCCTGTCGGAACGGTCGTCCCTGTTCGACCGTTCCTTCTTCCCCATCGAACGGGTAAAAAATTGAAAGGAGGAGAAGCGAAAAGTATAAGGGTAGCGTTTCGTAGGACTTGTTGGACGGGATTGAGCCGCCTGTTAAAGCCGAAGGGGACACGAACAAAACGTCCTACGACCTCAACGTTACAGAAGCACTTTTTAAATCACCAGCATTATTCGTAGGACGTCGAGCATCTTGCGATGCAGTCCAGTCACGTTCGACTCGTAACTCGGTATAACGAAACGTAACACACAAACTGAATCCTCGAGCGATACGAGTGCGCACGGAATCCTTCCTTTTCAACCAACTCTATCCTCTTTCTCGTTTTTCTCGATGAAAATTTAACAGCCTCTGGAAGGCTGTCTGACCGCCAGAGTTTCATCGCAGGTGTCAATTGACCTGTGTTTACGTTGAAAACGCGGCTGAGAAATTTAGTTAGTGTAGCGGCAGATCAGAAACGTGGGCGCCAGAAGAGAGGCGCGAATAGTTGCGTGGGCGTCTAGTTCGAGTGCGAATGCGAGCGCGGTTATTCGAAGCGTCGATACACGGATGTAAATGATTACCGATAAGAAAGGTCGCGGTGCGGCCTAGCAGCGATTCTACGAAACGATCGAACAATGGGCGCATTGGTTTTCTCGAAAGGAGATCAAGGAGAAAAGTTCGTTGCTGGTCCATTGTCGAAGCACCCTAGGCGGGCAGACTGGTCTTACAAAGTTACTAGGTAGGGGGCGAATAAGGTTCGAGGAGCGTCATTATCGTGCCGTTTATTAAATGCCTGCCCCTTGGCCAGGTGAACAAAGTACACGAGGATCGCGATTAATTGCACCGATTACCTGGAGAACGGACGAGAGAAGGGGTCGTTTATTCGATACTTTTAATTAAGTGACACTGCGCGTACCCATTGGGATGCTTAATGATCGCTAACTACGCTCTTGTAACGTGAGCTCTCGAGAAAAAGCCACCTTGCTCTAAAACCTACCGCAGCCGGCGGCTCTCAGCTTGCAACCAACCAGCAGATGTTTTCAATCTACTCCCTTCGTATCCGAATCTTCGCAAAATCTTTCCACGCGAAATTCGTGCCCCCGCGGATCACTTCCTCCTTAGATCGCGATCTCGAGGACCAGCCTCGGTTCACGTACGGATTTTATTACGCTTGCGCGTCACGAACGAACCCTTGCTCCTTTCGTTTTCTTTTTTCTTTTTTTTTTTTTTTTTTTTTTTTCAAATTGCTTGCAACCTCCTCGGGCCTGAGAAAGGATGCACGAGAAAAGAGGAAAAAAATTACCGGTACATGCACTCGCGATACGATTAATTGCCTCGATTACGTGACGAACGCTCCGCTGAATCGTCGTTTATTAAATACGTTTAATTAAGTGGCATCGTGTAGGCACGGGGCATGTAATGATCGCTGAAACACTGGTGTACGTACGAGCCATGGAAAAAACTAAGCCGATGCAGGTTGCTCTCGACTACTGCCACCGTGTTGCGACCGACCGCTTTTGCCGGGAACACGTTTCACCCTGCGCGTCCCTGATATCGGACGCTGCTACCCAGCTGATAATTGCGACGACAAGATCGCCCGAAATAATTTATTCTCGCTGTAAATGTCTCGCGGATAAAATATGAAACAATGTTCACCCTCGAGGAAGGCTAAGAAAGATAGAGCGGAGAGATCGGATCGTGCGCTTCATCGCGCCGTTTCGTCTTCCTCGCGAGAGCATCGAATTGCGAGCAATTATACGCCGCAACGAAAGGAAATAACGAGCTTCTTTGTCTTCGTTAACCGTCGACGAGAGAGGAAATCGAATACGAATGTTTTTAATTTTCCTTGTCCTCTCTTTTCAGCCTCAGAATCTGGTCCTCACCGGCGAGTTTCCCGACTGTGACGTGAAGCTCTGCGATTTTGGTATCTCGCGGTACATCAGCCACGGCGCGGACATCCGAGAGATTCTCGGCACGCCTGACTATGTTGGTGAGTATTCTCGACAAAACGCAAGTACACCATTGATGTCTTTCTACGCACGAGATATCCCGGTTCCTCGCTGCCACCGGATTCGCGACTCGTTTCGTACCGTGTAATTCCATTAGAGATACAGGAACGTTGCATAATTGAACAGAACAAGCCACTTCTCGACGCGGATCGTCGGCCACGAGGAGGAGCCATTTACGAGTCACGCGATTACCTTTGCGATTACTTTTCACCGGTCGTGTTTAACGGTCGCATTTCCCCTGCAAGAAGCGCCGTTCAGTGATTCTCACGAACCTTTCGCGAGAAGAAATATCGCCTGTTACCACCTCTTGACTCGTCTTTTCCACCCACGCAGCTACCGTTCGCTCTTCAAGTTGCGTTTTCTGCTTGTTTCAGCGCCAGAGGTGTTAAACTACGAGCCGATCAGCTTGGCGACGGACATGTGGTCGATCGGAGTTTTGCTGTACGTGTTGCTAACGGGATGCTCTCCATTCGGCGGCGATACCAAGCAGGAAACGTTCTGCAACATTAGCCGATGTCGCCTAGATTTTCCTGACGACCTGTTCGAAGACGTGTCCGAGGAGGCGCGTGATCTGATGCGCAAGCTGATGGTCAAGGATCCAAAGTGAGTAACGCGAAAAGAGGTTCCCGATAAAAAAAAGTAAGCGCCACAACGATGGGAGAGGATAGTGTCGTCTTAAGGAATGTTCGCCGCGTTACGCGATTGTTTTCATTCTTAGAAGCTAAATAATGCAAACGTACGCCACCTAACTAACAATGTTCTTGAGATCCACGCGCCGTCTTGACGCGACGCGGCCTATCTTCTTTCGCTTCGAGGTAAGCCGTAAGCGGTAAACGTTCCTGGTAGGTCACGACACGCTTCCTCGAAAGCATTATTTTCACCGGTGCCGGGATTCTTGGTAACCCGTTCTTCGATAATACTTATCCGTGGCTCGTGTTAGTATTTCGTCACCGTTTCGTAGGCAGATAATCGCAGATAGTCGTGTCTTTCATCGAAATTTCGATAGTTACGCAATCCGGCAACCTGCAGGATTTCTGCATCCGTACTCGCGGGTACGTGGAAGCAAAACGATCGACATTCCTCCGACTGCAGCGACGACGACTACTTTCTTCGAAACGGGAAGAGGAACGCGTCGGCACATCGAACGAGTTCCGCTGAAAAACTCGTAGATTTCCTTATCTTCGACCGGTCGGACAGCTGGGAGGAAGTCTCCATCCGGAATATCCTCGCCCTTCCAATGCGAAAGCACACTTATCTCGCTACCAACGCGGTTTATCGTCGCGAGTACACGCGTAGTTTTCTCTCCCTTCTCTTCGTCCTAGTTCGTCGTTTCCTACTCTCTTCCGTCTTTTCTCGTAGCTTTTAACGTTATGCAACTACAGCGGTCGACTGGTTTGAGGAGTGTACGACGATCAGAAAGTATCTTGTCTCGTCGTGCGAGATCCTTCATGATCGAAACGTTAATCGAATCTCCTTTTATTTTCCAGCGAACGTTTGACCGTCACGGAATGCCTTCAACACTCGTGGTTCGCCATGTTCGATGATCCGCAACCACCTCTCTTGACGGCTAGTTGTCCAACGTTAAACGGGACCGCGATCGAAGACGAGTCGTTGACCGAAACGAAATCGGCCTCGAAATCCATTACGATCGAACAATCGTCGACGGTCTCGTCGATCCCTAAAAACGACACGGAAAAGCACGGTCAGAGGACGTCGAACACGACCGCGTGCCAAAACGTTGAAACAAAACCGACGGCTACGCGAGCGGTCTCCTCGCACACGGAAAATCTTTATTCAAAGTCAAAGTTATCGGCCAAACCGGTTAGATACGGCTTGAGCTCCGACCGCAGGGACCATTTCAAACGAAACATGGATTCACTGGCGCAGAGATTTTCCGGGGCGGAAATCGTGCTAATCGAGTCGGTGTCGTCCACGGGTACCAGCGTGTCCACAAACGCGTCGAGCGGAACTCAGAGGAGGGCGACTGCCACCCACACGATGCCCGCCGGTGAGGTGTTTAAATGCACGCCCGTGTTCATTTTAGGCGAAGAGCAGCACTGCAGCGACAGTGGTAGCGACACGGTATCCGAAATCTCGACGGACAGCTCGAGCGATCGGAGCAGCGTTTATTCGGACGATTCGTTGGATTTCATTATGTACGGAAAGACTCAAAGCAGAGCCAGTTTTCCATTCGCGAGCACAGACTCGTCGTCGGACAGATGGGAACAAAGGCACCATCATACGAGGGCGTGGCCGAGGGAATGCAACGGAGTCGTGAGCAAAGTTCTCAGCCGTTTCTCATGTGAAACGTCTAACGCGAAATTTAGCAAAGCATCCAGCCCGCCGACGGTACACGGAAAGACCGGGTTGGAAGCGCTTCGAGAAAGGGGCGGAAATTTCGTGGTAATCCGCGAGCCAGTCAGAGCTGGCAGGTACACCAGGTACAGCGAGGTACAATGCGAGTCGGTGCAGGCACGGATTCGCCGGTTTCAGATTCATGGGGCCTCGTAGACGCGAAAAAGACCTAGATTCTTGGTCTCTGAACGGCTTTCTCGAGCAGCTTCAAAGTCTCGGATCCACCCGATCCGTTGTACATATAGTTTTACGGTGTACAGTACATAGTTCGATAGCCCGCGTTACGAAAACTCGGTATCCAGTTACGCGACGTAATTGGCACGAAAAGGCGTGGGTTCGAGCAAATGGTTGGCTGTAAATACACATCGAGGATGGCTGTTCAAGTACGAGGGTACCGATCGTTCGTGACGCGTACTGTATATAATATTCGGACGACCGAGATTCTACGAGTGCGTCGAGTTTCGACGGTTTTATCGTACGTAAGTGGAAGGAAGGGAAATTCCTTGGGTGTGTAAATAGGTACGGTTGAATTCGTGATGGTAGCAGGGATTTTGAATGAACGAATTTGAGTGAATCGAATGCGAGAGGAAACGAGACGCATCGTTTGGCAGCTCGTCGTCTGCCATTACCGAGAGACTGACCTGATCGGCCATCCTTTCGAGTTGAAATGTATAAAACCTGCGCGAGTTTAGCGCGATCGATGCATCGAGTTGCCCGCGAAACGAAAGTCTTGAACCACTTGATTATTACGTAAGTAGAAAATGTCAGGTATACATCAGACAGACTTGGTTGAGAAGCGGAGAGTGGCAGGCACGATTGCTCTGGGGAGAATTTGATTCGAGAAATCGGTAGAGTGACTCGATGCCTCGAGCGAGAAATTTCGCGATCTTAGCCATAATAATCGATCGGGGCCGTGATAGCAGTAATCCGAATTACCTGGAGGTCCGTTCGACGGATCTCGTTAAAATCGAAATTCGATAACTTCGGTGCCTTTATAGTAAACGTTAAGCGTTAAGAGAATTGTGTGTGCGTCACGCACACACTCGGGTCGCGCTCGTTTTACGCATTCGTGTGTATACGCGTGCACGCACGCGATTAAACATCAAGACCTGCGTTTATTAATATTTATGCTTGTACGCGTATATCCGCGTAGATCGTGCTCGACGACCACGAGTGCAAACGCACACTCGTAGTGCCTACTTTTCTTTGTCCCGTTCGCACCAGCATGTCCCGCCACGGAAATACGCGTCGTTACGTCGCGACAAAAGTCATCCATCGAGTGCACGATGGTGGTGGTGATGATGAGAGGAAGAGAGAGAGAGAGAGAGAGAGAAAGCGAGAGAAAGAGAAGAGTCGGCGAACGAGCAAAGAAATCTGCCCGTTTTGCACAGTGCCTTAAATTCTACGGACCATTATTTTACGAGTTGCCTCGTGATCGATCGATCGAAATTGAGAGCCTAAACTAGCTTTAGGCGTCTACAATTCTTCTCGTTGGTTCGATAGCGTCTTTCGAGAGTAATCGATTCGACGTTACGAATCCTCTCGATCGCTGAGTACCACGTGTTACACCACTAAGAAGAACCTCGGTTTGTACAAGCTTTTGTTTCTTTTTTTTTCTTCATGCTATTGTAGAACTGCCGTAATCATAGAGACAAGTCCTTTCAGACAGTCGTTCAGACACAGACACGAGAGTAAATTTTGTACACGAGGAGTAGGAAGAATCAGGAGCTGCTCGATCATCGAACAAACTTGCGATCTTCGCGAACTCCGTGCAGCTGCAGGAATCAAACGTACAGGCGTGTATGTATAAAGAAATCATAAGTATACATATAATTAGAAGGGTGGAAATCAGAAGGGCGGACGCTGTAAAACCTTGTGGAGCCGAAACTTCCGTGATCGGAGGGGTCGCTCTATAAATGCTAGTCATACGCGTTGCTCGTCCTCTTGTTCGAACTCGTTCGTTTCCCTTATCGTTCTTCATTCTGCGGAAAGTGCAAGGATGAAAACTGGAGAGGCGGAAAGATTCGAGGAGGAGAGACGAGCGTGTACCAATCGGAATGACGAATCGCGCGTCGACGCTAAGAAAACGTTTCCTATCTTTCGCTACCGTGGAAATGAAAAGCAAAGGGAGGGCAGGTGGAAAGAGAGAAAGAGAAAAGTTTGGAAATGCGATCGATTGAATAACAAAGCCTCTCGTCATTTCGTGGAGCTTAACCTCGTAGATCGAGGAGGAGTCGGTATTATCAAACTTTGATCCCACGAACGAATTCTATAGGAGGCGTTCGCTGAAATTCTAACGCGTACACGGGGACATCGAGACGCACGACGATAAGAACGTAAAGGTAACGCTTCGAACAAACGATACATTGTCGTAGGATGTACGGGATGAGTGAACGAGTGAAGTGCTTGGGTGAATTCAAAGATAAAAATCATCGAGACCTGTATAATATAATAGTTTGATTAACGCGGTAGAGAAGGGTATGCATCCGAGCGAGTCGGTTTACCATTTCTCGAGACAGATTCGTCGTTATTTATTTCCGTCTGCTTTCTGTCCGACATCGTATTTATAATTCTTTTGCGTTTGCATTTTATTAATTCGTATCGTTTTCTATTTTTTTCTTTTACTCGGATACACCCCCTGTTCTCCAACTTATTCAACTATTATCGTCGTCGTCTTTGTCGTCGTCGTCGTTGTTGCTGTTATCATCATCGTTATCACTCTCATCACCATCATCCTTATGATTATTATTATAATTACAATTATTATTATTATTATTACTGGTACGTTATCGTTGTAACGTTTATTAATACCGAGGTTAATTACGAGGAGAATAATCGCGCGTATAGGCGTTAAGATCTTGTGTAAATATCTCTGTCATTGTATTAATTTTAATAATGTGCGAAATAAAATGCCGCAAATTATTCGAAGTTCGTGCCCCTCGTTCGTTCCGTTCGAAGGAAAAATGGTCGAAAAGCAAAAGGTAAGCGAGCCATATTGTCGAGTTCACGCTTCACGAGTACGAACAGTTTTTCCATACGTGGAGCCGATTTTTCCAAGAACGTCGGTTTTCTTTTCAACCTATAAATAGGCCGACGACATTAATAGCGACCAGGTGATGCGATGATTCACACTCGAGATTTCCTGTCGAGACAAAAGCCTCCTTGCTAATTCCATTCTAATCCGATGTCGTGAAACTTATTTACCTATGTAATATTTTTACTATGTGCTCTTGTTCTGTGCGTAAATTCACGAGAAAAAGAAACTCTCTTTAATTGGATCGACCGGCGGGAAAGATACAATTTGTTGGGCTCGATTCTCGGGCATCGTTGCATAATCGGTTACGTAAGGTGGAGCGACGTACCCTGTGTCGATTTCTGGATCGTAGGTCGGCAAATCGGCACGATTACATACTTCGAAAGAGAAGGAGAGAGAGAGATCGCGTTAATTTCGCCTTGAGGTGACGCCTACGCGGTCCAACGCGATGCATATTCAAGAATCTTGAAAACGAGCGTCGCCTAAAGTTCGATCGAAACATCCGGGTACGCGGCGACTGGATGATTGATTTTTTTAGAAAGTTTCGTAAGTACGTATCGGAGGATTTTTTTGCCGGAGCAAGAGCAAGAGTAAGAGTAGAGAGCGGAGGAAGTTGCTCAAGAAATTTCGGTCGGTCAAGGGTAACGGTGGCGGACAATCGGCACGTATAAATTCGCAAAAGTAGCGCGGACAAAAATGGAATCGCGGTGGCCTGTAATTAGAGGTAACGCGCCGCTTTTGTCGGCGATCATTTAATGTTTGCCATCGTACCAAGTTGCCGTTTTTCTTCTCTCGGTCAGAGAAGTCGAGCATTCAGCATCGAATGATACGCGGATCGACCCGTGCGCTAATTAACGAATTATCGCTCGAAAGCGCAACCGTTCGACTTTATTTGGCGTTGACAGGTAGGTACCGTGAACGTTACAGCCGAATTTCTAGGCGCCACGAATTGCCGTCCGGACACCGTCTACGAGCCTTCGGGCTACTTCCATTAGCGGAAACGACGCGATGAAATCCGCCAGGAAGGTCAGACGAAAAAAAAAACGAATCGTCTGCTTCCTCCGTGAAAGCTCTTTGACCCTTTCGTAGCAAAACTCTCCAAGAGACGAGAAGTGAACGAAAAACCTTTAGAACGAATATTTTCCCGTTACAGGATCGCCTAGGACGCGAGGAGGCTGTCAACTACAAGATTTTTATGAGGATACCTCGAGGTCGACGGAGACACACAATAAGGTCTAACGAGGTGGTCTCGAGGCTTTCGGGAAGAAAAACGGTTGAACGATAGCCCGAGATAAATGTCGCGAATCCATTTGAACGAGCAACTTGCAAATTCTGGCAATGTACCGTGGCAGTGGACATTAATCGGTCGGCCAAGTATGGCCGCGAGTCGGTTATTAGACACGAGCCGGTCGTTCCTATTGTGTCTAATTCTTGGCTCGTAAATCGTAGAGGAGTTGCACGTGCATGCTGTACACGTCGTGCATTACGAGCAACCAGTGCACGCATCATACCGTCCTTTATGGTAGTCGGTAATTTGCATTCTCCCGAGATACTGGCGCATATCTCCTTCGTTCTGTAAATAATGCTTCGTTTCTTTGCCCGTCGATCTAACGAGTTTTAGTTTTCTTCGACCCATTGTTCTCGTGCGTCGAGTAAAACCAAATGAAAACCAACACGATCAACTTTTACTTACAATTACAAGTTTCCTCGTGTTATTCGATGGTAAAATTAAAGTTGCCCGCGCAGCGTTGGTTTCGGGTCGCCGCGTACGGCGCGGAGCAGCGTGGATAATCGTCGAGCGATTACAAGCGGAGCATGACGCGCAACGAATAAATTTGCAAATTAATAAATACGTGTTGTCCCGTGCGATCAATGGGTACCGGCAAGGAGAACAAACGAAAGCGTTCGGGAAAAAAGAAAATGAAAAGGCATCGGAACGGTAAGAGGCTTAGTTTCATCGAGGCGTCGTAATAAATAACGTTCAGCTAATTGCCTACAAAAGCAATCTCTTCATTTTTTATGACAGTTTGATGTCCACATTATCGCCTCGAACAATTTATCGTAACAAACAAATTCGGATAACGAATAAGCTATTATCGTAATCGAATCTTGAATCGAGCGCGTTGAATGACGGGCAATAAGTTATGGTCTGAGCGGCGGCGAGAAGCAAACGCGCAGGGCGTACCAATTCCGTCAATGCCAGCAAAACGAGCAACGCAACCAGGTAAATAGCTTAACGCGTTGCTCGATGAATTATGCGTTAACGAACCTCTGCAAAAATTTCTCTTATTTATCGGGCGGACAACGTTATCGCGATCGTTGCGCTCTCCAGGCGCCACACGTTCCCCACGAATTAAAAGCTCTTTCCCTTTCAACGATTTTCGTCGAGTATCCTGATCGTAAATTAAGAACAACGTTTCTTTGAAAGACCGTGAACTCGTCGACGTTACTTTTCATTCTTCCACGTTGAAAGTAAGACGTCCCAACTGGATCTCCGCGAACGCGTCGACGCGGTGCATCGAATCGAGGACGTTGCCGCAAGTACCTAACGAGCCACCGAGGCAGCAACAATGACGCGCGCCTTGAATTTATTGCACCTGCCGATAAACCTATAAACAGAAATCATTAAACGCTACAATGACGTCGGGTTGCAGACAAGCCGACGTTGAATCGATGATAATTGATTTCGCGAGTTCACGCTCCGGCTCGATACGGTTGAACCGCAAATGGTACTTTTTCAATGAGATCGATGATCGGATTATTTGCCGGCAACGAATGCCTACATTCGCTATTATTTGCGCTGAAAGTGTGCCTCCTAGGCACCAAGCCTAATTAAACGCCATTACCTAGAAAACCCCTTTCATTCTGTATTCTCCATTCTTTCCCATTTTGCATCGAATCCATTGACAAACTGGAATAATTCGCAAACGTGGTGCACGCGTGACGGAACATTTTCTTTCTCGCGTCGAAGGTGAACGTTACAGGGAGCCGCAAAAAAGTGCTTGCAAATTCGTCATTGAAAGTAGACGAGTGACGGATAAGCCAGCAATTATCCTTGGCACGATCGGCAACGAACACGTCGTTGCTAATTGTCGGTACTAATTGCTTGTCACCACTCTCACGGTGTCGTGGATACTTGCACGTACCTACTTACATTTTCCTCGCGACAACCCGCGAATACTCCCGGGGATACGAGCTTCTAGGTAATCGTGATTCAAGCGGCAGAAAGTGTCGCGGAAAATCGACCGTGTCTGACCAAAGATCGTCCGAATAGATTTTCGTTGGTTTCGTCAGTTTGATGAAAAGATAAAGCGGGAAATGAAATCCTTGGACCGCTTCTAGTGGCTCGTTAATCGATTTCTCCTTTGAGAAGACTCGATCAGGAAAGACCTTTGCGAATCCTTTCGACGTGGGATCGAGCATCCTTGTCGTTTTTTCACTCGATCCATAAGAGAATCGACAAGCAGCAGCGGTGTCTTTATTTGCCATGTACGCGTGCGAATATACGCGTGTACGAGCCCCGAGGAGAAACGGTTTCAATGTAATTATCGTTTAGAACGATAATAATAATAAGCTGCAGTAATTCGCGATAAAACGATAGAGAACGCGGAACAATGCAGCACGCGATTAGCGTTATAGAAAATATGACTGAGCACGAGCTTCGTTGAAATCGAGATCGACAGCTCGACTCGTTTCCAAGAAGCGATACAATCGGACATGGAAATCTCGAAGGCAAGACCCCTACGCGTTCATTAACATATTAACGCGTTTACAATCGCGCTTATACCGTTCGTTTCGCTATCGCAGCTGGGGCCCTCGAGACATTTTGGCGTTTCTGAAAAATTTAACGACCTCTTATCTTTTCGTACGCTAGGTGACTTTGGAGGAAAAATCGCGTAACCCTTTCCAGGCTAAAAATCTAAGTGAAATTGTAACGTGAGATCGGGATCTAGGAAGGAAGCGACTCGGATCGGTAGATCGTACTCCTCGGCTGGATATCACCTACGTCAGAGACGATATACCGCGCGAACAGCACTAAAAGCAGCAGCAACAACGACAACCGCGCTCTCGTGTCCACTTGGAGAGGAAAGAGTGGGACAGGAGGAGAGATCCGCGACGAAGTTCTGTAGCTGAAGTTGAAGCTGGAGCTGGAGCTGGAGAGGCGAGAGACCGGGGAGACGAGCGAGTCGACGGGAAGAAAGAACAGAGAGAAGCGGGCTGAAACGAAGCCGAAGCCGAAGCCGAAGCTTGTGGTCTCTCGCCGACTCGTGGCCAGTTTCAGCCGCAACGCTCGACCGTCAAGCTCGCGATTCGAGCGTACCAGCGCAACGGCGATCGCGCAGTCTCTCTCATCGAGATGCGAACATCGTCGCCGATACTTTCGACCGAGTGGACCGATTCGTACTTGACCAACGATGCATCTGCCTGTTCAATGAACCATTGACTGTTTCGGTGTGCATCGCGCGGATTCATTCGCCAGTTGTCCAGCGGAGTTAAAGCGCCTCGAACCTTTGGGAAATCGAGCACAAGTACGCACACGCTCGAGTCTGGATCCTTTCAGATCGGTAAACGATTCTATTCCTTCTAACGAATCTATCATTTTTTTCAGATCTCGATGCCCTGGGACTTGATCGCGAGCCGTGATCGTCCGTTTCACGCATTCGTCGGCATGCTCGATCCTGTTTGTTGACCACTGGTCTGGATACGTCATGATTTACCAGCCGAATCATCAGTCGCCGACGATGTCATCCGCGAGGAAGACGTCCCCACGGCCTCAGCGTCGGAATCTGCAAGCGTCGTCGGGAAAGTGCGCGAATGCGAAAGCGAAAGCGAAAGCGAAACGCGTGACAGACAGGACGGGCAACGAGGAGCGATGCAGGGGAAGATGCAGAGTGCAATGGAGCGAGAAACACGTTAAGGAGGGGTTGGTTCTCGTTCAAGAGGCGCAACTGGCCAGGGTGGTGAAAACTGGACCGATCACCGAGCACTACGAGATCGATTCGAAGCCGTTCGCAAAGTAAGATGTTACAAATTTACTTGAGCCGCGTTAAGAAATAGATCTCGCTCGGTTAACGATAAGATTCAAAGCGATTCAGTGCGGAGAAATCGACGTTTACGTTTCCGTTTACTCGCATCTGTCGAGTTTCAGATGACCACCGAACTCGAGTCGAGAAGCAAAGTAGCGTTCGCACGAAATGGAGCACGCTTAATCGAAAGCGATAACGCGTTAATTCCGTTGCTGGAACGGCTCGACCCAGATGCGATCGTCGTCGTAAAAACGAAATTGCATTGAATCGCGATCGCCCGACTCTCGTCCCATAACTTTCCATCGCGAAACACCTACCGATCGTTAATTCGAAATTATGTTAGATTTCGTTTAAAAGATACAGACAACCGGTGAACTTTAATTCATTTCATATTTATCGGATACGTTAAGCTGGAACGAGCCTCGTAACCCACCGTCAGGCGTGCATCGATAATCCATTGGTCGCTCGATATCCACCGCAATTGCCTCTCGTGTCTTTGCATCTTTAATGAAGCGGATTTACTGGACGATTACTACAAAGGTGTTTCGCGATTCGAAACGATCTACAAATTCTCATTCTTGTTCGACTTGTACTCGTTAGCGAGGCAAGCGGACGTTTCGAGTTCAGTGCGCGAAATTCGCGACAATCGAACGGCTGCTACAAAGAATCGATTGCACGGATACGATTCGCGCCGGAACAAGGCAGCTTATGAAGTTTAATTTTTCTAAGATTGTTCATGCTTTAATCTTTAATAATCGCGAGCAATTTAATCGTCTCGATTGTCGGAATAATACGTGCGCCTACTACCGTATATAGCGCGATCTACCTGGTCGGCTTGTATCCTCGGTGATTCAGTGAGCATGATTGCGATTCGGTATCGCTTCGGAACGCGGTTCGAGCTGCTGTTGCAGCCGAACAGAACGCAACGCGACGCGGCTCAACACACCTGGTAATTACTTTTAGAAATGGGCCTTGAATCCACGGCATTCGGCGTGCAAAAATTGCCTCGCACCGCGGGACGAGGGTGAGCGACCTGGAAAAACGAGCCTTGCCAGTCTTCGAATTTCAGAGGTTATTAAAGTTAATTGCACTCGGTATCGGATGCTCGTTACGAGTGAGCCGCTTATCTGTCTCGATTAAAGGACGCGATTCGGTGAAATTGCAACGAGGGAAGGAGGGAACCGGTGGATTCGACGATTCTCGCGCGCAAGGGCGTCTACTTTCCTCTTGGAAATTTACACCGCTTCCGGATCGGTCGAAGGAAGTTTGCATCGGACATCGTCGTTTTTCTCGAGGTTCGCGTTTCGATCTTTCGAGAACGCGGTCAACGGGAGAGCTGTCCACGATGGACGCTGGCGTGGGACGTTTGCGCAATGTACATACTCTGCCGTGTACGATACCGGAGGCAGAGACGCGTAAAAGCGAGATCGCTTCGAAGCGTCGGTTACACGCAACAACTGCGTTGCCAGCGCAGCCTTGCCAGGCGCCGCGGCGTCGACCTTGTCGAAGAGACGCTCGGAATCCTCCATGACCACTGTAAAAATCCCGTCGTATCAGCCAACCAAATTTCGCGAAGCTGTGTTCTTCCTTTCATTTTTTCTCTCATCTTTGAAAGAAATGAATTCGGAATGTTTCCACAGCGGGCAATGGGCGAAAGTGTATCGGTGCAGGTCTCGATCTAGCGGGATCCTCTACGCGGCTAAGTTCTCCTCGAGAAGCAGATTCAACGCGGACTGCAGCGCCGAGCTGAGGCACGAAATCGCCCTTTTGTCTCTCTGCTCGCAATCGCCACGGGTCGTTCGATTGCACGACGTATACGAGACGCCGAAGGAAATTATTCTGGTGATGGAATAGTAAGTACTCGCGCGTGTACACGTGGAAACTCGAGAAATCAAGCGGCGAGGCCAACGAACGAAACCACTCGAACTTTCGACTTTTCAGCGCACCTGGAGGCGATCTACAGACGCTCATCGACGGTGATTTGGTGCCCCTCGAAGGTGACGTGGTACACTTTGTGAGGCAGCTAGTAGAAGGACTTGCCTACCTCCACGAGAGAAATATCGCCCATTTGGACATCAAGGTAAGTTCGACCCATAAAAGGTCGAAACGAACTTGTCACGTTTCTCTCGTATATCCGGATCCCGGAACCGACTTTACGCGGCATCGTCGCGTCACCGAATAGTTCCGACGATTTCTTTCGCGCACTTGCTCGTTCGAAATCATACGTACAGGAATTCTAGCTATTATTTCAGCTCCGAAACAAACAAATTGAAACTGCCTTTTACGCGTTAGTGGAACAAAGAAAAAATTCGCTTGGAATTCGGACACGTCTGGAAACGAAAGCCCGATGCGCGCCACGACCCTGTTCCAGCTGGTTTTCAAGCAATTTATCGCGTCCTCTCGATACACGCGCGCTTTTTATTACCGTAATCGCGGAAACGTAAACACCTTTTAGTCGGCATACTCAGGGAAAAGAGGTTTTGTACGCGGGCGTCGCGTGTCGTCGAATAAAGCCCGTGTCTTGTAGTTTCAGCTTGTCGCTCGAATCCGGCGAGACGACCGTCCCTCTTAACGGGCAATAACGACCGGTCTCGCCGTCTCGCGCGAGCTTTGCTTCCACCATTTTTACCGACGAACTACAACGCTCGTAAAGCATCGCGTCGGCGTAATTAAGAGTTCCACGCAGGATTTGCCGTCTGGGTCGCCTCGCGATTCGCTACAAGCTACCTTTCCTTTTCTTTACGACACCGTGTTGTTCACGGACAGATTTTTCTTCCCGAACAAAGCGAGGAATCGAAGCGAACGCTGTTGTCACGCGCAACATACGGAGGAGTTGGTGGAGGAGGAGAAGAAGAAAATCCAAAGATGCAGTAAAGTACGACGCGATCCGACGGGGTCGTCCGACTTCTCCGCCACGGATAAAAGGATTCTTTCTTTCTCGTTATCCTCGCGAGAAATTGGCGAAAGGTCGACGAGCTTTTGCCACGGTACAAGATCCTCGACCAAGGCGTCTGCTCGAACGGGACGCGAGTTTCGAGCGCGTGCCGAGTTTTATCGACGACGTAAATCGTGTCGCGAATCTTTTACCTCGAACCACCAAAGCTGTTTATTTAGCTGTCCGATTCGAATTCGATTATCGGCCGTTTTCTGCATTCACGCTACGTGAATACCTGAATACCGATATAAAACTGCGCGCATGTACCACTGTCGTCTTCGACGAAACTTACGATCTGTAAACAGTCTACGGAAAAATGTCCGCTCTTCGATTAAGACTCGATCAAACGAGAAACGTTCGATCCTTTCGCTCGTAAATCCGTTTACCTCCGACATATTTTTAAGCTCTGCGATTTACTCGAAAACGAAACACGAAAGCAGTTTATCGATCATTTCGAAGTACGTTTACACGTCGTAACGTCAGCTACGGCAGCAACGATCATCCTTGGCCAGTGCAAAGTTTTCAAGCCTATTGAAAATTATTCCCGCGCTCCATAAACATTCGAGCACCGTATTTGGATATAGTGGGGCGCGTACAAAAGGGAGAGGAGGCGCAGAACAGCCGCTGGCAAGCTGCACCTCTCCCTATCCATCGCCGAATCGATGCAATTACATTGTCTCTCGATGCAGACTGCACCGTGGGCCGTCTGATCGAATTTCGCGTCGCGTCGCGTCGCGTCCTCCCTTCGACTTCTCGTGAATGTCGCCAAAGGGATTCGACTGGAAACCGATCGACGAGCGTTCTCCAGCCAATATGTAGTTCGTTTTTTCCAAAAGAATCTCGAGAATCGCGTGGAACGATTCACAGTCGGTGCTCTGGCACGGAACGCGACAAGACCCCACGCTCTTCGCACTGAAACGACCACGCCCTTACTCCATAGGTGAATCACACCTGGTTCCTATCTCGCTTTCTGAACGTTCGATATCTATGTCTGACCGCCATAACTGGAGCAACTACTGATAACTCGCGAAATTCCCGTGAAAGAGAAAGGAAAGAGTTCGCGTTCGTTTGGCGTAACGCCGAAGGGAACAGGGTCCGGTCGTCCGCAGTCGCTTCCCGGGTCGTTCGCTTCGTCAGAGACGTACAACTTTCGATCGAGGCAAAAACCGAGCAAAACGTTCGAATTCGAAAGAAATCCTGGCAAGGAATGAAACGCGCTCGAGCTCCCACGTGTTTCACGCGAACCAGTAATCGCATTCTCCTCGCCTCGTTAGCTCGCACTCGATGAATCACTAGCGTCTCTGTGGACACACGAGCGGCTAACCTGTTCACCGTAACTGGAGCACTTCTTGGGTGTTTTGCGACATTTACTCAAACAGCGGAGGAGAGGACGTTTTAATCGATTGCCTACCGGCTCGATTCGACCACGCTTAAAAGGCCCCAGTCTCCGACGTTTAATCGGGCCATTACTCTTCTAAGCCCCATCTCTAAGTTCATTTCGATTAACCTGGAAACGAAACGAACGGTACCGATCGCGCCTCTTTTTCAGAGGTCTCGGCCCACACGGTTGTTTGGTCAGTGCGGCGAGAGACCGCGTGGGATTCGGTTAGACGCGTTTCGTTCTATCGAGAAACGCTTACTCGTCCGAAAAAAGGAAAAGGTCGATCAACGCGCAGACCCTGAAGGACGCGATTAGATTTATCGCGACCAGGTGATTTCACTCCGTGAACGCAACTTCGTTGATTCGTATCGTCGCGTTTCCCTTGAATCTTGACACGCAACACCGATTCTCCGCTACTTACTCGACTAGAGACGCGGAATTGCGCATCTCGCGGACCCAGAATTATTTTTACGCCTTTTGTCATTATTTATCGAACGCGTGCCGGGACTACCGAGAGGAACTTTGAATATTCAGAGTCGCCCACGCGAACGTCTCCAAGGACCTCGACGCGTTCGAGCCAGGAAGATTCTTCCGAACCGAATGCACGCACGCTTCTTATTCTTCTTTTTCTTCTTCTGCTGTTACATAACTCAGGCATTTCGGTGATCGTTCTCTCGCTGCTCTCGTTCTGCTACTTTTGAAGAATGCAAAACAGGTCGCAGTCAATAATCAAAGCTGATTTGGTTTGCGCTTCTAAGCGTGCTCGTTAAGCCGAGAAATTGCAGCGACGACGTGTATAAGGAAACGCGAAGAACGGGCCGTTGAGAAATCTACGCTCTGCGAGATCAAGAATATAGGTTGCATTCTTATGCGACTCTCGTCGCGCGAATAAAACGCGTCCTCTCACTTAAAAAAAAAAGAAAAAAAAATGAAAATCCTGTCCGCGTTGCAGGCTACGCGGCAAAGATCGCAGCCTCGATCGCGCTTGTTCACCGAGAAACTTAATATTCCATTCTATTCCCTGTGCGCGCTCGAATTTATCGTAACAGCATCTACCGTGTTTATGTAAATGGTCGCGATGTTCCTCTCGATGAAGCGCGAATCGCGAAGCAGCCTGCCACGCAATCGCGCAATTGCTCGCTCTTCGTTTTCTCTACTTTTTCGAGCGAAGAATATTTTCACTTGAAAAGCTATAATTTAAGCGCAACGATTACGTTCGATCGCCAAAATCGTACGCAAAACACGGCAAAAACTCGTAGACATCCCGTCGAGAACGACGTTCGATTGGTTCATTAGTTGGCCATTAATTGGCAGCGTTCTTTAAACGCGTAGATCATCAGGAAGGACAGAAAATTGATTTATTCCTTCCGTCACGTCGCTCAGAATACGAAACCACGGACCTGATTTTTTCTCTTCTTTCGATCTAATTATCGTAAATCGTGATTGACTCATGCTAGTCACGGGTGTCTCGTAAACTTGAATCGATCTATCGATGCCGTTTAGCAGGTGTTACGAAGTCGCGCCGCGTGGTCTTGCCAGTGAAAGTATCTTTAGTTGGTACGGATATTAACATATGCAAATTTCGTGATCTACATAACGTCGTACGTCTTAATAATGAATCCCGAAGAGTTGGACGAAAATCGTTTGAACAATGATCGAGCTTGCTTATAATCGTATTCAGCGATGCGATAACCAACGGCGTTAAAAATATTAACGAGCTCATTCTCAGAGTTAAGAGCAAGTTTGCGTCGTTTACGCGTTATTTATGTTCAGGATTCAATTAAAGAAGGAGAAAGAAACAGCGTCTCGGTCGATCAGAATTAACGACTCAATTAAACGGCAACTAATTGATGGCGGAAAGAGACTTACCATCGACGGCGTTTTATGTTGCAGCCGCAGAATTTGGTGATGATGGGCAGTTTCCCAGAATGCGAGGTGAAACTGTGCGACTTTGAGATCTCGAGAGTGGTCTTAGAGGGGACAGAGGTTCGTGAAATCCTCGGGACACCGGATTACGTGGGTAAGCAACCGCGTCTCTCGATCAGCAACTTTGTTTCATTTTTATCGTACGCACGATCGAGGTATGCAAAGGTAAAAGGAAAAAACAGCAAAACACTTCGTTTGTACGAGCGGCTTCCACCGAATTTTAGGCCACTTGGAAAATATAAATTGCCTCGATACTGGTATCTGTGTGATGTATCGCTCGTATTACCTTGATTCAGCGAGGAGTTAAACAGGTGTGTCGGCACTTTGCTCCTCGTTCGTTCTCGTTTAATTGCTACCAATCAATACCGCGCCCCGCTAATTGACGATCTCTCCTGCGAGCAAGATCGCGAACATAATCGATATTAATTGACACGTTAGCCTTATTGCGCGATGCTGTTGTCAAAGCTACCGATTATCGACCTTTAATAAACTAATGGATCATTCGCTAGCGATACACTTGTGTGATCGATCAACACAGGACACGGAAATGAGAAGATAATTACTGTCGGTGCTTTAAGAGTGTTACTAATCGACGTTGACATTTCTACTAGAAATGTTAGATCTTGCAACCAATGGATCGTCATGAACTTTTATAGAAACTGTTACGGACGATAGGACCTTGTGAATTATTATGATAAATCTTAATTGCTCCTGTAATTTACAGTTGATCTGACTTGAATCGAGCTTTATTATTATGCGCATCCTCGACGTTTTACATTTAACGTTTTACGTTTCATCCGACTGACGCGTAAAAGCAGGGAATATTTATTCAACGAGAATCGTAGGCAGCATAATTGACGGCATAATTGATGCGCGTCCATTATTCCCGTTGATCGTATCGCTTCGTCGAATAATAGGAGTAGCACGTGTATCGTCAAACATCTAAATTGTGTTTGACGCGTCGTCAGAGATACGAAAACGATCGTGATTTAATCGTCAAGGTTTATCTATCAAGTAGCTAGCCGAGGCAAACGTTTATAACAGTTTTATGGATTCTACGAAACCTAAAAAGCAATCGCAATAATAATAACAACGCGTTTAAGGAGTTTGGGTAAATCCACCTTTTTCGAGTTCTTCGATCATCCACGCCTACGAGACGACCAATTTTCGTTTTGCAAATAAAAATGACGTCCCTAGATGATATCACGAATTCAAATGAGGCTATTCAACTAAACAGCCCACCGATTAACGTTTCTCCTCGTTTCAGCACCCGAAATTCTGCACTATGAGCCCATCACTTTGGCTGCCGACATGTGGTGCGTAAACACGGGATCAATCTATGAATTTCTTTATCGAGAATTATCGGTTTAGCGAACGTCGCGATTAATTTCAGGTCGTTGGGCGTAACGACGTACGTGCTGTTAACCGGATTCTCTCCTTTCGGCGGCGAGACCGATCAAGAAACGTTTCAAAATATTTCTTTAGGTGAGGTAGACTTTCCGGAGGAACTGTTTGGAGATATCTCGGCGCAGGCAAAGGATTTCGTCGCGAAGCTTCTGGTGCTAGACCCAAGGTGAGCTATAAATTTGCCAGGGTACGAGTTAGCCTTGCTTGCTCGAGGATTGAATATCCTCTCATGAGCAAGTGAATCTTGGTTTCAGCGCACGAATGACCGCGAAACAATGCCTGCGTCACGACTGGCTGCGTGCAGCACCTACACAAGCGTCGCCTCACCTGAGAAGATACCTGTCGAAATCGAGGGAAGTCCTTCTGGAACGAGTGGTCGGTCGGGAGAATCTTAGAAGAGCGGCGCTGTTGAGCCAGGCAAGCAGCCAAGCGAATCTCTCGAGCGACGTCCAAGAGTCGAATCATCGCGATCAAAGCTTGCAGGACTGTTTGCTGAGTCAAAGCGAGATGTGTCTGAGTCACCGTCTCACCGGAAGCCGATCTAGCCTCGAGGGTAGCGAAGATTTCCCGAGTCCGGCTGACTCGCGGACAAGCCTAAATTCATCCAGAACGAATTTAAGTTGCGCCAGCCAGAGCTGTTTGCTAAATAAAGAGCAAACACAAGGCTTGCTGAGTCGCGCACGAAGTCGTTCGCAGGCGAATCTGAATCACGGGCCCAGTCGAGGATTGCTGTCCAGAATACGAAGCCTGAATCGAATCCAATCCCAGGCGTGTTTGCTCAATGGAAATTCCTCGGCAAACTCGAGTTCGTTGCAAACGCGAATGATAGTAAATCCGGTAATTAGCAAATCACGCGAGAAACTTTACGGTCTAAGATCTTTGTCAAAATCCCAAGGGATGTTGGACATATACAGAAGCCTGGAGTGCCTAAGACGAAGAAGGAAGAGTTACCAACGTGCCAAGACCGAGGACATGTTGCCCATCTTCAAACGATTAGGCGCTGAAATCGATGCTTCGAATGCTTACAGCATAGACGATATATCGACTCTAAGCGAAACTAAGAAACATTTTAACGAAGAAAACATACAGGTTCCAAAGTTGGAGGTGTCGCAGCCGGAAACTTTCGACTGTCTCCAAGTCGCTACCCATACCGAGATCTTAAACGTTCAATCGCCGTCCGTGACACCGGTAGAAGAGAAGGTTCAAAATCAGATGGAAGTATCGAGAGGCCAAACTTTCGAGTCTGAGGAGAATTTGGACTCGTTGAAATCAATCGAATCGGACACGCTGACCGAAGAGTCGGACGAAACGTCTGTGAATCGCGAAACGGAATCGAATCTGATAGCCGGCAAACGACCCTGTCAACGACAGCACTCGGACGCTTCGAGTCACTCGAACAATTCGGCAACTTCCGACGACAAAGAAGATCGCTCGACAGAGTCCGAAACCGAGGAACCAAAGTACACAGTGGCGCAGCTCGTCTCCGCGTTTAACAAACACCAGGAGGTCGCCTCGAGAACCAGCTTGGAAGCGATAATGACCGAGAAGAGAGTGAACGAAGTAACCTTCCCTACCGGAACAAAAGCGCTCAGGCTTTTTATACCAGACATCAATATCAGCGAGAGTAAAATCGTTAGACGGAAGACGAGTTACAAGCCGCGGAAGAACTGGGAAGAGCTGAGGAAAAAGAGCGAGAAAAACGAAGGGATCCTGAAGAACTTCGTCAGTGATTCAGCAAACGAAGACGAAGACGAGGATATCGATAATCGGGAAAAGTCAAAAATCGAAAGCAACACTTCTGTGAACGATGAAAAGAAATTAGATATCGAGGAGACGAAGGAAAGGTGGGAACAACAGGAAGATCGATGGTCAATGATCATTCCGCCGATCGAAATCAACGGCGATTCTATTTTCACAGAAGATTCGGCTCGTAACAATGTCGATACCACGATAGACGAGAAATACAAGCGTTGCGTGAAGGGTGCTAAGTTGAACGCAACGGAGACAACAAACGAAAAGCCTCAAAAGACGACCGCTACTTTCACTCGTCAAAAAGAAAGACTGCCAAATTATATATATCCCGAGGTAACGTACCATGTCAAAGACGATTCTCAGGACACGCTTAAGAAGACAGCTACCACAGTTTCGAACGGAAAGTCGAGCCCAAAAGAACAAAGAACCGATAGACCGAAAGCAACAACCCATGTTATGGAATGTGTCAACGTAAACTTGAAAGATATCCTTCAGAGGGTGGACACGTTTCAAAGTACGCCGAAAGAAAATTTGGAAAATTTAAGGAAAAGAACGTCGATTGCCAAGATAATTCTAAATGACAATTTGTCTCACGATAATCAGGATACGAACGAGGGTGGAATTCGAGGAACGGGTAGTCGTGCTAGAAGCGAGCCACCTTCGAGCTTACCTTCGAAAGAGGAAGTTAATAAAATAAAATTGATTGTACCACCCTCTTTTGTAAGATCTTCTTCTTTGTCCAGCGATAGCAGCTGTCCGACACCTTCCAGCGTGCAATCGGACGTGAACGTCTCCTGGGAGGACGTCCAGCAGACGGAAAAAGAGGATCCCAGCAAAGTTCGAAGAAGAAATGAAATTCAGAGAACTTCGAGCGAAGGGAGAAACAAACAGTGCTCGGAAGACAAGAGACTTTGGGGTAGAGTCTGTACAGGATCTTACAGCAGAGCCATGGAGAAATTTAACAAGAACAACAACGAGCCGAACAAAAAATCTGTTGTTCAGCTAAATGGACTGCAACAAAACGAGAAAACCAGAAGGAAAAGCAGCCCCGCGATGCCTCAATATATCAACCCCTAAAAAAATAGACTTCTCCTTCTCCAAGACTGAATCTAGTGTGCTCGATCTTCCCCGATTACGGTAACCGTGAATTTTCGCGATCTTAATGCAAACGCGTTTTCTTTGATTAAAGAGCGAAGCTGACAAATAAATAATCGGCAAACGTGTGTCATCAAATCGTACGCGACAAACGGTAACCCGTCATTAACGTCGTCAAATATGGAGATTAAACGTGATCCATCGTCACAGACGTATCCTTGACTTAATCTCCATATCGAGCAATCTAACAGAATAATTTTCTTTTTTGTTGAAGCGTAGAATCGATCCAACGCGTGAACACTGCACCATGGAAACCCAGAGCAAATGAGATCGGCATAGGTAATGTGTGGTGTTCGTCAAATAATGTAAAAGAAAGTTGGTTGCCAGTGTCGATTCCACGTTTAAGCGACAGATTGAGATTTGACTATTCATTTATTATTTCTATCGTTTAATAAGGATAAGTATCAACGAAATCGATAGAGTACTCAATCATGGCCATGATTCCCTTGCCTTACGAGGATAATTACCACGTGACTCATTCTAAGCAAAAATCGCGAATAAGTAAACGCAATAGCATAGCATCAACTTTGTTTAAAACACGATGGAAAACGTACGCATCTCCCATTATTCATGTTACACTTCAAAGAAAGGACGCTTGATCTTTGAAGAAAAAGTTGAACGAAAGTATCGCTACAACTTGCGTTCAAGAAAATTGCTCACTCACGAGATTATCCTTTTACGATGCAGCATTGCCTCTACTAATTTTACCTTGGCTATCGAACTTTATTTTAAGTGTTAGCAATCACGATTTAATTGGCGTGAATCGGAATCGATCGTTCAGTTTATATCGTAGTGCTTAGCATTTTATCGAGGCCGGTATTTAGCATTATCCGCGTTTAGATTTTAATCGACCCGTTCAATTTTGTATCAAAGTTATCTCAATAAAGACTCTTGCCCGTTGAACGCTGTTAGGTGGTTAGTTTCGAAAGGAGAAGAAAATTTGAACCAGATGCAGGATTGGTAAAATTAAATTTTATTATAATATAAAACAATTCGGCATCGTCGTTTCATTGCATTTCGTTAGCGATAATAATAGTATACACAAAATAATGGTAAATTTTACAGTCATTCGATTATTCCCATCGACTCTTCCTCACTCTCTTCTTCTCCCCGCTGGTATTTGATGCTTGGCTATTCTGAGATCGCGATTGTTCCGTATTTGGTTTTGGTGGTACAGGAGGCGGTGGTGGCATTATCACCGAAGGACGTGTAATAGTTTGTTCCCACGTGTGATCCGACGATGCCCGAAACTAAAATCAAATATCCCTCTATATATTATTACGCTTTATCACCTAAGAAAACGTAACTTACCTGAGAAGTGTATTGACTGCGAAACGCAGCTTTCATAGCGGATAATCGATCGCTACCAGGTCCGTGTCTCTCTAATTTCTTCACCACTTCGCTAATGTCCTTCGATCCTTGCGACGAAGAACCGCTACTCTAAAGTCGTAACAATTTCAAATAATCCTACTTTCGTCCGAAGGGAATTATTTATGATAAAAAAAGAAATTCGACGAATAAATACCGAAGTCGACGAAGTTTCAGGCCTTCCTCTAAAGCCAAGTCCAGCTCCTCCGACGTTCAAACTTTTTCCCTTTCCACCTTTGAATCTCGATTTTCGGAACCAAGCGCTTTGCATCGCCAAGTCCATCAGACTCTTTGGTACCTCCTGGTTCGCTCCTTCCAAATTTCGGACTAGATGTCCTGCGAATTCTTTGTCCTTTTCCGTCACAAGGGTATACGCCGTACCCTTTTCCCCGGCTCGACCCGTTCTACCTATCCTATGCGTGTGAATATCGATATCTCGCGCTACGTCGTAATTCACGACAGTTCTGATATGTGGAATGTCCAAACCTCGGGCTACAGGAAATTAAAAAGTTTCACTGAAACATCCAGTAACAAGTTTCCAAAAAAATCCCAAAGTAGTAACATTACCAGCAACGTCAGTAGCAACCAAAGTACTGACTTCCTTCTTCTTAAAAGCCGTGATCACTTTATTCCTTTCAATTTGATCCATATCACCGTGCAGAAGCAAAACATCAAACTCTTTCAACTTGAGATTATTCGCAAGCTCCTCCGCGTTAAGCTGCGATGCAAATCGAACGATACTTTAAATACTTTCCTGTATCTCATTGATCCAAATAAGCCGCGCGACCATGATTGACTGACCTTTTTGGTAACGAAGATTAACAGGCTACCAGCGCTTAAAAATTCGACCAAATTCTGCAACAACCAAGCCCACTTGCCGGTTGGATTATTATTAAAGACTACCACGTGCTGAGTAACGTCAGCATTAGCTTCACCAACGTCCCCTTGAACTATCCTAACCGGGTCTGTTAAAACATCCCTCGCTAGCTTTTCTACCCTCTTTTTGAAAGTTGCACTGAACAACAACGTTTGCCTGTCCGGCCTAACGTGGTTACAAATTGAACGTACTTGCGGCTCTGGAATCAGATAGAGCGATAACAAGTGAAACAACAATCTTGTCGATAAAAATGAACACACAGTTAATTCGTTGTAATCGATTCTAATAGACTTGTCTTGTTCCTTACCGAAACCCATATCGAACATTCTATCGGCTTCGTCTAATACCAGAAATGTTGCTCTGGTTAGATTCGTCGCTTTCATTTTGACTAAATCTATAATTCTACCCGGTGTTGCGACTACTATCTCCGCACCCCCTTCCAACGCTTTACTTTGTTCCCATTTGCTACCACCACCGTAGCAGCAACACACTTGAATGTTATAGACTTTCCCAAACTTTCTTGCTTCTTGATAAATCTACGAATACAAGTAAGTCGATAAAATGGTTTTGACGAACTTAGCTTATCCACGTATAGTGTTGTTTCCCTTAAAATATCTTATCGTTAGAATTAAATACCTGTTGAGACAATTCTCTTGTTGGGGCAAGAATCAAGCCGATAGGTCCGTCGCCAGCCTTTAATTCTCTCTGATCCATTATGTGAACCAACATGGGCCAAATGAAGGCTGCGGTTTTACCGCTTCCAGTCTTTGCTATACCTATTATATCCCTGCCACTTAATGCGGCAGGAACGGCTTGAGCTTGGATAGGAGTGGGTTGGGTATATTCGTTTTTTCTAATTGCTTTTATTAACGCATCGTCAAAACCAAAATGACCGAAACTTGTGACCGGGTTAGGCGGCGAGGGACCAGATACCTTTATCCCCAACGTCTTTCTCAAATCGTCGATCTGTTGTTTGCTTAAGCTGGCGATTTCATCGTGGACGTTGTAAAAGTTTTTCTCAAACGACTCGTACTGTATCTCGCTATGATCGATGGGAGGCAGAGGATCGATCTCTTTCTTTTTCGGAGGCGCGATAGGATTCCCGTCCTCGTCGTATTCGATTTCTTGGTCAGATTCCTCTTGTTGTAACCCCGCGGTTGGGTTTTCCTCCATATACCTTGTCGGATAAACAACCCGGTCAATTTTTCTCTGCTTCTTCGCTCCCATCTCGCCGGTCAATCGGCGCAACTTACCTGTAATAGCTTTCTTCGTCGTCCTCGCAGTCGATATCTGCTCTGAATCCCTTAGACTTGTCTTCCTTGCGCTCATCTTCCGCGAGCTGAGCTTCGTAAGTGTTTTTCTTCACTTCGGCATCTATACCAGCCATGAAAGCATCCAGCGGATCTTCGTCGCTGTCGCTCTCCTGTTTTGGCGTCGATTTCTTCATCCAATCGTAGGTAGGAGATCCAGGCGCTGGAATATATTCTAAAGAGAATGGTGGAGGATCGTCGTCGTCCTCGAAGTATCTAGCTCGAAGTAATCGTGAAATTTAGAATTTACTCTCCACTTATTCTCTACTTCTCTCTCCCAACTTATACTCACTCTTCTTCGGTTTTACTACGTTTTTTTGGCATACCCCAACACGCGGACAAAGCATTTTCAGTGATTGAATTCATGGTATGATACCCTTGTTTGCTTAGGGTAGAATTTGGGGGAGGTGGTGGTATATTTGAGCCGCTTCTTTTGGTACCAGTCATTTGGAAACCGGCAAATCCAAAGCCTTTTGGCTTGTTACCTCCTCCACGGTGGTAACTCATGTTTTTCTAATATCTGCTAAAACATGGTTATATTAACAATGCTTGCTTACCCTAAGTGTACTGCTATCTGGCCTCAAAAGTTGGATTCATAGGTAGGTCTTTATTCTTGAGATCCTCTTAATTACATCAATTAATTTTGATGCAAACCAAAATATTGCCATTTGATGTTATAAATTTTAAATACACTTTGTTTAAAAAATTACAGAAACATAAGAGAAAAATCAATGAAATGATCGACACTATTTCTCGTATCTGGTCACTAAAATAACAAATGTAGTACGGAATACGTGGGAAGGTTTCAAGTAACAATTGTACGACACTATTTTAACAACATTGCGAAATCAATTTTGGCAATACATATTTATTGTTTCCATGTAAATGTAAAGGAAGAGGTTAGAAAACCTTTGTAACCCATTAATTTCGCGGAGAACGTTGAAGCTGCGATTTCTTTACACGTAATCGCGGACCCACTGATTCACCGATATTTTAGGAGGATTACGTTAGGCAAATATACCTTATGCAAATATCCTTCTGGCAAATAAAATTTCACATCTAACAAAATGAGACTTTACTCCAATATCGAACGGTAAAGTAATACATACTGCAACAACTTGGACGGTGCTGCCTCCATACGGAGTCTTTGGTGTATTAGACGCCATTGTTCCCTAAAGAATAATCCCAAAACGATTATCACTTAATTATCTTTCAAATCATACAGTTTATCTTCGTAATATGCATTTTATCAAAAAATTCGTCTATCATAAATATTGGAATTTCATTTCTAGTATGTTATTTGCAACTTAACCGATGTATTTATTGAAAATCCTTGCCTCTTCATCTTGTTCCTCCTGTCACATAATCTTATTAGACAATGATGGACCAAAGTTAGTTTCATTAGAGAAGCTAAAGCAAAGTATCGATAATTATTAGAAATCGTAAAGCTAAATTCACGAAGTTTCAGAAATAAATTAAAAGCTAGGAATTGCGAGCAAAAAATTGATGTTCCGCTTGTTGATTAGAAATGCGGATGCGGTGGAACGATAAGGCACGTTTTATTAAAACGTGTTTAATATCGCAGCAATGTCGATTGAGAGGATCTTCATTCATAGTTTTGTGGTCGAGAGTGACATAAATAGTCCTATCACAGCTGAATCGATCGAATATCTGAGCCTGCGTGTTAACGGAGGCGCCATGCGACTTCTCCAATTTCAGCGTCCGTCGTGATTTCGTTTGTCGCAGTTCACGTTTTCTTACGTGTATCGAAAATTAGTGCATTTCAACTGAAATAATCCCTCGTAAGTACTCGAATAATTGTCAAACTTTTTACTTGACAGCACTTGGTCATAACGTGTCTGTTGAGCAAATATTTGCTCCCGAGTGTTCTTTAACGAGAACAACCGTTTTGACATTCCATTCTCCAGTTATCCTGAAAACGAAGATAATCGGACTTGTGAAATATCTGGAATTTGATGCATCATCGTTGATACACGGTTGATCGCAAACAATTCTGATCGAAATATCTTTCAGAAATCAAAATGCCGTCGGTTCGCCGGATGATCCTGGGACACGTCGTGTCTGGCTTGTGTAGTAAAATGAATCGTACGAAAAAACTTCAAGGTGATTTGCTCGAGACACCCATGAAACGATGCCTTTCCACCTTCGATATTACGTTGCTCGGTAAGTTTGTTGTTTTATGCTATTTTAATCGTAAGGACGCGTACGGCTACCACTCGCGATATCGCACCCGAACGCGATAAAGCAGTTCTCAAACCGGAAAAATGTTAATTGCACTCTTGCAAAATAACATTCTGATTCTGGGAGACATATACATACATGGAATGTCGGCTGTAAATCGTTAATGCCAAACTTATGTTTATCTCGTAGGTGTGGGTCATATGGTTGGCGCTGGAATCTACGTTCTGACAGGAACGGTAGCCCACAACACGGCTGGTCCAGGTGTTATTTTAAGCTTCCTACTCGCCGGTCTAGCTTCCTTGTTGGCGGCATTGTGCTACGCGGAATTCGGAGCGCGAATTCCAAAAGCTGGTAGCGCTTACGTTTACACGTACATTTCTGTCGGTGAATTTTGGGCTTTCGTTATCGGATGGAACATCATATTGGAGCACATGATAGGTACAAATGTTTCTCTCGTCTCGGTATTCGTACCACCTTACAAGCTTCGTAGAACTATTACTTTTAAACAGGAGCCGCATCGGTGGCCAGAGCTTGGAGCGGATACGTTGATTCTTTGGCGGGAGGATCTATTAGCAATTACACCCGTCACATAATGCACGGGTATACCATGGGAGAACCGTTCGGAAACATTCCCGATTTACTTGCCGCAGGATTGTGTCTTGCTTACGCGATGTTACTGGCATTAGGGGTGAAATGTTCAGCGACAGTTAATTCTTTACTCACTATCGTAAATCTCGCTGTAATGGCGCTGGTGATCGGTTTGGGAGTTTATTACGCTGATCTTTCTAACTGGAGCAGCCAGAACGGAGGCTTCCTACCGTTTGGTTTCGGGGGTGTGCTAGCAGGTAACGTTTCTTACTCGAAATATTTACACGATTAAACTATTTCCGCCGCTGACTCGATTATCGCATCGAACACAGGCGCTGCAACGTGTTTCTACGCTTTCGTGGGCTTTGATTCGATCGCAACTTCCGGCGAAGAAGCTCGCGACCCAGGACACAGTATACCGCGAGCGACTCTTTTATCCATGGCGATCGTAACCATCGGATACGTGATGGTCGGCGCCGCTCTAACTCTGGTCGTACCATTTTGGAACATCAATCCAGCGGCAGCACTTCCGGAAGCGTTTTCTTCGAGGGGAATACCATGGGCCAAATACGTGATAAGGTTGCATTAACTTTAACATCGATTTCAAATAAGGCACAACTTTATTAAAACAATAATCGTTTACATGCAGTGTTGGGGCTTTATGCGGAATGACGACAACTCTTTTCGGATCCCTGTTCTCCTTGCCGCGAACAATGTACGCGATGGCGAACGATGGTCTTCTCTTTGGTTTTCTGGGCCACGTAAGCGAGCGTACGCAAGTCCCGGTTCTCAATTTGGCCATCAGCGGTTCCGTCAGTGCCTTAATCGCTTTGCTCTTCGACCTTCAACATCTGGTCGAATTCATGTCCATCGGTACTTTCCTGGCCTACACCATTGTCTCAGCAAGCGTGATTATTTTGAGATATCGTCCTGAGAAGAACACAGTTGCGTCTTCGAACGCTGGTACACCGAGTAGTTTGACGTCACCACCTACGGAGGGTGCCGATTCCAATAGCGATTGTAATAGTATCACGTCCGCGGAATCCGAGGTTAGTGTTTTACTTCGCTTAATTTCGATCGCTGTACGATCGATTGTAATCTTCTTTTTCGCAGTTATTGGACATCAGCGAGGGTGTTGGTAAACTGAAACCACGATACGCCTGGTTGGCCAACTTTTTAGGTAACTGTAAACCAGGAAACGCAGTGGCAGGTTCCGTGATGATTTACACGGTTGGATGCATTTCCCTTTGTCCTCTGTTGATATTAATATCCGAAACGTACTTTGCCCCAGCATGGTGGGACTACTTTGTTATGGCAAACGTTGTTCTGTTATTGATAGGAAGTGAGTGTTTCCTATCCGTTTCCGACACCACACGGTTCAGAAATTAATCAAGGATAATCGTAGGTTTGCTCGTCATCGCTGCGCATCAACAGAATCCTCCCACTGGTAAATTTCGCGTACCTATGGTACCATTGGTACCAGCTTTAAGTATTCTATTCAACGTTGGACTGATGTTCCACTTGTCGCTTTTAACTTGGTTACGATTCCTTGTATGGATGATTGTTGGTAAGTCGATGCGTTAATAATTCTTTTCTCTTCCATTATCTTGACTGATAACGTCATTCTTGTCAACTCATTCATTGCAGGCATGTTGATATACTTCTTGTACGGGATTCACTACAGCAAAGAAGCCGCTAGTCCAAATTCATATTCGATTTTAATGGCAACTTCGGAAGCTGGAAGAGGTGCCAAGTGGGGCGCCACATTGCGCGTTAATCAGAAAAGCGACAAAGTCCCAATTTTGAACGAAGAGGATTTCGTACATTAGAAAGAGGTAGCGTTCATCGGAAAGTATTTCAAGATATGCCATTCGACGCTGGATGTAAGTATATTGTGTGATGTAGAAAGGTAAGAAAAGTTATTGTATATTATGACCATCAGTTTCTCGCGATCAACGTTTTCACAGTTCTTTGTACATACATACAAACGTTGGATAAATCGAGCTATACTTCCCTTTCGAGACGTTTTGCCTTTAACAATTAAGCGACTGAACGTCCAAGGGATTTCAGAATAGACAAGACTGTGTTTTAGTATTTATCTTAATTAGGTTTTCGATAGATCGTCGTGTTACGTTTGCAACACGTTAAGATTCAGTTTGAAAATGCTCTGTCTTCTTTATATTTTACTACGCACAAGTTAATGGTGTGTGCCATTTTTTCTGTTCGTATTTTAACAAATGTACATTGATTCTCGATATGCCTACCAATGTACATTGATTATAAATTTACGTGTTGATATACATACATAGATAGATGAGTGAAATACAAAGTTCATCCGGTGATATATGTATGTAGCGTGTAAAATAGCAGCATTCAACTGACACTGAAAGAGGAACTACCCAAGTGTTACACTCACTTATTAATGAAACTTTGACAGCTTGTAGAGCTCGTCGGGCTGAACACACCTATGCCCCTTTTGGGAGCAGACGGTTAATTGTTTAAAAGATATTAACAATTACATTTAGTTACTCCTTACATTCTGAAATATGACAAACTCACACATACAACTCGTAATCTAGAGATCCGCGGTTCAAATCCTTGGTTCCCAACATTTTTTCTTTTTTTTTAATGATAATTTGTCTCTTTTTGAATAACTATTGCATAAAAATTTTCATAAAAAAAAAAAAAAAATTTTTGGGAACCAAGGATTTGAACCGAGGACCTTCAGATTACGAGTCATGGATCCGCTCCGTGGTTAAACACATGACTCACAATCTAAAGGTCCTCGGTTCAAATCTCCTTGGTTCCCATTTTTTTTTTTTTTTTTTTTTTTAATAATTTGTCTCTTTTTGAATAACTAAAATTCTATATAATTCTAAACAAACTGGCAAGGTTTCATTAATAAGTGAGTGTAACACTTGGGTAGTTCTCCGTATGAGGGAAAACGTTACATTATTAACAATTTGCTCTTTTAATACGGTCTGAAATCTGATCTGTCAAATTCCAAAGCGTTGCACGGTGAAACATATGAACTCGAAGATGTGTAAAGCGAAAAGGAAAAGATCAGATTTTTAAAAGAGCATGTAAACTGATCGTCTATTTGAAGAAAATTTAAACCTTTTGCTGCGAGGATCGAAACATGGTGCCTTGGGAACGGATAGATTATTTATACAGTAAGATATACGAATCTAAAAGCAAGACAATAGATTCGCCTATTATACGGCGGATATTAACGATAAGTTTAAGATTACCTATACACGGATTTGCTAGGCACACGAATTGCCCAAACGCATCATCATGATCGATACGTGTTCTGGGATGGTTTCTCCCTTGTAAGATTAGAGAAAATTCGTTGTAATTATTATTTAACTGCCTTTAGACACAAAATTTGAACCACAAAGTACAATTAAATCAACTTGTTCTATAACGTAAATCATCTCTGGGATTAACCGTTCCTAATCCACCAATTTATTCACGATCTCCTTACGTTGAACATACCAAAAGAACCACTTTTGACGCCAAACAAATATTGAGTAATACTTCGTGTTGTACCTTAAATTACCGTTTCTGTGTGATATATATATATTATATATGGATGTATATTGTCTTCAGTTCTTCAGCTAAGCAGATCCAGCAAGGATCGTTTACCGTAGAAAATAATATAATCGGTGTTACATAAGAAAGTATACGTATATTGATATCTTAATGGTGGTTACTACCGTCAAAGTGCCGTAGATGTTATATAGATGACCATTTATTATAGCTAAACATCGTAACCACGTTAAACGTATGATTGAACGCCAATGATTATCGCTTTGAAACGATAATCAATCGAATAGTTTACACTTTTTTCAGATGCAAAGAAACGTTTTAAATACATATCGTTTAATGTAAAAAGTTATAGCAGAGCAACAGTATATATATAGTAGCCTGATATCTTCTTGTTTCAGAATGTTGTTTAATATATTCATAATTGTCTTACGGTGTTATTTGAAACGTTTCTTTCGGTATTAAAAAATGTAACATTAATTGGATAAATCGTGGAAAGTTTACTCCTTTATAAATTAGAGAGTATGTATACACGTTTAAAACCAATACGTTACCTTCAACATATAATTAAAATTTGTTGGCACACAATTTCAAGTAGATATATAAATACGTACAAAATTATCGCAATAAATGAATGGATACTCGCTGCGATCGCACAGAAGCGTTCACGCGCAAATCTACATGCAATTAAAATTCGAATAACTGCAATCAAGCACTATACGTGGTTATCGAGTACAAGAAATTGTGTATAAAAAAATGGTACCAAAATTATTTGTCGGTGTAGGTACTGTATGTCTTCTAATACACAAATATTTAACAAAGAAAAGATTTATGATTTTTCTACCGTTAATTAATAGTTCGCGTTATTAGCAATCATAGACTTTCAAAACATGCAAATTCCTAACTAACGATTATTCTTTGAGTGGCATACCCTTGACAACATCGTTTAGAAACGTAAGATTATAAAGTACGTCAAATTTGACGTATCGAAAATCAAATAAAGTTCAACCTGAATGCCATTAATAACACGAAACGACAGAGATTTACGAGCAGGTATCGAGCTACGAATCCAGATAAAACACTGAACTCGATAGTCAAGAGCTTTAGAAAGATTTCTAGAATCAAAGTGAACACACGAATTGCAACATGTTGGTGAAACTAATTCTGATCTCAACGATCTGTAGCTTCGTTTATGCACGAAGCATCGAATCTCCTGGTGAAATTCAACAACGTTTATCATTAATTGGTGAACCTCGTTTTGACCCGATCATGGACGTGGAACCTTCGAAATCTGTAAATACTGCATTTTATTTCTCTTATAAACAAGTAGATTTCCTGTGAATAAAGATAACGTTTTAATCGAGCATAGATTAACGTAATTGAAATATAAATCTTAGGAAGCACGACACGTTCTTCGTTTACCTACGGGTCGTATAATCCCAGACGATACTTTGTCACGACCTGTAGAAAGCAGACCGATTACGAATCACGAATCACATCCGGGAATGAAACACCTAAAGAAAAGAGCAATGAATTACAAGGAAGATCATCAGGTCGATTTACGGCCAGGCTGCTGTGGATAAAACACTGGATGAACACATTTAAACGATTCCTCGACAATGGATCTTGTTCCGTAAATATTTATTTTCTTTAAAATGTATTTAAGTGCAATTGGTAGATATCGTTTAAGTGCATATGGTAGATACCGTTTTAATTTCTTTTAATTCTTCTCGCGGTGAGATAGTATACGAAATAAAAAGATTTTCTTGAAACCATACGAAGATCACTGAACAGCATCTCTTCCCGTTACTCCTGTTCGTATAATTCACGATTAATAACGCGATAAGTATAAAGAGAGAGGTTGGAAAAATCCAAGAAAGGTAAGACAAGATTATTCGTATTGAAAACTTTTATTAACATCCCGTATTCGTACATTTTATCATACAAGACCGCGGAACAATTGCAACTTTCATCGTTGGAATTGTTTAAAATCGATAGCAGATATACGGTAAATCTGTGCAATATATCATGTATATTACATTGTAACTAAATGTTACCAACCTTCATGGAAGGATAAGATTCAAAGATCATGTAAAAAACAACAAAGATTTCTTTACATTTTCGGCATATCGGCACAGTAATATGTAGAAGGAATGGAATGGTCTGTAACAAAAACGACATGCCGTAAATGAATTCCTTCTCTTGTAAAAATAATATCATAATCGACGCAGTACTCGTTGAACGTTATTATTGTGCTAATGCTTGAAAGGATATCATACAAATTCTTTTTTATAACAAGATTAGATATCGAATGTGTGCTTCGTACAACTTCGATCTTTCGCGTTACAAAAAATAATTTAAACGAAAAACAAAAATAAAAAAAAAGTAACCAAAAAAGTTCGGATAATAAAATTGGAACACTTGGGTAGATACTCGGAAAAAACCCACGGCATAGACAGCTAACACACAGTCGCTTTACACGCAATCATTTTGTACATTTTTTTTAAATAATTAAAGGTACCGTGTCAACAAGTTGTAAGATCGATTCAATACTGTTATCTGTTCTGTTTCGAAAGTATAACTTTCCAAGCAGACATCGATCTCCTCTGTAAGGAGTCGATTTTTCGTCGACCCCATCTGAGCCATAGGAGTCCTATGATCAAACATAAGACACTCTCGATGTAATAGCCATCGAGCTGCATATTACAAAGACCATTGTGCGTATTCGCGCAAAGCTGCAACAGAGAAAAATTCAATAAACAATTACTGGTCGAATCAGTAATTTAATATAACTTAATATTACGACCAACCTCTCTTTTTGAAATTGTACTACAGTCATTGGAGGGATCGGTGCTACATTGTCGGAACGTTAATGAATCAACGAACCAAAGCGCTGCCGTTCCTGGCCAATTACCTCCGAGATTACATAACGTATTCAATAATGTCATGTAGGTACCACCTACCGCAGGATCACTAATTTTCGCGAAAAACGCCATAGATGCCACGAACATGCTACTTGTGAAAACCTGGCATAAGTGGAAATAACTTGAATGAATATCTGTCTGTTTCGAGATACATCGAGATACATTATCGAGATATACTTTACCTGATGTATCAAATATAAAACTATTAATATTACAAAATAGTAAGCTGGTACTTGTCCACCGCTTACAACGTACGGTGTCACCCATACTAAAAACGCTGCTACTAGCCCGAAAGCTAATCTATACGATTAATGAAAAATTTCAGTTAAATGCTGTGGTAAAAATGAAACACATATTTTACGATACTCGTAAATTTTGTCATTACCTATAAGGCATAGCCATTATGTACACGTCCATCGGTCTCGGACCGACCGTATACCTCGAAATTGCTAGCGGTAATAATATCTGTAACGGTATCATAGGCACGGCCATAAGGGCGAATTTTTCTTTTGGTATACCAGCTTCTACTAGCTTTAAACCCGTCACAGCATCGCAAGCAGAAAACCCTATCTGCAGTCAATGATAATACAATATTATTAACGATCGTACAGATATAAATTCTCTACTATGCATCTTCTGACCTTAGCAGTTAACAGGAATACAATGATGGTTTTTATGGCTGGTAATTTGAAAATATTCCAAAGTAATCTGTATGCATGTTTGATGTCTGTATTTAATTCCCCACCTTTGTGCATCTTTCCTGAATCTTCATGTTTGAATATTGCAAGAAAAGTGGTTGTTATAATAAATATCCAACCCCAGAAGTAAAGAAATCCTATAGCAGGAAAGATATACAAATTATAAACATCATCTTTTCACATGCACAGTAATTCATGATTGCTTACCAGGTAGGGTCAGTATACCCTTGCTGGAAGGAATGTATCTCAAGTAACTATTACAAAATTCTGCTGACTCTAATGCCATGAAAAGTACATAACCAATGAAATAACCAGCTGTTTGTCCCACACTGTTGCAGGTGGATGCATAACCCACATTGCATCTTTTTAACATTGTCAATGCCCACCCATCTACTACAATGTCTTGAGTGGCAGCAAGAACATTTAGAGTAAAGAATATTACAGTTAACATTTCTATGTTGGGCTTTGCTGTGTCATCACCTAACCACCGGTTTATGTGGCCAGATAAAAGCAGCATGAAAAATCCCATTAAATATTGAGTAGGAATCAACCATGTTTTCCTTCTCCCAAATGTTTGAGAAAATACAGAATCTACTATGGGTGCCCAAAAGAGTTTCAATGAAAAGGGCCATTGAACAAAACTGAACTCAGCCTAGGAGTAAAATAATATTCGTATAATAATCAATTATTTTTCTCGCTTTGATCGATCTTAACGCAAATTTCGGGAATTACCTGTTGACGATACGAAACGTCCCGGTTTTGAAGTAACATAGGAATAGAGCTGCATAAACCCAATGGTATTCCTTGCAACAGATATAAAAATAAAAGAATTGCTATATTTTTTTCGTCACCTCGTAAATCCGAATGCTCCTGTACGTGATTCGATTCGCGAATCCCATCCTCTACGCTGCCGTCCTTTTTCATTTTCCGTCTGGTACCCATGAGGAACAACAAAGGTAGTCAGCGACAATATCATGCACCTTATAAAACGACTTCCGACGAAACAGGTGTTCCTTTTACGTAAGTGATAACTTCCAAATTATTATCGCTTACTTTTGACCACACTATTGAAATTCTCATGGGTTACACTGGAATTATCGGTGCAATATTCCAAAGTATCTTAACGCAGCGTCTTTTCTCAAATAATAAGTGATCATTTTTAAACGGAAGAACCACTTATTCGTTGATAAAATGAATTATTTATATTACATCAGTGGTATCAACATTGACGTGGTCATCATCGATATAACCTTAATAACGTGTATCAAGTACTATTGTACCTTCACGAGTAACTAACGAATATAATTCCGATTAAAAACTTAATCTTTTATACGTGTATTAAGAGCAACAACGGCACTGACTAACGTACAAAGCTGTTTCGTTCCGAATCATTCGGTTAAAAATCATATAAATAAACTAGCAATACAGCTTAAAATTGCCACGTTGTTTTTCATTAGGGACACGTCAGTTATACCTGTCTTTCCTGTTTTTTAAGTCACGTGTAAGTCATTTACTACCGAAACTAATAACTCCATAGATGAGCAAAATACTACGCTTGTAATAAGGTGCGCGCGCGCGTTTGGGTGAATCGTCAATGAAACTTAGTTACTTTGTAAACGCACCTTTTATTTCACGTAAAATCCCTCTATACCATCGTTATATATATTAATATTATCCAGTTAATTAATAACGCTTGGAAAACCATGTAAAACGATACACAGATGAAAAAAAAAATTAATATTATGCGTATAAATGACGAGAAATGACCACCTCTAAGATTTCATGAACGAATATCATGAATGGTGGTGGGGATGGCGAATCGGATGAATGAGCCCCGAGCCCCACTACTAGCGCGTTCAGTCGGCGCGGTGGTGGGGTTGAACTACTTCGCCTGCGCCGTGAATCGAAGGCGCTGCGCTTCAGTACCCTCCGGGCGATGCTAGGGGTAAGAGCTCGTTTTTCTTTTTAATTTCTGTGTTATACTTTTATTTTTATTTGTTTACAATTGTCATATATTTTTATTATTGCATTTAAATGTGTTTTCTTCTTATTTATAGTGAAGATTCAGGTTGATATTTTTATTTCTATATAACTTTTTTAATTACAAAAGTTTAATGTATTCTTCGTAGCATTGTTTTCGTGCGTACAGTACGTTTAATTTCAGACTTTAAAAACGAATCGATTCTTAGCTTCTGTAGTTTTTATCAACGTACAGGTAAATGTGTTACAGTGCCATCCGTTCGAAGCAACAACAGTTGCCGCTTTTATTAACTTTCTAATGCGCGCATCGACAGCCTCCGCATTAGGTATATTGTTTAAAATCCTGTAACAATATCATAATTTATGAAATTTTCAGAACTTTCATCATAACTTTTATCGTAACGATAGCAAAAAGGATATATACAGATTTGTAAAACGACGTTCCAATTCTTTTCTTTCTTTAAAGATGTCATCCTTCTTCTTAGGATCAGACCAGTAACGTTTTTGAACTTCACAAGTAAGCCTGGCGATGCAGTTCGGAGAAATTGACATTTTCTTCCCGCCTTGATTATTGTAAACCTATTTGGTAATGCAAAAATTAAGACACAGAAAATCATTTATTCAAGGCGAATTACCAAGTACCTTGGTAGAGTTAGCTTTCAAAGCTTTTAGAATATAATCCATGTAAAGATCTTCGTCTTTGATGGATAAACTCGATCGTTTCCTTCTTCCCGGTACAATGCCAAGTGGAAGAAGAATAGGATTCGCAGCTAAAGCTGCAGCTGCTCCAATTAAAGCAACACCAGCTAACGCTTTTAAAGCCACAGCCTAATGGAAACGATTGTATAAGTCGATACGTTAAAAAGAAAGAAAGAACGAAAGAAAAAAAGCATGGTGAATCGTTCTAAAATTAATCACCACCTTCTGCGCTTGAATATTTGGATGCGAGGGAGCGTTTCCTTCTGGATAATTTGCCTCTGCGCCTCCGAATTCATCGCCATTAGCGAAGGTCCCTGAAATTCCATAACCACCGTTACTAGTTGACCCTCCGTAGCCAGTTGGTCGGCCAGAGCCATATCCCCCATGTCCATAACCATATCCTCCAGAACTTGTAGATTCGTAACCGCCCGGTTTGCGTGAATTTTCGTCTCCATAATTTGGTCGTGAACCGAATCTGTCGCTTATACGAAATCACGTTAAGGTAATTTTATGAAATTGAAAGATATAATTGTCAATTGTAAAGTAATTGGTTACCTATCTCCTCCTTGACTTCCTTGGAATAACGAGCTTCCAAGATAACTTCCACTTCCGGGTCTTCCTATGTTTCCGCTCCAACCTGGTGGTTGTCCTTGCGTTTGCCAACCATACCTATAGATTAATCGTTCAATATGAAACTTGCATTTTTACGTATTCTTCGAGTGAAAACTGGTTAGACAATCTGCTCTACCTATCGGCGGGTAAGCGTTCACCGTACTTGGATGAATATCGATCACCATTCGCAGGGATCTTATTATAATAAGAATCGGGTCGTGTGGGTATGCTGGAATCGTATCTGGATCCGCAGCAGCTGGAACTTGCACGTTTCAATTTTTCATAATGCAACACATTCGAAAGTGAAAAGATTTTTTTTTAATATTCGACTTATCTCTGGTATCCAACTGCAATCGATGGTTTACCGTTCTCGATTGTTTGTCCAAACTTTTATCGTACACATTGCTGTCGTTACTCTTCGGATTCGAAGAGTTTTTAGCTCGAACGATGTTCATTAATTGCTTGTCGTCGATAGACTGATTTTTAACGAATTCAGAAGATGTAGTTTTTTCCACGAACGCACAAGAAACTAGAGTAGTTGTTAACAAAATGCAACTAACGCGGCACAGCATTATGATAATGTATGTAACTAGTTAAAAATCAACTGAATGAAAGCAAGTTTTTTACACGCGTATTAACGTCAAGACAAAGCAAGAGTGGCTCTTCCCATGGTGAAGTTTCACCTTTTTATATAGTTGTCACGCATGGGGTATTGTCGCGTATTTGCCCTTCAGGTCTGGTAGCAACTTTCTTTTCGTTATTATTTCATTGGCTAAAATTACTTACTAACATTTTTATGATACTATTGCCCTTTGAATTTATCTATTATGATTGAAATTTATTCCTCCATCTTTATGTCTGGGCTCTTATAAACCCGTTGATATTAAAAATGAAGGAAAACTTTATTAAGAATACATTTACGAGTTTAGTTGCGTCCCTGCAAGTCATAAAGCGCAACCAAAGGATTAAGTAGAAGTGTGCCGGTGAAAAGAAAAGTGTCATCGGTGTACCAACATTCTTACCGTCACGCTAAAAGTTCTACTAATGCAGCACTATTATATACAGTTTGACATGTTTAAAAATATGGGCGATCAAATTCGTAACATCATTATTTTGCGAACGGGAATCAAACGATAGTTTGTGCGTTTGGAAATTGGAACGATTACCAGGTCGTATATATTCACGTTCCTGTCGATGCTTCCGTTAATTAACGTTTGGCCAATTCCGTATCTTGTCGGAAGTTCAGCAAGCGTGTAGCACGTATACACGTTTCCTTTATTTTTTTCTGCTTTCCCGTAGTACGTTTCTATGTTGGGTCAATTTGTTTTCCTCGTAGGACAAAGGTTTATTGAACAATCTTGTTCGATATACCAGGAATGGCAAGCATAGATTGTATCCTTTAGGTGTACGTATACCTCGTGCCAGAAAATACAATAGAACAATCTGTTCCGCCTGGATGTTTAGAGCGCCGTTGGCTATCAAATCTAGTAATCGCATGTCGCAGCTCGTTGCAACATACTTAACAAATTTACTTGTCTATTGTGCGTGAACTATTCGCAAGGTTGAAAGGAAAGAAACCTCGCGATTCCGAAATCTGACGTATTGTGACGAAGAAGGCAGCTCGAGCTTGTTTCGAAAGTAACTTTATCTTTCATTCAAACTTTTCATCGAATTGATCGTGCAACGCGTTCAAAGAAGATAAATTTATTATCTGTTATAAAGTAAAAAATCCCAGGAGAAGAAATCTGTGCTTTATGCAAAGGGACTAGAGAGCGCGCAGAGATATTACGGAGCTAATTTGAAGCAAAAAAAGGAGGGAAAGGTCGTCGATGAAACGAGAAAATTCGTTGCACGAATGAGGAGAAAGATAAAAGAAAAAGGTAAAAGAAAGAAAAGAGGTGGAGGAGGGGGTGGAGGTGCAGGGTCGCGGAGGGGTGACAGGAGAAGATACGACAAGGACCAAGAGATCGCGGAATGGAGCAAGAGTGGAGTAATCAATACGCATTCACACGCGGTGGCTAGCATCCCGTTTCCATGGGGACCGACGCTGGCGCATGTGCAACTTAACCAATGTTGTACCGTCATAGAAATTCGCTCAGATACAGTTCCGTGGCAGTCAAGCGCGGAGCATTCCATGCACGCTAACCATTTGGCGTCGAACCGTCTGATCGGCAAGTTACGAATCCCTTTCGATTGCTTGCAGAATTCCACGCGCATCTACTGCTGCACTTAAATGCACCAGCATATTCTTCGCTTGGTGGTCAATTAACTCTGATAACGTCGAATACCCGCATCGAACTCGTCATCCATTCCCAGGAACTCATTGACAATGATTTAATTTATGATCTAAAAATGTAAAATAGAGAAACACAAACGCAGCTATACACGATCGTTCCCTCGACGACGGTCATCCCGTGTTCTATCGTTGTCACTGTAGGGTACGGTGCAGCGTTCGACTCTCGGATGTTCACCCCCTGGCCAAGTCAGAGGGGATGGAGATGTTGAAGTTAGCGGGTAACAGGGGGTGTTTCTCCTCGGGGCGCCTGCGTCGAGTCCTCGATGACGACTCGACGAGGTAGGTGCTCGACCCGGACGCAGTACGGAAGAAACGTCGAGCACGCAGAGTGCCGTCCTCGTGACACATCTTGCTTTTTCTTTCCTCTCCACTCGTAACGACAACGAAACATAAGAAAAGTTGTCTGCCGAGACAACCTGTCGAAATCAAAGAGCGTTCCACGAGTTCTGCACAATTGTTACGAGACGTTCTTTAAACCCTCCGTCGTTCGAGTGTTCGTAAATGAAGAGAACATCCATCGAATTCAAACGCGAACTTATCAATGATTCGAAATCGCGGCAAGATGAAATACGTGTCTTGAACGTTTTCTAACGAATCGAGTGATGCACCGAACGTTGAAGTACACTTTTACCATGCACTTTGCAAGATATCGGGCATAGTGATAGACATAGAGATAGTATAGATGTGTTGCGGCGAAGTAGCCTAAGGATGAACCTCTATTTTATCAACAGTATGCTTCACGCGGACTCAGTTACACTGAGTAATTGATATCTTTTCGTACTTCATCGTGTTCCGTTCTCGCGAAGAACAACAGGTTGAAGTTTGAAGTTTGAAATTTGGTGGAGAGATCGCTTCAAAACGGACCATCGGACGTTCGATAGTTTTTGTGGTGAACCAAGGTCTTCGTCCGGCAAAATTCAAGGTCTGATAATTCGACGATGCGTTTCCGGTGCATCGAAGGTTAATCGTGGAAGAGCCATCCTTAGCAGCGTAAAAGCAAGCTTAGTCGCATTTAATCATCGCTTGCATGTGGGTCACAAGTTGCATTCGCCAAAGCTAACGGGATAGAGGGTTTACCGAGTAGAGAGGTAAGCTTGTTAAATTGCGTTACCCTCAGGCATCCTATGTTACATCTACCCCCTCACCTTACCCTCATCATTAATTCCCTCTTCTTTTAACGTTTTTCGGCGGGGTTCTTCGAGATTTAACGTGGGTCGAAGCAGCCGAAAACCTATCGTATACATATTTGTATCCAATTCGTATCTTATCACCTTATCTGCGGTAATGTGATACCGCAGCTGATTACATAACTGTGCGATTAAAGTTTAGAGCGCGAAATACAAATCGTGCTCTAAATAGAAGGATATCAATAAATTATTGTATCGGTTACTTATTGTTCGAGTCACGTGGTAATAGCAATTTGCGATGTCCTTAACCTCCCGGAAAATCAATGTTCTTCGCGTAATAATAACCAGGTGTGTTCTATTTTATCTTCTCGTGTTAAACATTAAGGTTTGTTATATTTCATGTAACAGAATATCGCTTCTTCCAACAGAAAAAGGAATCGATAAACTGATATTTTGTGATGATTGAGGTCGTTTACCTTACGAGTTTGACACAAATGGTTGGAGAGTAGGAAAGTTGTTTGAAATAATTCTTATACCGCTAAATCTTTAACACATGAAACAGTCTCTATCGTGACTGCATACCTACTTGTGCGATTACCTTGTTGATGCATTAATTTCATTTATAGAAACCTAACTCGGCCTAATGCTCTACTCAGGGACACCGATACCACGAGCATTAAGCAACGAGGATTACCACTTCGCATCACATTGTATCCGTTATTTTCTTTTCTAAGGTTTCATTTCGCGTTATGTGTCTGCCAACTCGTCGCTCGTGTACGATGTCGAAACGAGAAATCAAATGATGATAAACGATCTTTCAATTGTCAACTATAAATTCACGAACAGATAGGGAAAAAATTTGTTATCCTCGTTGGGTTCATCGACGATTCGGATAAGGACTAACAGGTTTGGTTGATGAGATTTAAGCGAAATGTAACTGTACCGAGGATGTAGCGCGGTTACACAGATCTCACCGCAAGTGACACTAGTGACACGGTGGAGGGTTTCTAGTGGATGTCATTCAAAACACGCGTCGACTGGTAGGGACGTTTTACATCGCGCCGCGACGCCAACAAGAACTCCGACGCTCGATCCTCTTCGCGGCGATAACAACTTGAAAGAAAGCCAAGCGACATATCTAAAAATGCATTCATCAGCAAAATATCGTTCAAAGTAGAATAACAAGATCCCCGTATCTCCTCTTAATTAGCAGCTCAATTCTTAATGCATTCTTCCCGGTTCGATGAATCGACAAGGGTCTAAAGATCGCCACGATACGGAGTAGTTTCTTTTTCCGGCGAGATGTACACCGTTGCAAGCGGTGGATGACTTTTAGACGACGTCCGCTCGTTGCAAGAAAAATGCGGAAGAAAGGCGAGGGACAAAAAAGGAGGAAAAAGATTACATGGGAAGAAGGTGCACGGTGAAAAGTGGTTCTTTGGATGTGCATCCACTGTAATGAGAGCCCGTCTTGATCCACGACCTAAGAATGCGTTAATGACCTTTGGACAGTACTTCTTATAAGAGATACTATTATATCGCATCGTTAAAAATTTGCTATATTTGAAAATTATAAAATTTCGTCTCGTAGGCTCTATCGTATTCACGAGTTTCAAATATTTTTCAAACGAGGAAACAAATATTGCACGTGTTGCATTATTCCTGAGCTTTTCCATGTAGGTAGGCTGCTTTTTAAAATCCCTGCACCGGATATTATATAGTTTGTCGTATATTCCATACACGTGTGCTTTCCATAAAATGTTACGCTCGATTTTCCCCCGCGCATTACGTCTGGCTGAAAGATCACGTCGAAAAAGTCGCGCGAATAATGACACTTGCCTCTCACGGGTAAACGAGCCGAATACTCGATTGTTTTCGCGCGAAAACATCGCAGATTTTTCCCATTTAAACTTTTCCGAGGAAAAGACCAATGCGGCAAAATGCCGCGAAACAACCGCGAAAGGAGCATCGAGCTGCGTAATGGAGAAATCGAGAGAAGCGCGAGATGCTTTGACGCTAGAAAGAGGAAATTGTCTGAGTACGCTCCCTTTTCGGAAGCCGGTAGCGACAACGCATCCCCTCGCGACTCGAGTTAAGCAGACAGAGAGAAAGCTTTCCGCTTCACCCTCTCCCCTACGACTTCTCCCTTCGCCTTTCGAATGAAAAGGGGCAGGAGTCGACGGATGAAAATCTAGTCGAATCTTTACGCTCGCGTTCGCGGCGTATCGAACCTGGAAAAAAAAATGAAATTGCCACCACCGCCGCCACGCTGTTCTCCTCGGTCGATAACGCACCGGTTTCCACAGGGGTTGAAAAAAGAAAACGCTTCATCGTCGAGTACTCAAGAGTCAGACGAGCGAAGGGATATTGCTACGGTAAAACAATACTCGGAAAACGAAGAAACGTTTGGAAAATTGTATATCCGGCCAAAATTTGTATACGGTACTTTTCTCGTGTGCTTTTCAGCGGAACTCGTTTGAACCCGTATCGGTATGATAATTTGTTTTTGCTAAACATTCGTTTGCAAGGCAAATCGCGGTATTGCGATATAAATTCTTAAAAGGAACGTATCAGTATTTTCATCTAGGATAAAAATTCTACGCGTTCTTGTCACTTTTGTTAAAACACGAGACACGCAAATGTAGCACCGAAGCAACGTAAGAGATTAAAAAACAAACTCGGCTTTTGAACATTGTCAGAATGACGAACGGTACAAGTAACGAGAACTAATGGTGCATTGACTATGTTCTTTTCACATGTTCTTTGTTTCCGGTTCAGCCACCTTTAATATCACCTCGACAAAGGGTGGAAATGCGAGCTACGATGGAGCAGCAAACACGAAAACATTGTTTCGTTTGTATTGTGATTCATATGTGTATGCATATTGTCCCAATTTATAGATGTTGTTCCTATAATTCATACCCTGTCTTTTATAATATGGGAAAGTATGCCGAAACTTAATAAACAATAGCACTTGTTTAGAAACTTTTGCGTGTATTTGAACGCAGCGTCATAGGGGACTTGGATTTCCATACATTTGAATTAGGCCGCCCACTACGAGGGCCACATGTCTCTCCCTAATTTCTTTAGCAAGACGGAGATGTTGTCGCTGAATTGGTTCGTTTGATGCTGTTGTTTGATCTTAGGGTTTTCCACATTTCATTAGCAGTCAATCAAATTAATTATTAAACGGAAACTGCTATCGTTTAAAAATGTTCTTAATGAGAAACGAATGCTGTAATTTGAAATGTCAATTAGAGAGCTTTCCAGCTCGAAATCTCCAACGATCACGGTATGCGTGTACGAAGTAAATTAATGGCTATTACGTTATCACGTACTGGGATCGGAATGAATTGACGCTTTAAAAATTTCTCGTGCAGTTTTCGCGTTTTTCGCACACAAAAAATTGTACCTTTAATACAGTCCTAACATTTATTTGAGCGGTTTCCGAGTCGTGTTTCTTTCTTTGCAGAGATTTCTCCGAATCGCAAAATTTTTACGCGATTTCAAACTTTTCACTACCGCGTAGGGTAAGAACGTGCATACTATTTTCCCCTGTTTCTTTCACAAATTTCCTCGCGAATACAACATACCAGGAGGAATCCCATTTGTATCGACGCGTCTGCTGGTTCAGGGAACGTATTGCTTCACAACCGTATTTGCGTACGCGTGTTTGGGGTGCGTGAGGGTGCATTCGTTTACCCGAAACTCGATTTCGAAGCTTCGGTGATTGAATTGCAAGTACGCCAACGTGGGTGGCCGCCGATAAGTTTAAAGGCAATGTAGAAGGCATTTAAGGATATTGTTCCATCATCCTCTTTGTCTGTCTCGTTAGACCGAGGAGAGAAAGAAAAGTGGATTACGTAGCTAACGATTTTATTCGCTTCCACGTTTTATCCAACGATATCAGCCGTCAAGGCACCGCCCTGCTTTCAACAAATCTATTTTTCTTTCTGTCCCGAAGATTTATGAAATAGGGGAACGATCAATTTGCTCCACGCGATGAAATGACGATAAAATCGTTTCCTTGATTCATACTAATTTCAAAATTGTCTGTTGCAGGAAGAAAATGTGGAGCTCGGTTACCGCGGCTGGCAGTGAGAACGGGCCCGCACCACCTTCCAGAAGCAAGCACAGTGCTACTTTACTCGCTGGGCACGTGTACTTACTCGGAGGACGAAACGGCAATCTTCCCCTCAAGGATCTCTGGCGATACAGCCTCGGTAAGTGATAATTACTGTTGCTTTTAATTTCTTCCCGACACAGCAGGCGAATGGTTACGTTGTAAGTATAACACGATGGCTGGATTAGGGAAAACGAAGGGGCAAGTGAAAATCGTGGATAGGGAAAATCCATGTAGTTGGAAGCGGTGCTATATAATACACGATGTCTGAGTACCCCGAGCACGATACACGATCAACATCTCTGACCAACGCACCCCATATCGTCTCGCTTCGAGAACGAGGGTGCGCGACGGAATTTAAACGGGGTTCAGTCTGATCAATAATACGCCATTATTAAAGCCCACGTATATCAACTAAATCCACCGACGATACTCCACAATTACGTCTGTTTCCACGGAGATCAGACATACGCGAATGAATTGCACCCCCTCGCGATAATCAACGGTTTGTACGAGCACGCCAGCCGACTTGTTAACAAGTTGTAAATTTATAACTCCGTCGTCGCTTTTTATCGCCTATCCGGATCAGAAATTCACGCGAGAATGGCACCTTGCAAAGAACAAAATAAATCTATCCGCCAGAAGATTATTCGGTTCAAATGGTTGACCACTTTGAACTCGGCCAAGTTTCGATCGTCTAACTGGCAGCGTTTTAAACGTATTCCCTGTAGGCTCGATCGTTCGATGTCGGAATAATTTAACCCCTTCGCGCTAGACGATTTGGAATTTACGGAAATGTTCATTTCGATCGTTCAGCGATCAATAATTTCATACTTTACGAGAAAATATGGCTCATTCTATTGTACATAATTATGATAGGATTCATGATGATGGACCGGTGGACCGCGGAAGTTCCTATTAATCAGAGGGGATTGTTCGACTGCGAGTTCGGGTGAATATTAAAGCAGCGTCAAAAGGGTTGGAACCGTGGCGGAGGTTCTCTCCTGGGACAAATACTATCCAGGGAACCCCATGGTATATTTTTAAAAGCCTACCATTGTCGATACTTGAACTTGCAAAAATATTGTGATAACTCGAAGAATCACGAGAGTACTTCATCTTTGAACGTTTTTGTTTCACCCTTCTTTTAAACCCGTGGTGATTTCGAGGGGTTCCCGTTGCTTAGAACCTATTCCATTAAACGGATTTCCATTGCGACATTAGAAGTTTTACGTTTCTCTCACGTTCTCGATGAATTTGTCGCTATGGTTACTGTGAAAATCTGAACCGATGATCAATCGTTCGCCAGTCACGTTTGTTCGCTTCTTTCTTTCATCAAAGGCTTCGGTAATTTTACCTTACCTTAGAAGCAGCACTTTTAGACAAAAGAGTGCATTGCTTCGAAGCCAGCTAGATACGACACGTGTACGTAATCAATGTCGGGCATCTCTAGTAGTCGTCCACGAGAGCTGCAAGTACTTTAGCCAGCACATTATGACTCTTACGTAAATTTCGTAGGCTTTGTTCTTGAGCACGTTCCAGTAAAAAATGACTCGGATACTTAATCTGTACGAAATATGGATAACCCCTCGGCGAGTAGTAAAATCTCACGGTGATACTTAGAAATGCGGCAATACTGTTTACGAAAATCTCGTTCTTTTTCCACTCGCATCTATAACTTTGTGCCTCGCTGCCTTTCTTCGCCTTTATTTTTTTCAACAGATTAGGGGAGCGTCCCTTTTCTCTTTTCGTAAAACTTCCTAAGGGTAAGGAACGTTCGTCTTGTTAAGCCCTTGCAATAAAGAGGCGAGCCTTAACGTTCCCTTCGTTGAAACATTAATTTACCGCCAAAACGATTCAGATTTATTTAATCTTCTTCTTTGTATCATCGTACATGGTGAATCGATTTATCAGATTCTATGGAACTATATCGCTTTCATTTTCTTTATTTTCTTTTAATAACAATAAAACGCAGTATCACCATCCCTCGAACGTGTCGTTTTTTCTGTACCTCCTTGGCACTGCTTAGATTCGAATCTCGAAACCTACCCTCTTGTCTTCTTCATTCTCCCTTTACTTCTAAGAAGCCCCAACCACTCGGAGGATTTATTTCAGAACAGTAGATTGTCGGGGCGGGTGTAAGCGTGATTTAACGCGTAAAAAGATTTTTTTGTCGACTATGATATCGCAATTGTTTCAATTTCTGCAAAAATTCTTTAAAGAATAGGGCATCGTTTACATTGTTAAGCGAGGACACCGCATTCTTTATCGTTGCAAAAACTGGGCCAACTAAATGCATGTGGTCGCAATGAAAGTAGGCAATTAAAAAGCATTACATACACGCAATACCGATAAGACGAGCCTCTCTTTGTTCATTTTCTTTTCTCTTTTCTTTTTTCTCCGTCTGCGGTTTTTTCCACCGCAGTCACATAGAAAAGCGAGGTTGCATAAATCTTGTTCATCCGAGCCGATGCAAAGAGAGACTGGAATATGAAAACGTTTGGAATAACGAGCCGTCGCGTTAACCCCTTCTTTATTTTTCTTTCCAGCCGAGAGTAAATGGGAGGAATTGCATCCTGGGGGAGAAAGGCCGCCAGCACTTCAGGAACACAGCGCGGTGGCTTACAAGGATTGCCTTTACGTTTTCGGGGGTGAACTCGGCTTTTCCGCGGGCACGGAAACTCCTCTTTGGGTCTACAATGTCAAGGTACCGTATCACCCTAAGCGAATCGACATCGTACCCCTTTTTGATAAATTACACACGACACGATACATATTGTTTTTATGGAACGAAACGCAACGTTTTAATTGGTGAGACTCTTCTGGAAAACGATACCCAGCCGCTTGGTATTTGTTGCACGCGTAAATTCGTTATCAAGATTTCGTTTCGTTCAGGTTAGTTTCATCCAAATTTACATGATTCGATCTGGCGAAGGTACGGTAGCCCGGAGGCGTTTCGTCCCGCCACGTTTCTAGAATCACAACGAGGGGTTTCAACACCCTCGATTTAGTGGACCAACCGAAATACCACATCGCTCTTGATTGACAATATCTTGCTTCGATGCTTTTCCGTTTCCACTCGTTACCAAGTAATCGAACATACGAGTGAGTTATGTAATTCTACCCTCTACGTGTAACTCGAAATAGAGAAGCGATATTCTCGTTTGCCCATTCGATGTCGCTCTTATTATCTTCCCCAAGGAGTCTTTGGCAGTGTTCACCGAGAACAACGGTAGAGTAGAATTGTTCAATGTGGTCGTATCATAGTTGTCCTTCGTTGCGTGTCATCGGCTGCTGAATCCAACCCTCTCCTACTCTTCGAAGAGGGATTGGATGTTCTCGTGTAAAACTGGTTGTACCCGATGACGTTCCTATTGATTTAGTGGTTTCCCGAGGGTGCGATTCTTTCGTCCCTGTCTCTCTTCTTCATCGGTAACCCCATGTACCACGTGCTCCCCTCCAGAACGCGTAAGATCATTAAGAGTTTCCTTTGCAAGATGTGACACCGAACTACGAGGTCGTTATTAAGAAACACGCGAAGGGCTGACATCGGATACACGTTGTCCCGCATGCAAATTATGCGAGTCAACTAGATCATTGCGTTACCAGAATCACGTATTCTGTGATTGTCATCGTGTCATCTCTGTAATGACTAGTCGTATAGGATTCATTTGTCACTGTCAGGATGCATGCTTTGCTATCGGCTATCGAACATGTACACTTCCTGTCGCATACGACACGTTTACGCGAGTTCAGTAGGTCGATAATTCCGTGAAATCCTCGCGATACTGCACGTTGGACGCACGTGGATCGAAACGAAACGTATAAGTTTCTAAGAAAAGAACGAATGACTTTTTAATTTGATAGCGTTTCACGTTTTCATGGGGCATTCAATATTAAGTGACGTTTGCTATTCGTACACGAACAATGTTTCTAGAGTAATGTAGGGCAGCAGCTGTTGTCAACACCGTTTTCTTCTGTTTCGTACCCTCGAAACCGAGTGGCGCTTATTCTCCCGAGGGCTCTTCGCCCGAATCTGTTCGCCATTAAAAATTGATACACAGTGATACGCAGGAAACGCAGTGTCAGTTTTTGTGTCAACGATTCGTCAATCTTTCGTCGATATATCTATAAAAAATAAACAAGGAAAAATAAATATATTTAGAATAATCTTTGTAATATTAATTGGAAGATCATAAAGAGTAAGGATCCCAGGGGTTTAAATTTTCTTTCTTTCACCGTGTTGCTATGGCTACCATGGGTACGTTTGTTTTTACTCGTTGAACCATGTCGGAGACTAGGGATATTCCCCATTGCTTGTCTCTTCCTTGTGTATTATTGAAATCCACGTTACGAATGCAGCAGCCAAACCTGATTGGTTAAGCCAGAGGGGTTGTTTCGAGGTATGTTCTCTTTCCACACTGTCGTCTTCTCTTTATGCTTCGTTAAAATTCTCACTCTGCTTCATATATTTACGGATAAATCCTGCCGAAAGTTGTCTATAATTTCCCACTAAATTTAAAACTGAAAAACTCAATGATACGTCGTGCACCCTTTTCTGTATCGTTGACGATAACCGTCTTCTTGCTAATTTTACAGCATTTTAACGTCGATGGTGAATTTAGCTAGTACTCTACCCTTTTGCAATCCCCTCATGTCGTAATACAGGGTAGACGCAAGTGGCTGTACAGACCTATCAACTTTAGGCACGTACTTCGAGTTACGTAATTACTTTCAGCACCCCTGCTCCTACGGCTTATATACTTTCCTTCCATCTTCTCCGCTTTATACGTACGATCGCAAACCCTTGGATAGGGCAATGTATTCTCTCTTTTCTTCTTGCCAGTACCCGTTGACTGGCTGAAATGAAAGACGTATGATTGCCACTATACATCAAAAGAATCGCCAACGTCCATTCTAATTCAGGATGTCGCTTTATACGTGACCCGTAGAATCCAAATATGTGTGTTCAGTGTTCAGAAAGGAAACACCTATCGATCGTACTAACACGAACACGAACAAGGTTTGCCTCAAATTATTTACATCGATTTGATTGCTAGCAAGACGATAAAATCGTAAAATTGCTAGCTCGTATCGGTTTTTTTAAAAACAGAATTAAATATAGAACGGGTAAAGGAGCGCTGTTATCCATCTAAAACAAACGATGCGTTACACTTGTGCCCTACATTTTTTGCAAATATCCTATCAAGGTAAACTGTTAAAAATAGATCGATGCGGCTAATAAATCAATAATGTTCTATATAATTTTGTTGACACATTCGTTACTACCTGAAAAGCAGTAATTTACAATTGCGTTAAACCTCAAGTATTAAACTCGAATCTATTCAAAGGGCTAAATAAGGGAGTGACAAATTGGAGCTCTTCTGTACCTTTTGTTACGGGGAACCCCAGTCATATTCGGCATTCAGAAACCTCCGGTCTAGCCGGAATTAGAGAATTTCCAAGCCCATTGTTATACACCTCGTGAGATTAATGAGCAGAAAAATATTTCATGACTACTTTCTTGCAATAACGCGAATTATTGAACGCCTAAATTATAGTCGACTATATTTGCTTGCATTCAGTCGAATACGTGGAGGAAGGTAAGAGCACAACGGGGTTGTGCAGTTCCTAGAGGACGAAGAGGCCATACCGCTTTGGTTCACCGTGGTCAGATGCTCATCTATGGTGGTTACCAAGATTTACGTGGGAGCTCCCCCGAATTATGGGCGTTCCACTTTGGTAAAGATAATAAAATAATTCTTTCCCTTTCAAAGGGGCACGTGCAAAAATATAACCAATCAATTTATCGTTTAGAAACGGAATCGTGGCATTTGCTCTCATCTAGCGAAAGCGGACCAGCAGCGAGACACAAACACTCTGCTGTCTTGCACGGTGACGCGATGTACATTTATGGAGGTATGACCGATCTGCAAGAAAGAAGCGATTGTTGGCGATGGGACGTGAACACAGCTTCTTGGTGCTTGCTGAAGAACAAGCCTGGTCCGGGACCTCTTCACGGACACGCAGCGTGTAGACTTCCCAGTTGTATGTTAATTTTTGGTGGAGAAAGCGGTGGTTTGGCTACGAACGAACTCTGGAGATTTCATTTCGGTAACGAATCAATCATATCGACAGACGCCCATCGGTGTAAGTACATGTCACTGTCTATACAATGTCGAGTTGTTTAACAGGAACGGAAACGTGGGAAAAATTATCGGTGCCAGGTCCTAAGCCACAGCCAAGGGCAGAGAGCGTTGCTTTAGCAGTTTCCGAACTGTTAATTCGAGGGACCAACATTGACAATTCAAAAGCAAAGCCAAGAAATCAAAGGACGAGGTTGTATAACAATAGAATATCGCCAAACGAAGCACCAGCTAGACCAAGCTTTCTCAAAGAAATTTCGAAATTGTCACAAATCAACCTGTCGCGATTGAGTCATCCAACTAAATGCAGTTACTCCGTTCTAAGCGGCCAGGATGATAACGAGGAGAGTCCTCAAGAGGTATGTTGTCTTATGCACCAGAAGTAACGGTATCTTTTTGTTGGTCTTTTTGATTTACAATAAACGCACACGTTTTTAAATTTGCACATGAAACGCATGTGACAATTGAGCCTGCCCGCAGGCGAATTCGTATTATCCTTTTCAGCAAGTGGACGCCGAAGTGGTCGAGCCGTCTACAGGGATGGTGAAGTCTCGAAGTGCCAACACGTTGGCGCGTCGAAGACAAAAGCCACCGGAAGCAATATCAAAATCCTCGGATATCAACAACACCGAGAATGCGATCGGTACATCTGGGATGACAAGAGATCCTATCTCGGTACCGAATTTCCGTGCTCTTACCTTACCCACTCCAGTCCTAACACCTGTGGAAGCAGCCAGGCTGGTATTCGTTGACCCAGATGAAAACAGCGACAACGAAGAACGAAAAGAGCCACCTACCTCCAGGCTGATAGAAGTTCAAGAAGAGCGACGGTAAGCAACGATACATTCTTTGGATCGTGTCATACATCTAATTATAGCGGTATAACTATATATGAGGTTTTCGATTATTTCAGAGACTTTGCGGCTGTTCATCAAGCCTGTCAACCTAGCCGGGGCGAAAGTTATAGCTCGCATCTTTACGAAGCGGCGCTTCAGACTCCGAAAACCCCAACCACCACGAAAATACCCACCTCTGCGTCGGTTAGATTCGCTGATCTAGAAGAGGGCGAAGAATCAACGTCGGATTATGCGAGTATAGAGGCTAGAAGTCCTGGCGATCCTCTTGCCGATGACGATTGGCCATCAGGACGAAAGAGCAAACAGTATCGTCCAATAGTTACTCCGTCGACTATTCGTGAAGGTCAGTTTGGCTTTTGTAACCCAAATTACCTTGGACTAGACGACACGAAGAAGCAGCAATCTCAAGATGGAAAGTATGCAAAATTGTTAAATAGTCCGCCGGATAGCGTTTTAGAAGATGAACCGGGTAGATCTGCTTCGCAAACGTTCGCGGAACTGCTGGAGCTTCAAGAAATCAAAAGGGTGCCCAGGGTACCGCCGAAAAGTTTGCCCTTAGGTTCTCCTTCTCGAAGAGCAGTTAGTGCGTCCAGAGCAGAAAGACAAAGGGCAAAAGTTGCCGCGGCTGATATTAATGAATCAGATACACCATCGTATGGACCAGCACCGCTCTACGTTTTTGTAGTTGGTGGTAAGGAAAAGGGTCAGGTTACCGTGTTCGCGAGGCCCGTTTCTTTGTGGAAACTCCAATTAGCACCACACATTTTTTAAAGGTGTTCAATTTTACTACCATAAGTTACTGGCAATCCTATCATTAACTATCATTAACTTTATCGTGCTTCGTTCGTTTGCTGTTTCTTATTTTTCGAATACAAGGGACAGGTGTTTAACACCATAGAGTTCTATTCTCCCATTCTTATAATTTCACGACTCAAGTAAATATTCATTCGTGAATCTCACTACCATTGTGAACGATTAGTACCTAAATGTAATTCTATAGTGCCAACTGTTCTTTACTCGTTTATAGTTAACTACACATGTATTTGTTACTTTTAGCCTTGAAGACTGAATATTTATTTTATTAATCGTACATTTATTTTGAAGTGTTATCGAAGTTGTTTTCTGGTTGTGTTTTCTTGGTGGAATGTACGACTTTATGGTGCAATATCAACTGTTGTGATTAGCACAGCAAAGTACCCGAGCTTAAAATGGCAGATTTAGTACTCTAACAATGAGCTTCAAAGGGACATAAAAACGTCACGCAAAATTCATTTATCTCGATCAGCTTCATGATCGTATTTAACTTTAAAACTTGTGCTTTACCATATCTAGTAAAATGAAAAACAAATTGTGTCTTATTATAGTTCCATAAATAATGTTTAAATTTCCATTTTTTGTTCAGCTGCATCTTAATGGCATATCGTTAAATAAATGAAGTAACGTTTTAATTGATCTCTTTGAGGTAATGTGTACCGAATGCATGCTTATCGATATATCGATTAATCGTAAAGCTTTCAATTCCAAATTGATTTGTTTGCTTTGCTACTTCAATTTTAGCGAACGCAATTGTACATGAAATGTTCATATTGAACCGATTTAGTTTCAAAACCAAAAACTAACAGTAAATGTTCGTACCAAAGCGCAAGTCAAGCGAAAGAAGTGAATAGTCTTTTATCGATGAACGTCCTGTAAGGTTTAAGGAATATACACCATAGATAAGAACTATGACAATGGCGATCTACGTACTATATTCTAGATTAATTATAAGCGAATAAATTTTTCATACTGCTGTAGATAGAAGAATCTGTGAAGTTGTAGATTATTCAAATTTTTCGACTCGAAAATTAACAGTAAGTAAGCTGGTGTGCTTACATCGTATAGATACTAACTTAAAAATTAAACGCTTGACTTGCACTTAACTGCCATTGACTGTGAATTCAGTATCCGTAGATTATTAAATAGGACTTTAATATTGGTAAGCTTGAGATGACGTTTAAAACGTTCAAAATATTAATGGAGATCGGTGTGTGATTGTGTCCAATTGTGAATAATTAAAGTACCGTTCGATTATTTTGTCGGAATTAAATTTTTATAAAAATATGGTTCTTAATGAAATTTCATTGATAATCAAGTACGATCTAGATTAAAATTTAAGAGAAATATCAACGGAGACTGTGTTGATTTTTCTTTCGATCAAGAAAAAGAAACCGTATAATCGTACTATAAAGACAAATTGTGTTCTGAAACATTATACTTAGAGAATATCATCGACACTTTACGTCGATATTCCAAAATTGCAAATCTGTGAGGTTGAAAGTCTCCGGTACGACTGGATTTACAAAGATAGCGTATTAGTTTCGATAGGTATATCGTAAGTGGAAGAAATGGTAAAGTACGATGGGAGATTTCTTGTTCATGTAGAGTTTTTACGCCCACAAAGGCCCAATACATGTAATCCATCCATAAGTAGCAAAGGTCAACGTGGCATCTCGTAAGCTGAATATTAAGAGATAATTTGTAATCATTTTATATTGGAAAATACATTGATACGAGTATTTGTTTGACCAATAGCAAATTTTATTGTGGAATACTATAAAATTTTGAAGATTTCTTTGTTTAAAGGGCATGTGCAATATGTGTAAGTATAGATATTATTTGTTATTTCAAGTATTGTATTTAGTACAGCTAGAGGTTTTAATATTCAGCTAGAGGCCGCAAGCACCCAAAAAAATCAATGTTTTCCATTCGTAGCGCTAGTCAATTTAACATCTCAGTGTACAAAAGTTAAGGTAAATGTTTCATAATGTCATTCCTTCCTTAGGATACCTTAGCATAGTATTTCTTCATTTCCAGCCATATTTAGTATGTACAATAATGTCCATAACCCATTTTTGTGTTACGCGTATAATTACTCCCATAATCTTGACCATTTTGGCATAATTAGCAATATAGGTAGTTAATTAGTAAAACATATTACACACACACTGGCGTGCCGCCTATGAATTAAGTTTCAATCTGCCCAATATTTAGTCAATATCTGGCCAGAAGCGTTTTCGATTATGTCATCTTTTGTTCTAGAAATAGAAAAGTTTGATGATTTGGTTAGCATAATGCAATCTGATAGTCAATTATAACCGTGTCATTAAATATGTCCGTTGCCAAATACGTCTCTTTTGAATGTTATGCCTCGTTAACAAGATTCAGAGTATAAGCTCGAAGACGTGGGTCAATTCCCAAAATGAATAAAAAGGAAAAGAATAACAATGTAGCTGATTTGAGTGCCTGTATTTTATGCAAATATATGCATTTCGTATTTTTCTGAATACAAACAATTTTTTGGCAAATATTCGCCATGTTATCTTCTGGCTTATGCTTCTCATCTGCGTTATCGATGGTTGCGTATCGTACATATGTAATGAGAAAAAGAATCCCATTCATTCAAAGGCGGTACATATTATAATATAATGTCGATAAAAAGAGAAATAAATCGCGTCTTGTTCCAGTGGAATTTCATATCACAGAATGCAGTATTTTTTTAACGAGTAAGCCTTTAAAACAGAAGACCCATGATCTGATTTTTCTATGTTTAAATATCAGATAATATGTGTATATTGTATGTACATGTATTCATGTATTTCCATATAAGTAAATAGCTATGAAATTAACAACACTTTATAAATATCGTACCATTTAAGAAAATGATCTAAGGATCTAAGGATCTAAGGTTCTAAGGTTACAGGGCGAAAACGCGGTAATTACTTCTCAATATGTACATTTTGACCAAAGTTTATTCGCCTGCAATTTTTTACAAATTTGGTGCCATTTTTTTAAAATTTAGATTCATTTTTTAACAAATTTCAGTTGAAATTCTCGCCATTAGAGGGCGAAAACGCGGTAATTACTTCTCACTATGTGAATTTAGACCAAAGTCTTTTCGTCTGCAATTTCGTACAAATTTGGTGCCATTTTTTTTAAATTTAGGTCCATTTTTTAACAAATTTTAGTTGATATTCTCGCCGGGGGTCGCACCCGGTGCCGGCTTCTACTAGTGACTATAGATGTAGAAACATGCCTTTGTTTTCGAGGGGTCAAGATTTAGGGGGTCCCAGACAGCCCCAGATGAGATTAAATCCTGCATGCAGAGCACAGCCAGTATGATAATCGTGCCTGTTTTACCAGTCAAGACCCAATCATCAGTCTTATAGCGACCGCCGAGGGATGCAGATCTACCTGCTAAACATACATATACCCTTATTTGGTTTTCTGCGTTCATTTAATTTGCTGTAATTATCTTTTTAGCTTATTGAATAAACTCCTTAGGAGGACGAACGTGTTCATTTTATTACTTCCGTCTGCACTAGATCTCTGCACCCTTATATCACTGCATTCCTTACATCCCAGCAACCCTTACATCTCTACATTCTTTTCATCGCTAAATTGTCTTCACCCCTACATTCTTTTCATCCCTACATTCTTTTCATCCATACATTCTTCCCATCCCTACATTCCTTCCATCCCTACATTCCTTACATCTCTTCATCCCTTAAATCGCTACATTCTCTTCATCCCTACATTCCTTACATCTCTTCATCCCTCACATCCTTACATTCTTTTCATCCCTACATTGCTTACATCGCTTCATCACTTACATCCCTACATTCTTTTCATCCCTACATTCCTTACATCTCTTCATCCCTTAAATCCCTACATTCTCTTCATCCCTACATTCCTTACATTTCTTCATCCCCCACATCCTTACATTCTTTTCATCCCTACATTGCTTACATCGCTTCATCCCTTACATCCCTACATTCCCTACATCGCTTCATCCCTTATAATAAATATATTATAAAGACAGCTTATAAAAAATTTCGAAAAAATAGCGCCCCCTAGCGGCAAAAATTTGAACTAAAATTTCGGTGTTGAATCAGCGCCATCTGGTTTCAGAAAAAGGAACTAAAGCAGGCACCATTTTTGGCCCTCTGGCGGCAAAAATGTGAACTAAAATCTCGACGTTCGATCAGCGCCATCTGGTTTCGGAAAAAGGAACTAAATCATGCACCATTTTTGGCCCTCTGGCGGCAAAAATGTGAACTAAAATCTCGACGTCCGATCAGCGCCATCTGGTTTCGGAAAAAGGAACTAAATCATGCATCATTTTTGGCCCTCTGGCGGCAAAAATGTGAACTAAAATCTCGACGTCCGATCAGCGCCATCTGGTTTCGGAAAAAGGAACTAAATCATGCATCATTTTTGGCCCTCTGGCGGCAAAAATGTGAACTAAAATCTCGACGTCGGATCAGCGCCCTCTGGCGGCGAAAAAAGGAACTAACTTACCTTTACTTACCTTTACTTACCTTTACTCGAAGCAGTCTTTTTTATTATTTATTATAAGGGATGCAGAGATGTAAGGAATGTAGGGGTGAAAAGAGTGTAGGGATGATAAGAATGTAGGGATTTAAGGGATGAAGAGATGTAAGGAATGTAGGGATGAAAAGAATGTAGGGATGAAAAGAGTGTAGGGATGAAAATAATGTAGGGATGGAAAGAATGTAGGGATGATAAGGGTGTAGGGATGGAAAGAATGTAGGGATGATAAGAACGTAGGGATGATAAGAATGTAGGGATTTAAGGGACGAAAACATGTAAGGAATGTAGGGATGAAAAGAATGTAGGGATGAAAAGAATGCAGGGATGATAATAATGTAGGAATTTAAGGGATGATATGAATGTAGCGATGAAAAGAATGTAGGGATGAAAAGAATGCAGGGATGATAACAATGTAGGAATTAAGGGATGATATGAATGTAGGGACTTAAGGGATGAAGAGATGTTAGGAATGTAGGGACGAAAAGAATGTAGGGATGAAAAGAATGCAGCGATGATAACAATGTAGGAATTAAGGGATGATATGAATGTAGGGACTTAAGGGATGAAGAGATGTTAGGAATGTAGGGACGAAAAGAATGTAGGGATGAAAAGAATGCAGCGATGATAATAATGTAGGAATTTAAGGGATGATATGAATGTAGGGATTTAAGGGATGAAGAGATGTTAGGAATGTAGGGACGAAAAGATTGTAAAGATGAAAAGAATGCAGAGATGTAAGGGATGCAGAGATGTAACGGAACGAGGGACGCAAAGGAATTCCGGGGCTGGGGCCCCGGTTTCCACTGCACGGGGCCCGAGGAGTGCCGGCATCGGGGGTGGCCCCCGATGTCGGTGGAGTTTGGCACATGGCGGAGGGTCAAAGGACCCTCTCTACCGCCCTAGTGCAGGCCACCGTGGTGGTTTTAGTGGGTAAAAATCCCACACTACCTCCGGCCCCTCCCCAGGGGGGCTGAAGGTGTCTTTCTGAAGATTTCCACCACGTTAAAAAAAAAAAAAAAAAAAAAAGGGTACTTAAGAACGAATTAAATAAGAATGTAAGGAATGGAGGGACGCAAGGATTGCAGGGATGTAAGGGATACTGAGATGGCCGTGGCCTATAATGAGGGATAAACTTATATAAATATCTGGAAAAAGTAAAATAAATGCAGAAATAAAACAAACCCAGAAGAGGGATATGATCATAAATGAAGGGATATGACCCTTCGATAAGCTTATTTAATAAGCAAAAAAAAACAAATAAAGTAAATTAAATAAACTCTGAAAAAAAATTATACTGATTGTGCCCTCTTCATACGGTCCTGATAATATTCAGGGGTGTTGGGGACCCCGCTGCGCCAATCACACCCGCTGCGTACCGACCTGATATCATATTGGGGTATTAAGGACCCCGATACACGGGTAACTATCTCAGCATACCGACATGATATCATATTGAGGTGTCAGGAACCCCAATGCCCCTGTAAGACCGTTTCCATACCGACATTTAGGCATCCGGGGTACCAGGGACCCCGAAGCACCAATAACTATCTCTGCATACCGACATGATATCATATTGGGGTGTCAGGAACCCCAATGCCCCTGTAACACCGTTTCCATACCGACATTTTGGCATCCGGGGTACCAGGGACCCCGAAGCACCAATAACTATCTCTGCATACCGACATGATATCATATTGGGGTGTCAGGAACCCCAATGCCCCTGTAACACCGTTTCCATACCGACATTTTGGCATCCGGGGTACCAGGGACCCCGAAGCACCAATAACTATCTCTGCATACCGATATGATATCATATTGGGGTGTCAGGAACCCCAATGCCCCTGTAATACCTTTTCCATACCGACATTTTGGCATCTGGGGTACCAGGGACCCCGAAGCACCAATAACTATCTCTGCATACCGATATGATATCATATTGGGGTGTCAGGAACCCCAATGCCCCTGTAATACCGTTTCCATACCGACATTTTGGCATCTGGGGTACCAGGAACCCCAAGGTACCGGTAATGCATGCAATTTTAAATCACCGGGGTGTCAAGGACCCCAAAGCAAGTAGCGAAATATAAGAACGAAAAACGAACAAATCGTGAAACTCTCTTGTTCGGAATAGTGATGGGTATGACCGAATCTAGCGAAATATAAGAACGAAAAACGAACAAATCGTGAAACTCACTTGTTCGGAGTAGTGATGGGTTTGACCGAATCTAGCGAAATATAAGAACGAAAAACGAACAAATCGTGAAACTCACTTGTTCGGGATAGTGATGGGTTTGACCGAATCTAGCGAAATATAAGAACGAAAAACGAACAAATCGTGAAACTCACTTGTTCGGAGTAGTGATGGGTTTGACCGAATCTAGCGAAATATAAGAACGAAAAACGAACAAATCGTGAAACTCACTTGTTCGGGATAGTGATGGGTTTGACCGAATCTAGCGAAATATAAGAACGAAAAACGAACAAATAGTGAAACTCACTTGTTCGGGATAGTGATGGGTACGATCAGGTCTGTAGCACATCTACAGTACAATTATTTATTATAAAACAAACTTGTAAATAATTAAGAAATTATTCACTCAGAAAACAATGAAAATAATATATTTGTAAATCACAAACCATTTCCAATCAATTACAGTTTTCAGTTATCATAAAATCTGTTTATTATAAAAAATTACTAAAAAGTTTCGGCTCACATCATGATTGAAATAAAATTGCTAATTGCAAAAGAACTAATTTGTCAAAAACATTAAAAATAGACTCATAATTAATCACAAACGATTTACAAATGAAATACACTAAGGAAAATTAAAAATAATCATATTTTATTATTCCTTCCGGCTATCTTTATGTAGGTCCTTCCCTCCGCTGGCTTAGATCGCCATTTTCCGTAGAGGAACGGTGAGCGTGCTCGAGGCGTCTATTCCTTAAGAAAGAAAAATATCCCTAGTATTTGGCGGTAATCACTGTTTAGAGATGGCGTTCATCGAATAAAAGTAGGTGTTATGTATGTACAGTGAAGGCTCTTTTACGAAAATTATATTTACAGTTATTTGGTGTTTATCAAGTTTGATACATTCTTTTCTACTGAATTAGTTATACATAAAATTATTGTAAGTAAATATGGATCAAGAAGGTTGTTCAGTGACATGCTCTGTAACAATTGAATGGATTGACTCACGAGGTTCGATCCTGAGAAAAGTAAATCATCGAACAGCGTCCTTACGCTTGATTCGAAATAATCCTCATGAAATATTTGTCGAAGTACGTCCAGATAAATCAAATCTCATAACAAAGTTTTTACTGAAATCTGTAAATATTTTTAACAAGTTTATGAACGAAGGAAAAGCTTCAATCAAATTCAATAACGAAAATTGTACGCTATTTTTGTCAAATGCGCCAACGGCTCAGCTAGTTAATTTCCTAAAGACAATATATGTCAAGATCACAGGCCAATCGGAAGAAATAAAAAAACATCCATTAAAGGAAAAGCTACCTTTTAATAAACAATTCAATAGTTATCAAGAAGTTAGCCCCATAACCAGTACTGACATAAAAAAGGTCAACGAGAAAATTGGTATTAAGAGGAAACTCTCGGATACAGATGCATCTAAACCTAATTGCGCGAAGAAACTTTATGACAATTCAACGATACAATTGACGGAGGAACAGAAGAGAATCGTAGATGCAGTACTTAGCGGTAAAAATGTATTTTTTACTGGTGGTGCTGGTACAGGAAAATCGTTTCTATTGAAAAAGATAATCGAAGCTCTTCCACCTGACGTTACGATGGCTACAGCAAGTACGGGCGTAGCGGCATGTCATATCGGCGGAGTTACTTTACACCAGTTCGCCGGAATCGGATTGGGAACAGCAAATTTAGATAGATGCTATCAAATGGCTGCTCGTAGCTCTGCTTCTATCTGGAGAAAAATAAAATACTTGATATTAGACGAAATTTCCATGATTGATGCAGATTATTTTGATAAAATTGAAGCTGTTGCTAGATATATTCGTAAAAATGAAAGACCATTCGGCGGAATTCAACTAATTTTATGTGGAGACTTTTTTCAGTTACCTCCTATCTCAAAACTAGATAAACAGACAAAATTTTGTTTTCAAAGTAACTCATGGGAGAAATGCGTGCACTTCAATTTTGAATTACAAACAGTTCATAGACAAAAAGACCCTGAATTTATAAAGATTTTAAATAATATCAGAATTGGTAGAGTTACAGATAGTATTACAAATACTCTTAAGGCAACAGCTAAACAAAAGATAGAGGGAAATGGAATTCTAGCAACAACACTTTGTTCTCATGTGAAGGAAGCTGAAGAAATTAATGAATTTCAGCTAAATGAGTTAAAAGGTGAATCCAAAGTTTATGTGGCTCAGGACTCTGACCAATCAATGGTTACAACATTAAATAAACAGCTAACTGTCCCTAATAAATTAATACTGAAAGTAGGTGCACAAGTAATGTTATTAAAAAACATAAATGTATCTAAAGGTTTGGTAAATGGAGCAAGAGGTGTAGTCACTGAGTTTGTAGATAACATGCCAGTAGTTAAATTTAAATCAGGCATCCAATATCACACAAAAATAGAAAAATGGAATTTAAAAACGAACAGTGGTAGCGTTATTTTCAGAAAACAAGTCCCATTGAAATTAGCATGGGCTTTTTCTATTCATAAAAGTCAGGGTTTAACTTTGGATTGCGTAGAAATGTGCCTTGCCAGAGTATTTAACGCCGGGCAATCGTACGTAGCACTTTCTAGGGCACAAAGCTTGCAGTCTTTAAGAGTCTTAGACTTTGAAAGTCAACAAGTATGGGCACATCCAGATGTCCTTGTGTTTTATAAAAAATTTAGAAGAAATCTGCAAGAAATGGAAATGATTCCTCTAGGAAAAAAACAAAAAATATAATTTCTATCTATAAAAATGATTTTGAAATTCAGATAAAGATAAATATATTTAGTATTAAATGAATGTAAAATAATTTTTTATAACGGAATAAACTGACCCTTGACTACGTAAACATTTTCGCGTAAAATACTTTGTTTTTTGTTTTTGGAAGAAAAATACAAATACAAATCACTTTTATCCACCGGTAGTTTAGGTGATAAGTAAAAATTGGAACACAAGTTTTTTTGGTAGTTTATTATAAAGAGTAAAAGTTTTAATTACTAAATTACGTCACATATAATTATCGTAACAAAGGATAGACGTATTTATTTTTCTTCATTTTTACAAATATTACATAGTCGCACACAAAATATCTTCATGTGTGTTAATAATCATCAACGGTTATTTCAATTGGTGGTATATAACGCCACGTATGTCCAGCATTTATCAATTCCGAACAAAGTACCGGCGTGTTCGGGGCTGATTCTTTACTGCTACATCGAATATCTATTTTGTATTGTCCTGCTGTGAAGAACACTACGCGACACTCGTGATAAATTCTTCCATATTCCTGTAACTAAAAAAGAAACACTTATAGAGACAACATGAAATGCACATGGCGATTCACTTTGTGACTACAGCAACTTACTGATGGAAGCATAACTTTGTTTGCACCAGCGATCGATAATCTCGTCTCTAATTGATAATTGTTTACACCGTTATGATGATCTTGATAAAAATTAATAGATAACACGAGATCACTCAAGGGATGCTCCAAGGCATTGCATATCCCTATTCCAAGGCTAACGCATTCACCTAAACTACAAGTGAGTTCATCTTGAGCTTTGACAGTTGTATCATTTATTTTTATCTCTGCGAACAATGTTAATTAATTATTAAATTAATAGGATATAATGAGGGGTTAAAGGAAAAAATCGGTACGATAACCATTTAAACGTACCCCATTGCAAAGGACTCATCCTAACAAGATCTAACATATCTTGGGTGAGAGTAATTCCCGAAAGGGTCGCTTTGCCAATCGACTCTGTGCCTAATAATTGCCAGCGTAAATCAACTAACGAAGCAATGTGTTCAGAACAGACTTTCTGAAGTTCTCCGATATCACCAGCCCCGTTTAACTACCAATAAAATATGAACAGGAATGTTTACAAACTCGTCCTATTAAGTGCATTAAATTCTTCATTACCATAGATAATTTACTAAGTGGACACCTATCCACCGGCACGGGGATTCTACATGGCTCTTTACCCTCCATGTATATACATTTAGTTTGCGTGTAATGCAATTCCATTTCATGATTGGTCATATTTGTTAAATCTAGTACTAGATAAAATTGCGATGGCCTGAAAAGAAAGCAATCTATGTAGTTGAAATAGGAGATTGTTCCTATTTATCACTTACGTTTCTGCTGGAAGTACATCCCAATTCGTGATTTGTACGCTAGGTAACATTTCGATAGTTACAAAAACTGACGATGTGCGACAGTAACCAGCCGTCAAGCCTGCGCCACCCGAATACTTTATTTTTAATTGTCCTTCTATAACGTTTGATGTATGTAATGGAACGGCAAGTTTTGATAAACGCGAACTTGCCAAGGAAGAATGCCCGGAATGAGAACTTAAGCCTGATCTAAACGAGGAAGTTAATTCGGATTGTCGTTTCGTATGCGACGGAGAACTTAATCTAGATGGTAAGGAACTGTGTCCTGAATGAGACATTAAACTGTTCGGCTGACTAAGATATGTACTGCTACTAATGTCTAAAAGATATATAACGATTAATTAAAATCAGATTTTATATTGAAGAAACGTAGAAAATATTATCAACACCATTACCATTTCTGGTTGTAGGTGCTATGAAGTCTGTAGCCGCATATAAGTACAAAGTAAGACTGGCGCTGGTACCAGGTTGTAATGGCAATTGTGTCATTAAGTTTTCATCGCTCCATTTAAATATCTTACTTTCGCTTATTGCATCCAATGTAGATTGTACAGACAGTTCGATTGTTTCAATTGGAATTTGTCCGCTGTTAGTAATGGTGACGGTACACTCGGCACTACGACATAAGAGTGAAAATTACGTTTCGACTTAAAACATTAGAGTACAAGTATCATTGATACTTGCGTCTAATGAAATGTACCTTTCACCGCCGTACAACGATACACTTGCACTAGTTACTATATTGTCCCCAGAACTAAAGCTCGCAGTTTGAGGTAAACTTGTAGCCACTTCTATCCTTGGTAAGGCTGGTACCACCTCAACGGTGTATAGAGAATGAACCATTCCTTCCATATATCTTAGTCTACAGTTAGATTTCACCCCCAATGTATGCGTACTAAAACCAAGAATTTCTAAATCTCCAACTTCTTTGGGTCTACCTGCTAAGGTAACTGCAATTGGTCCTGATTCAGCAGGAAGCGTAATACTTTCGGGAATTGATTCGAATACCACCCCGTTCGTAAGAAGTCTCATGTTAGAAACATGAAGCTCAAACGGAAGAGGATTGATAAGTTGCATCGATACTTCACAAATGTCACCCTCTACCCATAAATAATCTGTAACCATTTATATCTTTTTTTTTATACAAAACATGCACCTCAATCTATAAACGATATCTAAATTGATACGTGAACGCACCAACTTTGCTCTTAGATATATTTTTTCTTTCTAATGATCCAAAGTTAATTGGTGTGAATAGAAAGGGGCCATGATCTTCTTTGACTCTTTCAATTTTTTGAGGCTGAAGATGCGGCTGCATATTTTTTAGAACAAACGATTTTGTTTTTGGAAGATTTGTTAAATTTGCTGGTGGTATAACTGTACCAGAATCTAAAACCTAGTGAAAAAAAGATTTTATTCTTCTTAATGTTAGGAGTAGCGATATATTTCGATGAAACTTACAAGAGGTACGGGAGCACCCTCGCATTGTTGAGATACACTTTGAAGTTGCAAAGCCGTTTCTTTGCGTTCATTAGGAGTTAAATAATTGTACATCGTTTGAAGTAAAAATGTCATATGCCTTGTTGCTAGCGCTGGATTACCCATACGATTAGCAGCAGCGACAAGATCATTTATTACTTGGATTTGAATAACCGGCCAACCCCGATGATTTTCTGCGCAAATAATTTTTTTTATGTTTTATCCTAATACAATACAAGAACTTGGTACGTTTATATTAAAAATTACCAGGAGACATATCAGCAGGATCCAAAGACAACTTAAATCCAGAAGTGGCTTGTAGCATTAAGTTATAACACTGCTGCCAATCTGGATTAGGATTATTTTGAGACACATGTCTTGTTGCTGCTAATCTTAAGCAAAAAGATGCTTTTCTAACAAAACCAAAACTCGTATATAAATCGGATAATGTAGTAAACCTATCGATCTAAAATTGTGCACACACTTAGTTACATTATACTTGATGACTTAATAAATATTCCGATTAAGTTACGTACTTTCTCTTGTTCGCTTAATGGCAGATTTATAAGTATTACATTATTTAAATACGAAGCAGCTTGTAAAGTACAATTTTGTTCTATCGATATTCTCGTAGCTTTAAAGCTGGCTTCGGTCTCAATTATGCCAGCGTACTGATATTTGCTGTAATGAACGATTGCTTCGCGATATTTCTTTGATATTTCTTCAGGTAACAAAATATGTGGTATACTGGATTTTATCACGTCTATAGCAGGTGGTGATGGTAAGGCACCAACAGCTTGTGAACCCCTCCTAAGTATAAGGAACTATAACTAAGGTTCTATATCTAAATTGAAAGTGGAAGTATGATTTATACATACCTCTGCTTACCTGGGCTTCCTTCTTGAAGGGAAGAATTTCTTTGCAATGGAAGACTTCTACACATGTTTGGATATAATACTAAAGCAGAAGCAGCACATAAACCTTCAAATGCTGCCCCTAACCACAGCCAGTCATTCACAGCTTGTAGTACACTAGCTGCAGAATTATAATTACTTAAAGCATCTGCTGGGAGTCCAGCTTGAAGACACAGATCACCCAAATGTTTTGTCATTCTACCCACACATCTTTTTCTATTATTTCTAGATTCAAGATCCAATCCTATGAAATCTTTCTTTTCAAAAGGTGCTAATAAAAGAGAAACCCTGTCTATTTTTTCTCTAGACCTTTCTAATCTTTTGGATTCCAGAATCCAAAACAGAGAATTGAGGCACTCCATGACATGAATCTCAAGATCAGGACATGTCTCATCAACATAAAACACAGCTCTAGTTTTAAAATTAGAAGGAGTGCTGAATGATGCTGGTGGTTCATGGGCATTACTTGATTCCAATGGCCCAAACAGTACAGCCCGTGAATCATATAATGTTGCACTGTACTTTACTTTTAAACTTTCATGAACTCTACACAACTCATTTAGTTCTGCTTGATTGTCATATTTGCCGAACGTAATTAAACCCAGCAATCTTCTGTGGGTTTGAAAATCTCCCCAATCATTATTTTCAACAGGATGCTCCCTAACAAATCTTGCAAGAATTTCACGTGTTCCACCAGTCGAATCGGTCAGGCTGAATCTACTACCTGCTTTAATTATCCGCTCACATAACCTGGTAACAGTTTTTTGTTTGATCTGTGTACCAATCGGCCTCAAAAGTAGAAGTAATGCAGCATGATCGTGAGCAGTTTGCTCATAATCAGGATGAGACATCTTGTTGTCGGGTACTGGACTCGACAAAATAACGCTGATAGCCGAGCGCATTTATGTCGATCTCCTCCTAATGGTACCTCACAGTACCCAATTGCCACATCTAAACTGGATGAAACACGCATGCGCCACAGGAATTTAGTACCAATTACTAACTGTAGTAGTCGCTAACAGTCCTTCATCGTGGATTGATTTTAAGGTGATGCGAGCGTCGAGGCCGAATTTCGAATTCCGCGTCGATAAAACAGTCAACGTTTCATCGAAAATTATCTTTGCCAGGGTTGATTTCTTTCTACCATTGCGTATCAAACAACTTCGTTCTTTCTAAATTCCATATTTTGTGATTTTCTTTTTATTTTATTTTTAATCGACTTCGAAAAGAAGGAGGTAATTAGTCAAAAATCATACAAGTTCCTTTTTCAGGAACTATAAAATCACTATAGTTATACGTTCTATATGGTAATATTGCAATCCCGAAAATACTTTTCTGAATTTAAACTATTGTTTCCCAATTAAAAAATATATAAATCTTTTTATTGTAGCTCTTAGCTTGATATCGCTTTCTAAAAGTTATCTTTAGAAAACGATATCAATTACCAGGTCACACCACATGGAGGTGGCTACGTTAGTGACCCACCCTAAAATCATAAGAACGTGAAACCATTCAAATCATACAACATAAAATAAAAATTTAAACAATACAATCTTGAAATAGAAAATAAAATTAACATCCTAATATCAGAAACAATTGAGAAAATAATAATAATTTAACAATAAAATGCTGTAACGGAAAACATAATTATTAGGATTAGATATACAATAACGAGAAACCATTCAAAACAGACAACATAAAATAAAAATTTAAACAACACAATCTTGAAATAGAAAATAAAATTAACATCCTAATATCAGAAACAATTGAGAAAATAATAATAATTTAACAATAAAATGCTGTAAAGGAAAACATAATTATTAGGATTAGATACACAATAACGTGAAACCATTCAAAACAGACAACATAAAATAAAAATTTAAACAATACAATCTGGAAATAGAAAATAGAATTAACATCCTAATATCAGAAACAATTGAGAAAATATTAATAATTTAACAATAAAATGCTGTAATACAAAACATAATTATTAGGATTAGAATTTAAATAAAAATTTCAATAATAAAATGCTGAAACAGAAAATATAATTAACATTATAATTTCAATTACAAATGAAATAGTAAAAGCCGAGAACAGAATACATAACTACCATTGCAATCTCAGAAATACACAATAAAATGAGAATTTAAGCAGATATAAAATGAAAATACAAGATATAATTTATGTGCAAAATCAATAAGATAAGAATAATTTATTTCAATAAAGTAATAAAGAAAAGGGAAATAGGGGAAATAAAAACGCGAGTTGACCATTCAACGAGCTGGCTGTTGAACTCGTAAAATTTCGAATTTATTATCTTCTCGACGATATGTGCAAAAGGAATATACACAAAAAAACTAAAAAATGAAAAAACAAATTAGCGAGCATAGTGACAGAATGACTGTCCATCCGAAGATGGAGAGCCATTAGTAGTTCCCCTCTTTTGGGCAAATTTTGCCGGGGCTCTTCAGCATATAGCCTCTTCTTTCTTCGGCAATTGCCTCACAAAAATCACTCGCGAAAATTTTACGTTTGCTCAGACATTTGTAAAAACGTAACACGTAAACGAGCAACGATCCCTTGAATCGCTACTCGCATACCTGCACAATTTTTGCAAATGTCCAAGCACAAAACACTTTTTAATTTCACTTCACTTCACTTCACTGCACTTTCACTTTAATACTTCATTTTTGTAATCGGGTCTAGTACCACGACTACGACTTACAAACTAATAAGGCTTGGCCTTGAAAAAATCAAGAGAGAATGCTAAATTAATTAATTGATAAATTAATTAAATTGCATTTTCATCTTTTCTCTTGATTTTTGGTTTCCCAACCCCAGATACAAGCTTCTCACGTATTAGAGGAGAATACGAAGAGAAACATGAAAGCTTGCTCTGGCCCTGCCTACTTATAAACTAAACTCAATCACACCAGAAGTAAACTACCTGCCTGCCTATCGCTATATTTAAAAAAGGGCAAAAATCATTCTCACAAAAATTCACTCCACGGTTCTCATACAACCACCCGGGTGCAAAAATGCCTACACCTAGAGAGAACGTCCCGGGACGCCTCCGACACCCGAGTTCAATTCAACTTTCACACTCTAATAAAATCATACCTTTTTGCTGAAATCGACTGACAAATAATAGTGAACATTATGCTAAAGTAATACATTTCATTTTCGCATTCTATTAAATTATCTAATGTAAAAATTTTTCAATTTATTCTTGATAAGTATTTTGTAATATTATAGTAAGTTAAGATTGTTAATAAACGATACAAATCCCACATCCTAACCACACACACACATGTGGAACTTCTATCGTGGTTCACTATTGGTTCACTACTTTTGTCAGTCGCCAAAATGTACACTTAAAACTAAACCTTGTCCACCGCCCTCCACCCACGCGAGTACATCTAAGTACCCGAATGAGCTTTGGGCATAAAAATGAACAAGGCCAAAGGTATTTTCACCTACCAGTTTTCTTCATGTGTGCTGAAATGCCTAAGCTAAAACGTATGATTAGCAAAAACTAAAGATGATATTCTCACTTTATTAAAAGTAAGAATATCGGCGAAATTTCACGGCTACGATTTAGTATATGGGCTGGCCCCCCCAGGGAGTTTTATTTTTAATAAAAGTGACTCGACTTTGCAAATATAAAGCTTGAAGAGCAAATACAGAAAAGCAAAATTGAGCAACTATGACATAAAACATGGTGCACTGCTAATATAAGCTGGCAACGGAGGTTCTTAGGCCCCCTGGACTTGCGCCCGACGCTACATACCACCCACCCCGCCTGGACGTCGTAACGCCAGGACAGGATGCACCCCTTCGCTAAGAGCGCTACCCGCCCGTCCAACACGTTGCATCCAACGGTGTCGGATTGACGGACGCCCATAGTATAGACAAAAGGACTACAGTTTAGAATATGGTAACATATTTTCATATGTTCCGTATTCTAAAGCTGCGCCTGCAAAGGCCTAGTAATGCATGGGTTTATCTCCCATGAGATGGTGTTTCACGGTCTTATGCCGCGGAATCCTTGTAACTAATTTGATTAAATAAATAAAATATTGGATTGAGTTTAAAAACCAAAAGGATTCCCACCAAATACTAGTCAGTGCATTGTCATATTTACTCTCGCGTTGGAAATTTTTCGCAACACTAATCAAAATAGAAAATCCTGATCTAAAAACATAGCTAGTACATAAACCTCTAACGGACTAATATTTCACTATACTGATGAATGATGAGTGTGAATGATGAGTGTTTAGGGTCGAGAACCGTGAACGTGACAGAATGAATTTCAAGTACGAAAGAAGAGCTTTCTACAATGCTTGAAGAGCAAATACTGAAAAGCAAAATAGAGCAACTATGACACAAAAATGGTGCACTTCTAATATCAGCTGGCAACGGAGGTTTTCGGGCCCCCTGGACTTACGCCCGACGCTACATACCACCCACCCCGCCTAGAACAGGGTGCACCCCTTCGCTAAGAGCGCTACCCGCCCGTCCAACACGTTGCATCCAACGTGTCAGATTGACGGACGCCCATAGTATAGACAAAAGGACTGCAGTTTATTAAATGGAACCTATGGATGGGCGCCACATCCTAAACTGCGCCTTGAAAGGCCTAGTAATGCATGGGTATATCTCCCAGAGATGGTGTTCACGGTCTTATGCCGCGGAATCCTTGTAACTACTTTGATTAATTAAATAAAACATTGAGTTCAAAAACCAAAAGGATTCCCACCGAATACTAGTAAGTGCATTGTCATAGTTACTCTCGCGCTGGAAATTTTTCGCAACACTAATTAAAATAGAAAATCCTGATCTAGCAACATGACTAAAGGGGAGCTTTAAATTATGCTTCAAGAGCAAATACTGAAAAGCAAAATTGAGCAAATATGACTCAACATTCGTCCACTGCTAATATCAGCTGGCAACGGAGGTTCTTAGGCCCCCTGGACTTACGCCCGACGCTACATACCACCCACCCCGCCTGTTTAAGGCTCTAGGCCCAGGCAGGGTGCACCCCTTCGCTAAGAGCGCTACCCACCCATCGAACACGTTGCATCCAACGAGTTCGAGTGGTGGACGCCCATAGTATAGGCAAAAGGACTTTAAGACAGCTTAGCGTATGGGATGCAACATACTTAAATGTTCCGTACTCTATGGCTGTGCCTGAAAAGGCCTAGTAATGCATGGTTTTATCTCCCATGAGGTGGTGTTCACGGTCTTATGCCGCGGAATCCTTGTAACTAATTTTATCAAATAAAAACCAAAAGGATTCCCACCGAATACTAGTCAGTGTATAGTCATATTTACTTTCGCGCCGGAAATTTTTCGCAACACTACTTAAACTTGAAAATTCTAACAGGGTAATATTTACCCTCGCGTTGAAAATTTTTCGCAACACTACTTAAACTTGAAAATTCTAACGGGGTAATATTTACTCTCTCGTTTAAAATTTTTCGCAACACTACTTAAACATGAAAATCCTAACGGGGTAATATTTATTCTCGCGTTGAAAATTTTTCGCAACACTACTATAACTTGAAAATCCTAATGGGGTAATATTTCACTACACAAGGGTATGCGGGTGGATAAATGATTATGTGATAGAGTTCGTGAGGCTGAAGTGCGAATGATGAGTGTTTAGGATCGAGAACCGTGAACGTGACAGAATGAATTTGAAGTACGAACGAAGAGCTTTCTACAATGCTTGAAGAGCAAATACTGAAAAGCAAAATAGAGCAACTATGACGCAAAAATGGTGCACTTCTAATATCGGCTGGCAACGGAGGTTTTCGGGCCCCCTGGACTTACGCCCGACGCTACATACCACCCACCCCGCCTAGGAAAGGATGCACCCCTTCGCTAAGAGCGCTACCCGCCCGTCCAACACGTTGCATCCAACGTGTCAGATTGACGGACGCCCATAGTATAGGCAAAAGGACTGCAGTTTATTAAATGGAACCTATGGATGGGCGCCACATCCTAAACTGCGCCTTGAAAGGCCTAGTAATGCATGGTTTTATCTCCCATGAGATGGTGTTCACGGTCTTATGCCGCGGAATCCTTGTAACTACTTTGATTAATTAAATAAAACATTGAGTTCAAAAACCAAAAGGATTCCCACCGAATACTAGTAAGTGCATTGTCATAGTTACTCTCGCGCTGGAAATTTTTCGCAACACTAATTAAAATAGAAAATCCTGATCTAGCAACATGACTAAAGGGGAGCTTTAAATTATGCTTCAAGAGCAAATACTGAAAAGCAAAATTGAGCAAATATGACTCAACATTCGTCCACTGCTAATATCAGCTGGCAACGGAGGTTCTTAGGCCCCCTGGACTTACGCCCGACGCTACATACCACCCACCCCGCCTGTTTAAGGCTCTAGGCCCAGGCAGGGTGCACCCCTTCGCTAAGAGCGCTACCCACCCCTCGAACACGTTGCATCCAACGAGTTCGAGTGGTGGACGCCCATAGTATAGGCAAAAGGACTTTAAGACAGCTTAGCGTATGGGATGCAACATACTTAAATGTTCCGTACTCTATGGCTGTGCCTGAAAAGGCCTAGTAATGCATGGTTTTATCTCCCATGAGGTGGTGTTCACGGTCTTATGCCGCGGAATCCTTGTAACTAATTTTATCAAATAAAAACCAAAAGGATTCCCACCGAATACTAGTCAGTGTATAGTCATATTTACTCTCGCGCCGGAAATTTTTCGCAACACTACTTAAACTTGAAAATTCTAACAGGGTAATATTTACCCTCGCGTTGAAAATTTTTCGCAACACTACTTAAACTTGAAAATTCTAACGGGGTAATATTTACTCTCTTGTTTAAAATTTTTCGCAACACTACTTAAACATGAAAATCCTAACGGGGTAATATTTATTCTCGCGTTGAAAATTTTTCGCAACACTACTATAACTTGAAAATCCTAACGGGGTAATATTTCACTACACAAGGGTATGCGGATGGATATATGATTATGTGATAGAGTTCGTGAGGCTGAAGTGCGAATGATGATGAAGTGACAGAATGAATTTCAAGTACGAAAGGGGAACTTTATACAATGCTTGAAGAGCAAATATCAACCCCCCTGGGGGCCAGCCCATATACTAAACTGATGCCAATTTCACGAGTAAAATTGGAAAAACGTTTCAATTTCAAGAGCGATTTCGTTATCAAAGTAAGTAGTTATAATAATTAATAGTAATCATGCTTATTACTTTGATATTGAAATCCGCTCATCGCGAAATAAATTCTTGTACATATAAAAAAGAAAGTGTATTGTGAAGTCGGAGGGTCATCCGACTTCTCTACATTTTTAAACTCGAAATCTATATATGTAAATATGTACAAGAAAACCCTATCCTAAGCTAAGGCATAAAATACACAGAAAAGCAATTTGCACGATTATCATTGTATAAAATAATACAGTGATATTCGTGGGTCACTATGCTCGCTCAAAAAATAAAAATTACAACCAATTCCCGTGTCGCTACGGACCATTCGTCCTACGACATGATGGGAACCGGAGGAACTTTAAAGCATGCGACTCACCGATCGTTGACTTGCACCACTGCACTCGCCACGCATCTTACAATTAGATTGATTCATAGCTCGACTGTTGGCTCGTCAAAGAAACGGAACCCCCACTGGCCAAAGCACTCATCTGGAAGCATAAAAATCACGATTCTTGAACGATATATGTTTTCTCTCAATTTGTTGTAGTTAATATGCTAATACATACTATAATTTAAAAATATGCATGCAAAACTATATAGGAATAACTACATCATAAAATACGGTAAAACACATGCAAATAAATACATCCCAAAACACATGAAGATCAAAACCATAGAACACCATAAAATATTTGCAAAATTGTAGCAAAACACATAGGGTACCACTCCATAAAGCCTACTAATAAATTCGTATAAATATACTAAAACACATAGGGTACCACTCCATAAAACCCACTGATAAATCCGTATAAATATGCCAACACACATAGGGTACTACTCCATAAAACCCACTAATGAATCCGTATAAATATGCCAAAACATATAGGGTACCACTCCATAAAACCCACTAATAAATCCGTAAAAATATGCCAAAGCACATAGGGAACCACACCATAAAACACAATAAAGCACATGCAGGTACATGGGGTACCACACCATAAAACACAATAAAGCACATGCAGGTACATGGGGTTCCACACCATAAAACGAACTAATATATCCGTATAAATATTCCAAAACACATGGGAAACACTATAGGAAACACTATAGGCAAACACAGTAACACTTGTGGTAATACACTGATAAATCCATGCACGAATATCCATGGTATCAACCCGTACCGGTATATGTTTGACAGATCCATCCGTATCCTTTGGCGGTCGCGATAAGACTGATTAGATTTGACCTCTGTACGGGTCGCGCATGCACCGGCGCGCGGCGCGCGCAATCAAGCATGACGTTCCGTTTCACCGGTTCCGCAGATTTAACTGTTTCTATCTAATATTTGTTAATATTTGTTTAATTATTATTTTATATTTTACAATTGTTTATTAATAAAATTATTGTTATATCTATTTAAATTGTTTATTTCTTTACATGTCCGCATGGGTATATTGCAAAATTTTGTTTAATTATTCTATTAAAAATTATTTAATTATTATTTTTAATTTTACAATTGTTTATTAATCAAACGAACGAACTGCGCCCTACAGAATGAACGAGAAACTACATTTCTGGTCTGTTTTATCTTGTTGACGTCTTTCGCGAGTGAACAATTAACGAAATCGTAGTTTTCAAATTACTTCTACCTGGAGACTTGTACATCATCCCTTGGGTGCTCGTTTTATTCTATCCGACCCAAAGAATATCAGTCTGGTCCCTATTTCGACATACGGTTCACAGAAAAGTTTATATTACGAATAAATCAATGCAGGTGAGTCCGATCCGCCATTTTCTTGACCGTTGACAGACAGCAATTTCAATATTTTATAAGTTTTTGACGATTTGGATAATATAAGGACCAGACAAATATTCTTTAGAACCTTCTGAACACGTCCCTCAAAGTTTTTTACATTCTGTTTAGAAATGAGGACGTAATTTGAAAACTTGCGTCTAGGGATAGCATGGTGGCCGAACTTCGAATTCCGCATCGGTAAAACAGTCAACGTTTCATCGAAAATTAGACCGAACAGAAAGAGATATAGACTACAAAATTTGTGAAATACTTACCAAACCCGTATTCTAATACTTAAACTCATCATAATCGCAATAAAGTTGTGATTTCTTAGGATTGTTGATTAGTTGATTGCAGATTCTGTTGCACCTCATCGATGTGCTGAGGGGTTCTATAGTAGTAGTATTTTATGGTCCGTTACCAGTGTTGTATTTCTATTATCACGACTGTCATCGTCCTGCTAGTAGTGTTTAGGGAAACAACCATTAAATGCAATGCATAGTTGCATGAAATGCACGCAATTACAATGATTTGCTGTTACTGATGTTGCTAGTATTAGATTCCCTTGTAACCGGTGAAGTGACACAAGCCGAACATGGCCACTGTTAAAGTAACCGAGCAAAAAGTTATTCTGTGCGGGGAATACGGTGTTGGAAAAACGTCTATATTTAGGCGTTTCGCGAACAATACTTTTGTAACAAGTAACGATCGTAAATCAACACTTGGCCTCGATAATATCGACAAAGAATACGTTGTCGAAGACAGACGAATACGAGTAATGTATTAACATACATGTGCAATTATAAATCTTAAATTCAAATTAGGCTCCTCTCATTTTTCATCCATACATATTTTTTAAACACATGTATTTATTTGTTTAACATACGAATTTATTTTATTTTTCAGCTGCAATTATGGGACACAGGTGGTATGGAAAGAGTAGCATCAGTAACATCAAGCTACTACAAATTTGCAGAAGCTGCTATTTTAGTTTTTGCATTAGACAATTCAAGTTCTTTTCACCTTTTATCTCAGCATTTGCTTGACATTGTTACATATGCTGAGAATGCAAAGATATTCCTTTGTGGAAATAAAAGTGACTTGGAAAGCACAGCCCCACAAGTTACTGATGCAGAAATGGAGCAGTTCTGGTCAGTTCTATGATCTAAGTGATACTGTTGAAATGTGATGTATGTATGTTTCAGACAATAACATATTGTTTTCTGCAGTGAACAATGTCATAATTTAATATCTGGTATATACAAAACATCGTGTAAAACTGGGGAAGGAATACATGAAATGTTTGAAGATATAGCACAACATCTGGTTGAAGCTAACAGGTCACGTATGGAATTACATGAAATGGATAAAGATAGGTTTAAAATTTCGTATATTGATGAAGCCACTGATCCATCATGTTTGTGCTAAATATTGAACATTAGCAAGTGTGAATGAAGTAACTTTTTTATAACTTGGAAAAGCTCAACACACAGCAATAAAGTGTGAAGAGTAATGGTATCTTTTTATATGAAATACTAATCATAAGAAACTTTCCTATGAGGGAAAATACTGTGAGGAGAAAAGAGGGAATATTAATATGAAATTTATATACAATTATAATCGAACTTAAAATTTCCCAAAAGTAAAGAATTTCAAATAAAAATTTATTACATACTGAACAATGTTTTACTCAATTAGGCTTGATCTATTTCGGAAACTTACGGTTCGTATATTTAATCCACACTATCTACATAATCAGGTAGTCAGGACTATGCGGTAAGAAGCCATTAGTGTTGAGTCCATTGGATAGATTTTAGATCGATTCCCTCTTGTACCATCTCCCACAATGGACTGCAAAGCAAATTGTTTAAGATCATGTACTTCAAATCATGAAACGTCCAACAATAAAATTATACCCTCCGTTTGCTACGACTGTCGTGCTTTTAGCCGAAAATGCGTAAATAAAACTAACGTAAACTGATTAATTAATGCTTTCGCATCAAATGAACATTTGTATCGTAACTGAACGAATTATACCTCATTTCTCGAAGTCTCTGTACATGTTGAATTGTATTTTTTGCGGTGTAATCAATCTCGTCAATCGTTGTAAACCGGCCAATACCAAATCTGAAAATAAATAATCTTTGCAACATTATGTCACTATCGTTTAATACCATATCATAAATTTTATGTACCTAATACTGGAATGTGCTAAATCTTCCGATGTTCCGATTGCTCTTAACACATAACTAGGTTCCAAACTTGCACTGGTGCAAGCAGATCCGCTGCTCAAAGCAACGTTTTTTAATGCCATTAATAAGGATTCACCTTCCACATATGCGAAAGATAAATTTACACAGCCAGGGTACCAAGCAACAGGGTCTCCATTACGTATAACGTGTTGCAAATTTGATGTTATCGCTTCAATTAAACGACTGGAGAGCATCGAAATATACTTATGATCGTACTAAGAAAAAAAGCAGAGAACTATTTAGAATCTATTAGAAATAGAGATACCGATTCTAATAGAATTACCTCCATTTCTGCTTGTGACAATTCACAGGCTGCTCCTAGCCCCACAGCTAAAGGAGCTGGAACAGTACCACTTCTCATACCCCTTTCCTGTCCACCGCCACTTTGAATTGGCTCTACGCGAACTCTCGGTCTTCTTCTCACATATAGAGCCCCAATTCCTAAAAATTTACTAATTTAATATTGTATAAATATGTGTAACAAGTACAGTAAAGATTCGATGCAAGCGAAATGCTCGAGACCGAACTTTCGTTTATATTGTGCAGTTCCTACATTGCTAGGAGTTTGCCGCCATTTGTGAACGTAGAAAAGGACAGCGAGTGAAAAAAGATTACCGTTCGCCACGATCGCGGCTTCTCTTTCTATTTCATTCGCTATCCTTTCCAGATCATATTACACTACTCGGCTAGCGAACTTTTTCTTTCATTCGCTATCCTTCCCAGATCATATTACACTACTCGGCCAGCAAACTTCGCAGCATCTCAAGGGGTATATCCCCAATGGTGGGGACGAGTTCTTCGCTTTCATCGAATCTTTACTGTATTAAATCTTAAGAATACCTTTTGGACCATATATTTTATGTCCACTAATAGACATTAGATCGATGTTCATCGAATTAACATCGACTGGGATTTTTCCAACAGCCTGAGCTGCATCTGTATGGAAAAACACCTTCTTTTTTCTACAAATGGCACCAATTTCTTCAACTGGTTGCCTCACACCAATTTCATTATTTACCATCATTATAGAAACCAGAGAAGTACTTGGTCTAATTGCATCTTCTAACTGATTAAGATCAATAAGACCATTTGAGTTCACTGGAATATAAGTTACTTCAAATCCTTCTGCTTGCAAGGCTCTACAGGAATCTAGTACACATTTGTGCTCCTACATTGTGGGAATCATATAAAAATAAATGCTATGCAACAAATGATATCTTTTATATTTAGCAACAATCAACATACTATCTGGGTTGTCACAATATGATTTTTCTTGCTCTTGTAAAACCTTGCTACACCTTTTACAGCTATGTTATTGCATTCTGTTGCACCAGATGTGAATATAATTTCCTTTTTATCTGCCCCTATCAAATTTGCTACTTGCTATTAAAAATAAAACATCTAATTAATGTCTTTCTATAGTATAACTTGTAATAATGAATGCAACAGACTTAAATGACATTGGATATTAACTTTACGGGCAAGCTCAACTGCTGTTTCTGTCTCCCAACCATACATATGGGTTCTGGAATGTGGATTTCCATAATATGCTATAAGATAAGGCATCATTTTATCTAATACTCTTGGATCCTGTAATAATTTTATTGTAAACTCTGGGGCTATGAAGTAACTTTTCATATTATATTTACCACTGGTGTAGTTGCTTGAGCATCCAGATAAAGGGCCCTGCCTTCTTCAGGCCCTCTTTTATATTCATCAGTAATAACAGCTGTAATTTAACAATATATTTATATATAACAATTAATATATTGTGTATAATAATTATACAAACTGCAGTGCTTACATTCATATTCTGTAATTTCTGCTAAAGTTTGACTACTAGTGTGCACCGCACGACATTCCTTGACACGATTCAAGGTTGATAGTAAGCTTCTCGTCGGACGAAACATGTTAATGTTCATTAAAAACACAGATCTACTTTAATTATTTAAATACGGAGACCAAACCATGGCATGATCTAACCTTAAATAACCTAACTTATATTGTGTTCAGGTTTATTTAACTGTTTTTTCACCTATGCGGATACAAATATGAAAATTATATTCTTGTCTTTCTCAACATTAAGCGTAATATAACTGGTGTTCCTTCGTACTTGACGACCGTATACTCACTGATTCATGCGACTGATTAAGATTATATTTGCACCCAAGCAACTACTACAGAAAGTGGTGCAATATATAATTTTATCTGTATTATACAAAAGATATATGTATATGTATGTAAGAAGTCTATATATGTATGCATATACAATGTATCATTTGTAAGAAAGAGAAGGGACATCGTTATAAATACAGGGAGACAATAATGAAAAATCGGTATGTATATAGTTCATTAAGTACAGTAAATGTGACAATTATTTTTACTAATTTGAGTTTTTCCAGAGGTACAAAAAAATAACGTAAAGCACGTGTAAATGTCGCGCATTGCAAACTTAAAAGTACCAAGTACATTAAATATATTTATATAGAGAGACAAGTTTGGACATACAATACAATATAAAACGTACAGAAATAATCACAATCGTAAAATACTGATTAATATAGCATGCCTATTGACGATCCTTTGATAAATTTAGCGAATCACCAATATCAACAGCTTGCGATTGCTGTTGTTTCTTATGCATCGTTGTCATATCCAACATTCCTCCGAAATCGGTTTTAGAAATTGATAAATCCTCGGTTCCTTGATACTCGTTCGATCGATTCAGCTTTGCATTATCATTTTGTACTTCCATTTTCTTTCGGTCGGTTGAATAATCTTCCGGAGTTACAGAAAAATTTCTACAAGATTCCTGAGACCCTGTAGTCGGCTTAAACTGCGACTGCAGCGGATCAACCATTGAAAAATCGCTCGATTTACGTTCATTTCCTTCTATATCTCTTGCTGGAGAAATTTTACCAATTGGACCAAATAAATTCGCTATGTTACGCATATACGTAGACGGTGACGGTGATGAGGTTCTTGTAAAGTCCGCGATAGAGAATCCAGAGAGCTTCGCCAGATCTGCCGTAGAGAAATTAGCTAATTTCGATAAGTCCGAAAACTTTGTGATTTGCTGCGTTATATCAGCTAAAGGAAAATCCGATGCGGATGACCGCGTTTTATTAATACCGGTATCCGTACCGAGGGAATTGGCCACTTTTGAAAAATCGGTTGGTGCATAATCGTAGTCGCATTTTGCATTTTTCACGGAAACAGTTAGTTCCCCGGATTGGAAGCTGGGTATTACTTCCGACGATGGTACGTGCTGTTTCGATGTAGCAGAGTTTCCATCTTTCAGTTGCGTGATTGATGCGGTATCCGCGCTCATAATATTATCCTTCTTAATGTTATCTCTAGAAGTAGATGGTTGCATCACAAAAGGTTTTGATGTAGGGGTAAGTATGGCACCATCAGGTTTAAAGTTTACTGGTGTGAGGAAGACTGCTGCATTGTTGGGTGCAAGTCCAACCCCTGGTGGAACTGCTGAAGAAACAAGAGATTCCGAAGGTGGTACTAACGGGAACTTAACGGCAAGATATTCAGGTGTTCCATCTTCAGAACCAGGGCAGATCATTTCTCTAATGACATCCCAATAAGAACCATTGGATCGATTACGACCAGGTAATTTGGACGCGAGTGAAGACTGTTAATGTAACGGATGTTTTAGTATCATTCGTATTATTTTATGTAGATTCTTATATACATACCCTTAAACGTTCGAGATAAGTTGTATTATTGTTAAAATTGGCAGTAAAATCAATACCTCCTTCACTTTTGTAATATTCTATACATCTTCTCTGAAATATTAATTACGAAATAGATAACCTATTTCTGACAAATTTAAAAATAAACATAAATATGTACATACAATTTCTTCTAATGTGTCTTGAGAGAGAAAATGTTCCTGAGACAAGGTGTAACTTAAAAGCATCGGCCTTGGGTATTCGTGGGGCCGATTTTCGGGAGGTGGTAAAGACCAAAATACATTAAAGTTTGACTCATAACAACTACCATCAGTATTATAAGGAGCTAGGAATAGTAATGATTTCTTTATAAATTTTAATTACAAAATTGTTGAGAGATACAACAAAAAACACTTACAGCATATTAATCCTACACACGGTGTGTATCCATTGTCACTAGGCCCTTTCATTTTAATTTGATAATCTAACTGAGAATCTACATCCCTAAGGGATGGAGAAGCATGAGATCTAGGATGAGAATGATACCATCCAACTAGAGTAACACGCTTCCATTCCATAGCTCTGGCAATTTCACTCTCAACTGCAGCTGCAGCTGATTTGTCTTTACCAGAGTATCTGCATGGAAAGGCAGTTGTTATAGATAGATCTAAAATGCCAAACAAATTACTTATGGTTGACAGAAATAGATTTGATCTATCTGGGATTTGATGAAAGGACTATTTACTATGTGAATTAATATCCCAATGGCCACCCAGATAGCCACAAACTTCTTTGTCTGTTAAATGGCAATGCAAATCTACCAACAAAGCTGCAGTGGTAGTTATTGTAACTAAAAAGGGTTGTATTTTTCCAAGAGTACTAAAAGAAGTAAGTTCTACCATTGTACTCATGTCCCTAAAACATGTAATCATTAATTACACTGTAAATAATGATTCCTTACATTATTTTCTTACATGGCATGACTTCTTATTCCAAGATTTGCATGCTTTACTGGTACTCTTACAACTTGTATAGGAGGACTTGTTTGAACCTTTTCAGGGCTTTCATCCATAGGTTCTACAATTGTGGTTATATCCATTTCTATCTTGTTTCTTTTTTATTTTTCAGTAGAACGTAAATTTTACTGAAAGTAAAGTTATAACTTTCGAAACAATGATAAATTCATCATTTTCCATTAATACAAATTATACACGATAACTAATTCTAATTAGTATTAAGTCATTATCGCTTATTACTAACTACTACATTGCACATTGGTATTATAAAAAAAAAAATGATTATAGAGTCAGAAAACGCTTCAAACAACACATTGCTGTCATCATATTGTATACAATTAGTGACTACAGATCTATACAGTAACTACAGATCCAACAGGACTAAAAATGCCTTTGTTCCTGAAGGATCATGATTTTGGGGATCCCAGGCACCCTCCAGGTGAGGTTGGGTCTGTATGTACGGAACACAGTCGATACAGCAGCACATCGAGTTAGTTATAACAGTTTTTCTTTTTACTATATCTCACACTGAAATAACTATATCCCTTACATCTCTATAAATATCTCTTATATTCCTGCAACCTTTACATTCCTGCATTCCCTATATCCCAGCCTCTTTTACATTCTTGCTGCTGTACCGACTGTGTTCCGCAATGCAGACCTAGCCTTACCTAGGGGTGTCTGAGATCCCTAGAACCATGATCCTCCAGGAACAGAGGTATCTCCAGTCTTTCTTATATCTGTAGTCACTGCGTAATGTATATGTCAGCCCTCAGCTGTTTAGATTTCTTGTTTGACATTGCTTATTTCAATGTTGCCGCGTGCTTCTAACACAATAGTTTCTTTATCGCTTTGTTTATTGTGGAAATAACGAATTTTCGTCATGATACTAAACGACGTGGACAAATATCTCCAAGATTTAGAGAAAACTGAGCTTGAAGTAAGCACATAGTTGAATTGTTAATATAGGTTATGCCGACTAGTGTAATGAATTTTGTTAAACTGTTTATAAATTCTTTAGTTACTTATGAGTTCATTGAACATTTTCCTAGGCTCCTAGTGGAGTTGCAACAACACAAACGTACGCACAATTATTAGCTGTATATCTTTACCAAAATGATTTGTAAGTACAAAATTCTAATTCTCATATCATTTTAATTGTAATTAGTTATGTACCTATCTATTTAAGTACCTACTCCCAATTATCATTAGTACTTCATAAGTTTAAAAAATGTATTTTATCGTTACTTTTGCAACCACATTATCTGTATAGTGGATGGTGTCGCCCTCTACAAACTCTTTATTATATAGTGTCTATACAATATAATGCCTTTTATTAATAATATTGTATCAAATATAAAATATCATAGTTATTTTGTAAGTGACGAATATATGATGTATAATTTAAAAAATTTTTAATGAACATATGATATCGATAAGGTATTCATTTCTTTTACCTACAACCAAAAGCATGGAACTTAAAAATTCCTATTTCCATTGTTTCTTATAATAAATACATTTATTTGATCGAAACATCGTGGTCGCAGATGCAACGCCAAGTACCTATGGAAACGGATACCATCGGACCTAAAAAGCGGAAGTACGGAACTCAAGCAAATATGGGTGGTTGGGCAGCGGATGTGGCAAAGAGATTGGCCTGCGGTTCACGTTGCCCTTAACGCAAAGTGGAGCGACGATGTGTCCGATATTATGGCTGCCTTAAAAGGTACATTACCTCAGTAATGGAAATTAGTACAAGCTGTCGAATTATGTTTAATTTAGTACAAATAATATTCGAATAAAGTCAAAGAGGAACTTTGTACTAACCCCTCTTGATCATTTTTTTTTTTAGAAAACGTTCGAGAGAGGGCAATCATCTTAATATCCAAGGCATATTCGTCGTTGGGCCTGACTGTGTTCGCATCGATGACTGGTCTGACATTGGAGGAAGCTCGTCGTCTTGTCCTCGAGAGAGGCTGGTCCATGGACGGAACTATGGTACAACCGTGCAAGATCGAAAAAGAAGAGGAATGCAACGTGCCCACTGAAGTCGGTCTTACCGAGGATCAGCTGCGCAAACTTACTCAATTCGTGTCCTTCTTAGAGAACTGAACGAACAACGTGTCGTCAATGGACACGCAACATCAAGACTCGATCGACAGTACTTTAAACTTAGTCTTACCTCGTAATGGTATTATATAAAGGAGGAAGTGTGCTTCAAAGAAAGCACCTGTGTTCCTACCCTAAGTATACACCACGGTCTACCTACGCGTCCTGCCTGTTCAATCGGAAGAAATCATTCGACGAAGCTCGTTGCAAGCGTGGAGTCAACAACTCGATTAATCAATAATCTTATGCTGCTCGCGGGGACTGATATTTTCTAAAAAGAAGAGATTCTTCCAAGAGGAGAGAAGAAAAACGAATCACAGTTTCCAACGAGTATATTATAGATATCTTGATCCATCGGTGTTCACTTTAGCATTAAATTATTGAAACGAATTGCTCTGTTGTATAAAATAATAATAATAATTAGGGACGCGATCATTACCGTCCTGATACAACGCTTCAAGATGTTCATTGACTTTTACTTTCCACGTTCATCCTTTCCATAAAGATTCATCGTCGATCCTTCAATTTTTTCTTCAACATTTTTTTTTATCAAGATTCGAAATAGATAGAGTCGTGTTAGCTAGAGGAAAGGGTGATCTCGGTACGTGAAAGCAAGCGGGTGCACCGGTGCTCGCCGAGGTCGCTTGAAAAATCCGCGCGAGGAGATTCTACCAGGAGCATTGCGTCACGCAAATCGAATCCTCGCAGGTCAGAAAAATCGCGGACAGATTGGTATGCCCGGTCGGTTGTGTAGCCTCCTTTGCTCGCTCCCCTCGACTCCTCGGGAGTAATTCTCTATGAAATCGATTCTGACCGTCCCGCATTGTAAACGCTGCTGAATATGCACAATCGCGGCGGGATTGCGTAACGCTCGATATTCTCAAAGAAATCGTTTCCACCAGCCAGCAGGTAGCCGGTGTTCACCCACCGTCATTGCTGTCCGTTGCTCTTTTTTGGCTCCGGTATACTCTAGAAAGTTGTTGCACCGGTATCACCAATCCTACACGATACGCGAGTTTCATATTTTACGTGTACGTGCTGGTGCGCGTTAATTTACCTAGAAATCCCGGTTGAAACATGAAAGAAATCCATTCGCGGCTTTCGGCTACGAATCTTGTCCCTTTCATTCCGAATATCGTGCAATTCGTTAACAACGCGCCATCGCGTTTAGCTTCCGGTCACTTGTGTCCCAAGGGCCATCGTTCGATTGACGAATGCCGATTTTCAAGTTAACCACGTCTATTATATATTCATTGGAATACTTTTGATAGATTATCGATAACCGTTAAATTCACTGCTGCGGATACGTGGGAATAAACGAAAAGAAAAGCCTTTAGACGTATCTTGAAGGCGTTCCCACGCGTTCGTACCACATTAAAGTGCCTATCCTAGACAGTGTTTGTATCAAGAACGTGCGATCGCCGCAATAATCGGTATCGAAAAAAGGCGTACGGTCAGCGGGGGGTTGCAAAACGCTTCAGAAGTAAGCCTAGGACGAAGATGACGACGTGCTCTACGTACAACACTTTCGTTTCCATACTGTAACCCGCGTTCATTGTGTCTTTGAATAATGCAGATTCATCGGCGTTCCAACGAACGATGATTGCATCGCGATATCGCACCGTTTCTTCTTCTCGTTTTTTATAATCCTCCCTCTTTCACCCGTCATGATTTCTATAAACGATGAGTACCATCATTGGGAGAGGGTAAGATTGCCTTAGATCCAAGAACGTTTATACAGGTTCCAGTGATAACGAGCAGGAAAATCAAAGATAATACGTGTCTTTTGGATGCAAATGGGTTAACAGGTGTTATCGGTTCATCCAGCTTTGAAAGGATAAATAAATCCAAGCAAACGTTTCCATTATAATGGCTATGTAATGGAGTAGTCTTGCCGGTTTTTTGTTGACTGTACTCGCAGCCGATAACGAGCCTATAAACTCAACGTATCACCTTTTAGTTTGAACGTATCAATCTATGAAGATCAATTAGTCGTTTGAGTAGCGAAGTTAGATTCGATCGGACACGGCCAAGTTACCCGATCGGTAAGAGTAATGATGGTACACTGGAAATTAGATAATCAAGCATCCGTGCTCGTTCGCAACCGCATAATTGAATGTTACTCTCTTATGGAGGCTGGTAATCCTTTAATCGGTGAAAAAACATGGAAGTTGTATCGATTAAGTTTAATAAAGCATCGTTTATGGCTAACCATCCTCGTTCCAGGGTTAAAACTGAAATGACTATCGCTTTCGATCGGAGCGTTTGCACGGTTTCTAGAAGCTTGTGCGCTCGGTTAGCATCGGGTATTACTAAAGAGACGAGTACTAGTTTGCAACATAAAACTCGAAGGTGAGAGGCAAGAGGGAAGAGCCGGGTTACCAGTTACCTTACCTGACCTCCCCATCGTGTAAGAGTACACGCGGGTGACTCGCGTCTTCTTTCCCGAGAGCGTAGCTTCGACGCGGCCTGTTGCGGCTGACCTTTGCACGTCGCGGAAAACGCCGATGCTCCGTTGAATAGCGAAGCGAGTGGCACGAATCGAACGCGACTAGTCGATTTCGAAAGTCTGTTTCGCGGCGGAAGAGCCGTCGGTATGAGACGCAGGGGACGAGGAGGATGATGATAATGACGAAGAACAACTAGAAGGCCGAGAACATTCCCCTTCGTTTTATTTAACTATCGACGTTTCTCGTTACGATACTGATGGATCGCTTGTCACCGAAAAATAAGGGATGCACCGCGGAGCTTCGACGCTCGATTTCCCTCTTACTTTCTTTTTACCCTTACTCACTTGCTTACCTACTTTGAACTTTCTTACGAAAGTTCGGTCACTCTGAACAAAAGGGGTGTAACATAGTTACCATGATTAAATCATGAAGCACTGACGTGTACTCTATTGATAATTTTTCAAACACAAAAGTTTGATGTAAGTGCGAATCGTTATTAACTCTAGCGTGCACCTGTTGGGTGTCCATACAGATAGTGCGCCACGAACTTGCCACGCAACTCGATACCATTTACACCCCCTCTATATCTCTGTCAACTCACCTTCGATTCTGGGCATCGGCTAACGCACAAATTAGTAATTACACGGTAATAAGAAAGCCTACCTGCGATCGAGCTAAAAACCGTTCGAATTGTCTGGAACAATGAGCTCGCGGGACCATTCTCTGCGGGGGTTGTACCGTTAAGACGTGTCTATGGGTCCGCGTATCGTAAGGATAGAAAGAGAAATGGCACTAGGGGAAAGAGACGGCAGAGGCACAATTGAATGTTGGCGGACCCGTGGGCGGAGACGCGGTTCGATTGTTTCTTTATCGCGATCATCCTCGCTCCTTCTTCTACGACGGGCAATGGCAATCTCACCACCGATCCGCGCACAATCGTTCCCCTGTGCTCGTACGTTTCTATATCGTGCCCGGTATCATTGTCCTTGTTGCGTCTCGCGACGCGTTGGTTCGCGCTCGCGCGGGCTCCTGGTGGGTGCGCTCAGAATGCACCTTCTCCGCGGCATTCCACGGGGAAAAGAAAACCGATCGTTACCTTTTGCACAATTGCATCTTGCGGAACGTGTAACGGTGATCGAATCGGTGGATCATCGATTCGTCTCGATCGGGACACCCCCGCAGAATCTTGAACAAACCCGTACCGTGGCTCGTTTCTATTTTATTTTTATTTCATCTACGATTCGTTTGTTAGTCGTGGCATTTTGCAACAATAGAGTTGTACGGCTTCGTGAGAAAGAAATTTTCGGGTGTATCCGAGCGGACTGGCCGCGCGAGAAGCGAAACGCTACACCTAATGGATTTTAGTAGAACAATAACAACATAGACGAATGATAGCTCCGCTGTAGAAACAGTACGTTAATGCATTGTAAAGGCTTTCAACGCTGGATATCCTTTGTCTGGGAATGTCCGATCGATGTATTCCCAACCTGAAATCTAATACGCAACAATGCTTTCCCGTGGCCCGCATTCGTTCGCTACGGCCACCCCTTATTCCAGAGACGGCCAGATTACGGTCGATCAACGATAATCGAATTACCTGTGCCTACGAAATATTCTAAATAAGGCGTCCGGCATGGTTTCCTACACGGATAACACTGATCTCTTATGTAAGAACGAACGAAGGGAAGAAAGAGAAACCAAATTTGCAATACGACTGAATTTAGACTGCATAAGGAATCAGACCTATGACAAATTTGATGCAAGAAATCTTATAGCTTTATAAAACATCCAAAAATAGCATATGGGGAAGGGGCGCCATTTTCCCAAGGGAAGCTTACTATACTCGATACTGTACAGAGTGAAACGAACCACCCTCCAAAGCGCTAATTCGATGCAACCACATGCAACTATGATCAAGAGCGAACTGGCCATCGACAGTTCAGGAAAATTCCCAGTGAACCGCTAGGAATTTGGGAGCTAATTAATTGTAATGTGATTTTCTGAAACGTATCTGCCAGTGTATAGCCTAAGTTTCATCGGTGGCAAGCCAGAAGGCGGCCGCATAGCGCAGCGTGCGCAGCGGGCGCAGACTTCTGGGATTTCGCAAGCGGCACTCTCGCCACTCCGGAGATAAAGAGAAATACCTGAGAAGGTGCAGGTGAGGTAAGGCGCAATGAGGCGGCGAGGGGGAGAGGAGGAGGAGGATAGCTTCTCTAGCTACGACCCAACACAAGAGAGTTGCAAACGAAAGAGCGAGAGAGTAATCGAACGGGAAGAGAGACGACGTAGAGCGTTCAACAGGAGAGAAGGCAGAGAACGGAATATGGGATCACCTAAGGTTAGGGTTCGCGATGCTGCGCCCACGTACCTATTGTCTCTAACTTTCGTGCGCTGCGGGAAAAAGGACGCGAGTTGCCTACGGTGCAACGCGCTGCACCACGTGCATCGTCGACCTCTTCTCGCCCTAGGATGCTCCGATATTCCATTTCCTTGAGAGACGGGGAAATTGCCGACGCTCGATTCGACAGAATTTAAAAAAAAATGATATATCTGGTGACTTCGTTCTTCAAGTATCTAGAAATGAATATCTATATAAAGTGAGAAATGACAAAGATATTTCGTGGAAGATGAATGGTAAGAAATGACAAAGATATTTCGTGGAAGATTTCGTGGAAATTTTCTCCAAAACTGAAATTTTTGTCGAAGAACCTATTGATTGATGACCATTAATTGTAATGTTACAAACAGGGGTGTGCGGGTACCCGAGCGTCGGATTGAGTCGGAGCGGGTAATAATTATTGGTACCCGATAAGTGTGTCTGCTAAACAAACCTTTGGGACCCTTACAAATCATACAGTTAGGCTGGGCTTCTTTTTAGTAAATAATAATAAGAATTTTGGTTTGCAAATTATCTTTGCAATCGGAAGAACAGGTTGACAGGTGTGTTGAGCAGATAACGTGTACGAACGAAGATAACACAAATTACATCAGCTGAAGATAGGCAGGATATTTCGGATTGTCGATTTCATGCTATTATAATCGCTGACCTACTGATGAATCAGTCTATCTCTTCTTTCCTTGTTATTGTATCATGGGCTGAGAACTTTTAATTATGACGTGTTGCTACGCCACTCATGGAACCAGCTGGAATCTGGTTTATAACGTTAGCCATCGTATTTAAAATATCGAATTCGTCACTGGCGCCAGGCAGAATTGATTAAATAATTACACAACAGTTCGATACCTTTTTATATTCGTGCTAATATTGTGACGTGATTCGAGAAAGCATACCTATTTTAATCTCTCAGAAACGTATGAGACTTCGGGTTTATTAAACCAGTATCACCTTTGCGGGATGGCAAGATTGGGCCACCTTCTAGGGAGGCGAACACCCAAGGGCGTCTTAAATCTAATTTCAGCTCGAAAATTAGATTTAAGACACCCAATTGTGGGGAGGAGGTTGGGATCGATATGCTAAAGCCACCCCTATATTAAACGTATACTGCAAACAAAATATTTGGTAAATTTGAGATAGATGCTTTGTCAGAAACAACAATGGATGGTAAATGAAGAGAGTGCAAGAAAATATTGGTGACTCTAGCCGGGTGGCGGCCACCAACGTCGTGCACGATTCCTCTCGACGGTTCCCACCTACCGTAGCCGCGCGATCCTCTGCTCTAAACGTATCACAGTTCTTTAACAATCGTCCCGAAGCAACGTGCTTGTAATTAGACACGATATTCGTGTCAAACGCGAGCTCGAAAGACTTTCACGAAAGACGAGAGGGTCAGAGCGTGGCACCGGTGTTTTGCAACTTGTCGCGATCATCCACTTTGATCTAATCAACAAGTGGTTCCTTTATTTTCCAATTATCCACACTTTACCTCACGCGATCATTGTTACACTACTGTATTTTACAAAATTTAATTGAATACCTTTAGTATTACGCCTTCTTAATTACTATTTTGATCCTACGGATGGCGGACCACGGAGAGAGACCCAATTTTCATATTATTTTCTTTTTATACACGTGGAAGGGGTGAAGATACGATTAGTTGACATTTAAATATTGCTACAGCTGTGTTACTCGATTTGAAGAAATATCAATTGATACGAATTGATCAATGTCGTACACTTTCGGTTTCTTCCTTTCAGTTGGAAATAATCGCGGCTCGATCTTGCGTCTGCCACGAACTCCGCCTATCATTGATAGGCCAGCGTGAATTTAAAGCGGTTCGAAGATTTTTGAAAGTATCATCGGTGACGCTATTCTATGAACCGTTAAGTGGTGAACGCTTATACACGATTGTTCGCCGGTGCTTCGATCCGCCCTCCGTTGTTCGGGCTCGATTCTTTAAACGATCTTATTGTTCGGTTTCGCTCGCGTGTTACTTTTACGAGAGAAAATAATGAACTCAGGCACACGTAGTTGCATCATCGGGGAATACGCTGCTAGCAGCGAGTAGAATTTTCTTTATTTTTCTTTTACGTGAATTCGACGGGGTTACGCGGCGTTTCGTAATCGGCGAACGGCAGCTTAATTTCGATTCTTTCGCGGGCGCAGCGTTAGAACGGTTGTTTCCGGGTGTGCTTCGTGCATCGTGGCTGAAATCGCGGATTCGTGATTCGTGACTGGATTCGCGGTTTGACTCCGTCGGTTATCTGGAATCTAATCAGTTAATTAAGCTTTTAACGGGATGGGCATCGCGCGGTTGAAAGCAAGGACGTCGTTAAGTCGTGAAAGCGGGGAACCGTTCTTAATCTAGATAAAATTATTCCTACCACTCGCGATCTCTCATAATCGTCTTGCGGTGAAACAAATTACGCTTGGCTCCTCTGTGCGCACAAACGTAGATTAAATGGCTGTTGAAAATACTTTCTCGCTTGATATTCGAGCAACAAGTCTGCGAGCAGTCATTTTAAACAGGAGCGAACGAGGACGACAATGAAAAACAGTGGAAATGATAAGATCACGATCGGCTTGAATCAACAGAGTTAAGTGCACTGAAACATGCTACTACTGAAAACATAAATAGTTGTAATATATGTCAAAGCCACGTGTTATTGATACCCGGGACATTTTATGAGTACAAAGAACTTGGCTTAGTTTACGAACTTGGGTCTACTTGCAGTTCAATTAGACTAAAAATTTTAGCACCGAATCAAAGAAATTCCTTAAATTTGATTCTCTTATTTCTGACGACACCATCGAAGACAAATGGACGTATACGTACATACGCTAATGATGCAAAGGGGGTTAAGGGTTAAAATCCTGAAACCTCAGGTCGTATTAATCCAACAAAATTAATCCTGTCTTTCGCTGATTGCGCAACAAATTTTCTTCGAGCAGGTTCCCATTCATCAAAGCGTAATGATCCGCAGATGGTGCCTTTTCCATCGATCTGCTCCTTACCCCCGATATTCCGTGCTCCTCTCTAATCGTTCACGCAGTAATCGTTTGTGTCCCACTTAACTTGGATAGCGTGGGATAGGCCCTTGGGAGATGATAATTACACGTCGCGGTGCGGGTCGACCTACGGGTATGCCGGCACGACCGTATCGTACCGTACGTTACGACCGTGCACTCTCACCGGTACTCTCTTGTCCTCGCCTCTGTCCCTCTCGCTCTTTTCATTTCTACCAGCTGTTCATCTCGTTCTGGTCCTGGGAGCCACGGCTTAAGGCGTTCGAAACCGTGCGGTACTCTCTGTACTATCATCGCCGGCCGTTCGTGTCCTCGCCGCGAGTAGTACCGGTAAGAGTATCAGGGGTCGAACGCGCTCTGCACCGGTGCGACCTCCGTATCGCGACTATCGCCGTGCCCTCGCGCGAGTAACGCCACGATTAGCGCGTATAATCGAGGCTCGGCAAAGCGTGTTGATCTCTTCTCGCCCGTTTCTCGCTTCATTCGGATACACGTTTTTAGGGATAACCGTGAACGAGGACTACTTTTCCCACGGTATATGTATATGGGCCCAAAATTGGGACTTATTTCTGAAAAGACACAATTTTCGTTTCGTGCGGTCATCATCAGGTTCCCCGAAGTTCTCGTAGATTCTCTACGTAGGTATAGGTGTATGTCACCCATCGCGTGACCATCAGCCAGGCGAGAAGGGTTTCGGCGCGATTTTGAGGCTCGTCAGGATTGACAACGACGCCCGGCGTCGTCGCACGGCATCGGCACGGTGAATTGGCTATAATATGATAATAGCAGTAAGGCACTCCCCACGGCAGGTCCTGTCTATATACGTTCGCCTTCGTCTTCGAAGTGAAAGGCGGGCGAGTCGCGGCGAGCACGCTAGTTTATGCCTGCGCTAAACCTATGCCTATGCCTGTGCCTTAGCTATGCCTGAGCTATGCCGGCACGGCACGGTTGCCGCAAGGACCCCGCCGCCCCTCGATGGGTCAGGGGTCGGCTCACCCACTCCCCTCCTGGCCCTTCACCTCCTGTCCTCCATCCTCTTACCTCTCTCAACTCTCGACTCTTACTCTCCGACCATGCTGATCTCTAGTCTTGTCTTTTCGCTCCTCTCCCGTTCGCCTTCTCTCTCCTTCTATGCCACATTTTTCCCTTCTTCGATACGCGTCTCTGTCTCTGTTCCACCGGTCGAGATGCAGCCTCGTTCGTTCCTGTGGAAAAGAACGGGCCAACAGGATCTAGCCTCGCGGACAGATGCGCGACTAGGTCGCCTCAGACCCACAACGGCAGATCCATTTCGACGATTATCCTCGACGCATCGACTGGCACGCACCTACTCGAGAAAGTTCCCCCCTTAAACTACCCAGTAGTTATCGATGATATTACAATCGGGACCGAGTCCACGGATTTTCGCAACTCGCTCGACGATTTTTCCTACTCGATCCTGCAGCTGCACGAGATACACCGGGAGCGTGTTCGCGGGACGAGCCAGTGCGTCTCTAGCATTCCTCCAACAGCTTACACGATCGTTCGTTATACGATGCATGTCGCCGAGATGCACCCTCGTACACGTGTTCCATACAGGGTACCGTGTGCATTCTTTTGTCTTGGAAAGCTTGATGAATTTTCATCACACTTAACACTGGGAAACTGAATACGTATATAAAGGGAAAAGTATCCTCCCACATAAATCTTATCGAGTCTTGACTTTTCCCGACTTGATTCAAACTTAAGGTACCCCTGACTTTTGGAAATCTGTGCAACTTTATGAATATCCACTTGCTCACTCGATGCATGCAATAACAATCATCAATGATACGTGGGTTTCGTGTCACTGGATATATAATAAAGCATAAATATTCGATGTTCGTCGATACAAGCAACGCGGACGAATACTAGGATCAATAGATCAAGGAGAGGAGCACGGAACGGCTGGATAAGATAGATGGCGTCGGTTCGAGTAAAAGCGCGTTATAACTGCGGGGAATAAATATTGGAGTAGGTACACGGGCGGTATTACCATACAATACGCATACCGCGTAGAGTGATTTCGCGGGCCACGCAAGGGTGCGACGCTCGATGCTGTTGCTCTTAGAGCCGTTTCTGCACACGCTCGGTCTCGTGCCGTCAACTCTCTCTCTTTCTTCGTTTAATCGCCATTAATCACCGCGATCTTCCACCCAGTCCCACGCAAGCAGCCTCGCGAACACGATATCGAAATACCGGAGAATAGCTCTTACCCCGGGAACGAGCTTACCGTGAAACGCCAGTCTGTGTTTCTGTTTAGGCTTTGAAATTCTTCCTCCGTGAAGAGAAATTATTCAGCTGCCACCTTGGTACCGTGTGCACGCTCAATTAGGTCATTTCGTGGACATAGATCCGCTTAGAGAAATATTTAATTAACATTTGGTTACATCGTTGCTTCTGCATTAATCAAATTTGTATATAATAGGGACGTGTTAACATTGTCACGAAACGTGTCCCGACGTCCCAATGTTCTCCTATCTGAATATGTATCTTGTCAAGCGAACGACAGAAAAAAGTGATCGACATAATATCGGGACTATAGAGAAGCTGACGAAATCGCATTTCTCCCTGGTCCATTTGCGACAGCGTACAAGATACCAGATAGAATTGATAGCGAGCGTAAATGGTACTATATCACGATTTTAACACTTTTCTATATCGGAAAGCCAACTGGAGAGACATAAACTTCCTGGTATCGCCCGATAAATCACAATCTTTTTTTTTCTCTTCAAAAGCGTGTCGTTGAGGTGAAAATATTCGATTCATTTTTCATTGTTTCCACGGAGTTTTAGTTCGGTTCGCTGTTCGAAGCAAAAGCAGCAGTTTCTCCTACGCTTCTCATCGCGAGTCCTCGATCGCAGTTCTCTCCTTTTCTCCGGAATTAGGTATCCTCGGCGAACGGTGCACGACCTCGCTGTCCTGCACGTATAGGTCGTTTCACCTGTCACCTGCACAGAAAGAGAGAGGACGATCGCTTCGGGCGACGAAGGAAAGGACGCGCAGACGCCAAGATCGACCGGAATCGGGGTACCTGGATCCTGCTGAACATAATCACCTTCGTGAAAGAAATTCAATTGATGATTCGTTGAGATGAATTTTTAATAGTCATTTACCAGTGATAGCGGACGCAGATAGGTAGGCAGAGGCGTCGAGGAGGTGTGGTAGTTCTTGAGAAACCGGACCTTGCTGACTTTGGAGTTTTATGATTTTAAAAGTTTGAAGGCTTAGAATTTTCGAAGCTTAGAATCGTGGAATTTTAGAATCTTAGAATTTTAAAAGGGAGCTCAGTCCACATTTTTGGGGTGTCAAGCTCACCCTCAAATAATCATTCTTGTCCGTATCATTCTGAAAACCCAAACGTGGAATAATGTATTGCAGTCCAACGTACGAGGATGTAAACAATGATTTTCCTATATCTCCGGATCAGACAGATGGATACGTGAACGGTGGTTGATTAACAATCAACTGCTCGAATGAATTTCCCTGCTCGTCCCATTAGATTCTAATCCCTTCGTTTAAAGATTATCTTCCGTCGTAATTAGAGAGGCGAAAGTGGTGGGTACGATCGTCCTCGTAAACGCATAATTACCGCGTGTCTCTGTGTCGGCACGATCAGAAGCCGGTGCACACGAGGAGGAATCTCTTACGATTACTTAATGCAAGTAATTGGCAAGTGCAGCAATAAGTAATATTACTTAACGTAAGTAAATCCGACGGCTGCCGCTTTGAACTATTTGCGACACGAACCTTCGAAACGTTGTTTTATATACGTTAAATCGATAAACGTTGACATGCCGCTTGCGAAACGGTAGACGTTTGCTCCGTACAGTCCACTGGTACAGTGGCGTGTACGATATTGCGTGTCGTACTTGTTCAGAGGAAGGGTTATGGTATTTAATCCTTAATCAAATTTGATAGCGATACTGTTAAGTTTCAATTAAAAAAGAATCACATCAAGGTCTGCAATTACTCTAGAAAAATTCTAAGACAATCATGGATCTATCGCGACCGGTAGATAAAGCTTACAGAGACAATGACAAACCGCACGCAGGAGTCACAATGCGGATAGCAGGAAGTAGATACGGAATCTATAAAAAATCCTCAGCCCGTTAACTATTCCTGACCAAGGCCAAGCCGAGCTGTTAACGACATCGCAGGCTCGGCCAAGCGTTGCTCGCTGCCGCGGTTCGGCATTAGTCATCCGTCAAATGCGATGAAACCCGTATTACGTGCATCTGCGAGTCACAAACAGATCTCATCTTGTCTGTCATCTGGCATCCTCTTCTATTTCACTCCAACGTCTGTTACCATAAACCTACATACATATCTACAATTTCACGCAACCGCTTTAACAGGCTTTCTTGCCCGTTTTCCCCTTGTAGTCGTACGGCGACCGGTCGCGGATCCTTTTGTTCTCCAGATGATCGAACGCAGGGACGATAGTCTCGAGAGAGGATCGTAAATCAGCGAAATTACACAGTGGCGTAACGGAAACTTAAAGCCTTCCTTCGGTCAAAACCAGCATGTATACACAAGCTAACTTAACTTAGCCTACGGTTTTAGCTTGTGAAAGCTTCTGACCTCCCCTTAACCTCCATAGAAAAGCGGACATAAATAATGTAAAAAATGATGACTAAATTTGTCTTACGTAAACAGTTAATAAATCAATAATGATCGGATGTTAATCTTCCTGTCCGGAATGCAAGTACATATTCCGAACGGTGTCGGGTTTCGAAACACCGAACCGAGGAGCCAGTAGAACATCCACGTTACAGAGCGAACAACGCTGGCTTCCTTACCCATTCAGCTTCCAGGATCGGGAAATCGGATCGGTGTTAACGGTACCGAGGCTCGCGTTAACGATAAATCCTCCGCATCCTTGTGATCCAAGATTTTTCCTCGGGCAACCGGCAGTTTCTCGGACCGTTGACCCATCTAAACAAGGAGCAGGCTCCTCTTGAATTCTCGTCGTCTACCGATGTCCACCGCGGACATAAACAATCCAGGTACATGCCGTGGAAGATCCTGAACGTTGGTAGATCGAGAGAAGTGTTGTAGTTGGTCGGTGCAGGGAGCCATGCAAAAGACGACACCGAAAAACTATAGGAGAAAGTACCTGTGTGTCTTCGAAGGCTGAAGGGGGACGACCTTCTCGCGATCCTCCGGCATCGTGTCCAACCGCCTCTTTCTCTTTCCTTATCCCCCTCTTCTATACCTCACCGATTCCTTCCTTTCTCTCCCTCTTTGCCGCCCCCTTTTCATTACTCTCCTCACCTGACCGTTGCGAGCCTAAGCAACCGACGCATGGTGTTCTAAAACCTCGAAAAATTCAAAATTTCAAATTTTTACGGGGTCGCATCTTCCACCCTCCTGTTGGCGAAGGATGGGACCAGGTGAGTCGAAGAAGGTATAAGCCCATAGGTGACCCCGCGAATGACCTCGTGACTCGACGTCGATTCTCTTTATATGGCGCCATAATCGTGACCGCGCCGGGAAGCTCCTAACTGTGAATAGAAAATTCACGATACGTTGAACGTTACCTGAAGAGACCGGGAATCGAGATCTGTTGCGGGTTAAAAGCTTCGGGGTCGAGCGCGAAGTCGCTCGGCAGAGGTGACTACGGCCGTAATGAACAATCGATGTCGCGATTTCAATCGGATATTTGTCTTCCAGGATCGTCGAGCGATAGCGTAGGCGGTACGTTTTAAGGACGACTTCCTTCTTCGGGTTTCACCTCGCTTCGATTGTCTGGTGTGGGTAAATCTACCGGGAGCACGAGAAAACTAACCGAAGAGCACTTGCAGCTGAATATTTTCAATACGAGATTAGGAGGTACTTTTATGAAAAGTTGGTAATTAGGATTTCACTGTGGCCGTTTTCACCACGGTAGTGAAGTTTAAATGAAACCTTTTGAAGATGTCTGACAACATTACCTAAAAGATGTCGATGGACTTAATGATTGATAGGAAAGAGCATCAAGGAAGCTGTCATTGATGCATAGAAGGAAGTCAGCAGAGACGCATTGATTAGTGTCGATGGAGAGAAACGATAGTTCCTCCAATCACCCTATTCTGTTAGAAAATCTAATCACTTCAATGAGGAAGAAAAGCCAAAATGAATTTGTCCTTAATGATCTGGTTACCTAAAGCTCCTAATTAGCAGTGATGTAATTAGGCAGAGACCAGCATGGGCCTGGCCTCCCTGAAGTGTACAACCCTTACAAAATTCCAAAATTCCAAATTCCAAAATCTCTAAGGAACCTGGCCTACCTTGAAAACAATTCTGATTAGTCCAATGTTAATAAGAAACAAAAGCGTGATTAATTGAATTCAACGTTTAGCCATTTGTAAAGATTAGCTCATACAAGATATTATTTAAATTCTAAACCTCGTTTTACTAACGAATTCGAGGCTCGTGTCTCTTTCGAGTGGTCGGAGCTGACCAAGGATGGTCTTGGTCTCCGACGCTCTCTCATTAGCATAACAACGCGGAAACGCGGCGGCACGCGGTGGATGCACGCACGAAAGCCGACGTCCCCGTCTTCGTAACTCATCCAGGAGGGTTCTGCGTGCAATCATCGCATTTCGAATCGATCATCGGTGTCGATAGCTCGTAACGTGCCGCGACAACGCGAATAACAGTTGTCTCCTCGCGTCTCGAGGATGTCGAGCGCATCTCGGATTCCCGCGAAGAAAGTACAGCATCCTCGACGAGCCTCGAGCGTCCGAGCTATTCAAATCAGCCATGAATCCTAGTCGAATCGTTCTCAACATTATCTCGTCAGCATTCAACAGGAAGAACAACATTTTTCAACCACTTGTTGGGTTCCTTTTTTAATGAATTATGACTCAGATCGAGGCGACGAATTAAACAGGCATTTGGCTGTTACCTTGCAATTAAATCATCCTCTAGAAAAGTGAGGCCGAAGAAGCGGGACGAAGGAGGCTGGGTTGAAATAAAAATGAAAAGAAACGGACAGATGGTCGCGTGGAGAAAGAGAGAAAAGGTGTGGGCGCAGGAGAGACGACGAATACATTACGTACGGAGGAGAGAGTCGTTTCGAATCGTGTGCCGGGTCTCGATCGTCCTCCTCCGTGAAGCCGACCGCTCGCTTTCCCTTTCACACGCGGCGCTAATCGCCCATCGTTCTCTGATCTATCAGGTGGGAGGAGGAGAGAGAAAGAGAAACGGGACCAGACGAAGAGGAGAGATAAACGGGCCAGGGGGGAGGAAGAGAGAGACGAACAGACAGGAAGAGCAGGAGACATAGAGGAAAAGAAACAGGTAGACGAAGAGAAGACACCAAAGGAGCATCCTGGTCCGAAGAGACGACAGCGAACGACAGGGTTTTGGAAGCGAAAAAGAAGAAGACTACCGTGTATAGCCTTCCCTGGATACGTGTAACTTTCTTCCTCCAACGGTCCTCGAGTATTGTGTCCGACGAATTTATGCAGGCACCGTACAGAGAAATCGAAATAAATTGCGGCTAAAGAGGATCGAGCTGAGACCCGATCGCAAATTGCGAGATGATTTTAATTGGGGAAATTTTGAATCACCCTGACGCACGATAACGTAGGCGTTAGTTTCAATTACTTCAAGCGTCCGCAAACAGGTTGATATGTGAACGTGTTTGCAGAACATATGGAGAAGATTTTTGATTAAAAATTAGATAAGCAGTCGAAGCGAGATTTGGGTTCGATCAGGCAAATAAATGGAAAGTTTCAGCAGAATTCTGAAACTTTCGGTTTTTACAGGAAACATTTGAAATTTCGAAAATAGAAATGAGAATGCTGAATTAAATTAAATTATTCAGCTAAACTTTATTTTGAGGGCACAGAATTATTAATTTTTCTATTTGTCATTTTGATCGATTTTGGTGTGCAGAATCTAAAAAAATGCAAGTCTTAATTTTACTTTGGATAAAAGTGTATGCACTGCATTTCTGAAGTTAGAAATTACATTCCTAAATTCTACTCATCAAAAGCTATTAAATGGTAAATGAAAAGATGAACGATTTTGTGTTCCCTAAAGTAAAGTTGATCCATGGATCAATTGTTTCTCCAAATTTTCAACAGTTTCCCTGCAGCGTTTTCCTCTGCGATTCGAGCAGCCGCTCGAGTTGCGTATATTATACACACAATGCTCCACGTGCGGTTCCGTTAAAAGGCTGCCCGCCCACGCGGTTTGTCGCACGCTCGAAACGACTCGGAGGAAATATCAGAGTCCCGGTGAAAATGAAAGTACCGCGGCTGGCTGCGTTAACCCATTATTGACCGGCGATCAGCAGCACCGTTCGACGTGCCGCTTTATTAGCATTTTCATTCACGGGCACACAAGGATAGACGGAATTAAACGTCGATTTACGAGCAAGGGGGAGGGAACCTCGTGGAAAAATTACAAGGATAACAAGTATACGTTTGTGCGTGTATTATAGTTTAACGGGACGCGTGTAGCGCTACCGATTGCTGATTGAAAAAAAAAAGAAAAAGAACGCTCACGTGTCGATTGAATTGTGGAGTGCAACCGGTAACGGTGCAACGACTCACTATTTCTTCGTTCCAGCTAAGCGCTGTCTTAGGGAGTCCATCGAGCATGCAATTAAATGCATTTTTGCCTGTTTCCAAATGGTAATTAGATCGATTATTTCGCGTGACAATCGGACAATTGTATCCACCTTACTCTTGATACTATTCACGGGGCATACACACCTGGGAAGCATAGAAACAGCTCTATCTTTATCAATTTTTCAGGAACAAAGTGAGACATTTTTTTAAATTTCTTTCTGGCGATATTAAAGAGCAGGCAAAATTTCATACAGAAAGATAATAAAAAATATTCATTCTATAATTAATTTTAGAAGGTTCCATCTTTTTTTGCCATGTTTATAGGCATTTTTAGAGGAGACCATTTTATAGCGAATTGCTGTAATAAAAATTCAAATGCGACATTATGCAACAGTTGGATGATGGAACAGTTCATCCGCCTCTGAGATACGATTTCTTCGAATCGAACGTATCATAAACAATAATTATACCGCCCGTTGCATCTTACCTGTAAGAAAAACACACCTCGACCGCGATGATGAGTTCTTCCTTCCTTTTTATTATTCCCAATCTTCGAAAGGTGAACGTTCACGTTTCATAAATAGTGTAAAAACGTGCGTAAACTTTGGTTGCACGAATATCCGCAGGACACTCTCCTTTCGTCGTGTAACCCGACGTGTGTACAGTTGCGTAATACCGCCTGTATAAACCTCTCACCCTCGCCTGCTTCTTCCTGACTACGGTAGAGGAGAACCCATAACAGCAACCGGTTCCTCCTTCTCCTTGTTTGTCCTTTTTTTTTTTCACGACTCCTTCTCCGTTCACATCCTTCGTTACCTGAAGAGAACTGCTCGCGAAATTCGTTCTCGAGGCTGAGCGATGCATGTTTCGCGATCATCCTTGAAACAGCGACAGTTAATGGTGAAATTTATCTTTCGACTGGTAGCCCACGAGGTCAAGACGAGCCACCTTGTTCTTTCGACAATTCTGATCGATTAATTTTCGACACAATTTGGACGCTTCAGTTTCTTATTGCACTAATTAAAGGGTGGAATGTTTACCCCTTTCGGTCTTTTTGGATGTTGAAAAAAATATTCTTCTGGTACAAAATATCGTTCATAATTGTCATAAGAACTCCTCTGCAAAATTGAAACGAGTTTTCATCATAGGGGGACCGATTACCACTAGAGGGGTCGAAAGGGTTAAACGAATATCTGACACGCTTTCTAGGAAGAATTGGATAAATATTGGTCCATTATTTAATAATCGATCGGTAGAAATAATATCCTGTGATTAATGTACACCTTCGAACAGACGAGGTGATTCGAATGGAAACAAATTAATTACACGGTTGAAGATTTAAGATTAGATAACGTTTAAGTAATTGCGTTCTTTTGAAGAGTCCGCTGGGGTAATTCAAAAGTGCACGCCGAGTTTCAATAGAAAGTTCAATAAAATATGTCCCATCCACTTTATTAATTGAGGCCAAATTGATCCAACAGAAATTACGCAACACGCATTTCACCCCAACCGGTCGAGGGGTTAATACGTAACGCGGAGAATCTTTATTCATTGTAACACTACGCGGTTGCATTATAATCGTGAAATGTAAAATTCAACAAGAAGGCTCGTTGTTAGAAAGCTAGGAAGTCTTTGCAAGATTTACACGGGACAAATCATCGAATCGCATTTGAATGTTCGCATGGAAACGGGCTCCTCTTCCGAAGGAAGTTTATCACGAACAACTTTCTAAAAATGAAGAGAAAAAGAAATAATCAAAAATCGCTAGCCAGTCCTTCGAAATCTCCTTGGATCGAGAGGCAGGATTCGAAGATGACCACGTGCAAACTAGAAGTAAGCTGGATTTTCAAAGAGCACGCCGTTAACCCGTCACCCGCTGCGTTTTACGCAACGATCGATTACCTGAATCCTTAAAGGGGGAAAAAAAATATTAATTGATCTCTCTGCGATTCCATCGTAACGGGAAGTCTATGGACGAGAGTGAAAAGCGATATCCATGGAGGGATGCGACGAGAGAGTGGTTCACTGGCATCCAAGCTTTTCCACCGAGAGCGCATTACACGGGAGAAAGGTCATCCCGCAATCTAATAAAAAATTATCCGCCGTATTGCTCCGTTATACGGTACAATGATCTTCAGCGGCACAAAGCGGTGGCTAATTAAAGAAAATGAGTAAATAATTCGTGTCGATGAAAACAAGCCATCGGAGAAGAAATCGTCCGGTGACTGTCATAACTAGAAAACTACCCCTAAAATATTTTTCATTTTATATATCAAGTAAGAATTAACCATTGAAAGAGTTGCATATAGTGGAAGAACAATTTATAAAGGAACAGTGTCAAATTAGGAAATGAAAGTAATATGAAAATTGGGTCACTCCTCATGGTCCGCCGTCCAAGGGATAAGGATTAAACCAAGCCAGACGGTGCATATTCATGAATGATTGAATATCTGCTTTCTCGATTTCCTTGAGGTTTGAAGGGTCCTAAATCTACTACATGCCACCGGCATGTCACTAGAGCATGCCGAGGCAAACAACTTTTTTCTGGTAACCGAAACTCGTCGGATGTTCTCGCTATCTCGTGACACCGGTCGTTTTGATAGTCGCGACAACCTTCGCCCACGACGTCTTCACCGGAAGATTCCGGCTTACGTATCGCTGGACTATCCTAGATCAACGCATCGCTCCTGGCAATCCAGAAATTGAAACTCGATTAATCGCGATAACGCATTAAAACGAAGTCCAACCGGTGGCATTTCGAAATACTGAATTACGGTCAGTCTTCACCGAGGACACTGTTCACTTAACCTTGCACAAGCTGGCGAATTTAATTCGACTATCTTTTCTGACTATAAAAAATTATAAAGAAGCAGCTATCTGTTCTTTTTTTAACGATGGAAATTCCAGGTAAAAGATCTCGTCGATTAAAGATTCAACACTGAATAATGGAACAGCCTGTTCCTCGTCGATACACGCCAGTGTTTAACGTGTATCCGAGTTGTAGGGAACTGCCTAGTTGCGGCTGAATTGTCGGCAAAGAGTTCGCCTGGTTTGCGAACCGATCGAACGACCTTATCCTTCTCTCTTGCCTCTTCCAGATCATTGCTCGTTTCACAGGTGGCCGACACGATACTGGCGTGTTTCGTCACGTGTCGAAGCGAGCTCGTCTTACGGGTGATTAACTGGGGCGACGTCGACTCATGCTCACGCCTCCGCTCCGGCACGCGTGCACCAGTCACCAGGTCCGCCTGTCGGAGGCAAGAGGGACGGGGCTGCTGGAGGCGGAGGGGGCTGGCGGGGTAGCTCGAGTGATGCATGAATGAAGGTTGCAGAGGTGGTGGAGTCGAGAACGGAAGAGAGGCAGAACGACATCCCTCGACACAAGTGCCTCATCTTTTTCCGTTACGTCGTTCTTCCATTCTATCCATCCTTCTTTTCATCCCTCCGTCGCTTCGTCCTCGTCTGACCCACTTGCCTCTCCCTCTGTCCGTCGGTGACCCACGCGCATGTACGGGGATTACGATAGCGCAACCGGTACACGATGACGTAGTTGTGTTACAGTTCCAGAAGATGCGAGTTAATTAGCATTATTTCCAGATCGATTGCTCATCGAGTAGCCGAGGATTTCCGCGTTCGCTCGATCACGCATCTGTGCGTCAATCCGGTTGGTCCGTTGACGGACGAGCATTCGATTGACAAGCGGGAATGAATAATTGCGAGTCCTATCTCCTCGGATAATTGAGCAGCGTTTACGTAGCGAGAAACACATAGTATGGTTAATCATGATTTATCTGAGAACGGGGACGAGTTTCGTTTAAGATGATACTCGTCTCTGATTGGAAGCAGAAAGTCCCATCAGGATGATGAATTGCGTGGGAAAGGAAGAGACGGTGCTGTAAATGTACACGATGTAGCCGTATGCAACTGAACGATGGTTCAGACAGGTTACAAAACCGAAAGCAATTTATAGGGATTCATAGGGGATACTAGCTTATCACTCTTTAGTTAAAAAACTATACCGTGCAGAAGTTGTTATGACGGTATCAGCTCTGAGAATGCCCCAACAGTATCGGCGACTGCACTTCGGGGATGCTCGACGCAATCAGCCAAGAGCCACCTGTTCCATTACGTCATCGAACTACTTAAATGATTTATCTATCAGGCATCAATCGAAATATCAGACGCCGAAAGAGGGGGGTTAACAAACGACATAACCCGACCAACTTTATTTCCATCCATCACTCTGCAGAATCCCGTTTTATCCGCGCTTCATCGATAATTCAAAAGCGGTTATCGGTGTCAGCCAGTGGCTCATCGCCATCGGTAGATTTCGCGAAACGAACGGAAGCGAGCCAAGAAAGAGACGGGTGTTGAAGAGAGAAATCGGTAGAGATGAAAATAAACTCGAAGAGTGATAAAGACAGTTCGGAAAAGACAGAAACGTTCGAAAAACAGTGATTGTCGTTTTCCTTATGGAAGCATTATGCTGGGTTCATACTCCTGTTTCTGAGCAATGTGTGCCAGTTGTTTGGACACACTTTTTGCGGCATAACAGGCACCGACAGTGGTCCAAAAGTACCATCGTGGCTGCGGGTTAAGGGAAAGCAAACGTGGCCCAAGAATAGCAACGCGTATGCGGCATAGGAGGCAGCGTCAGTGGTCCACTGCCGCGTGCAGCAAACACTGCTCGCTTACGAAGCGATGCATCAGAGGAGCTATTCGCGAGTAGTACGATAAATGGCAGTGTGGACATGGCCTAAGAAGAAAGCAACGGTGGTCCGCGTGCCGCCGTTGTTGGGTCGGGTCGGGTTGGTTTGGATCGAGCGATACGCGGGGTTGGTTAGCCGGGATGGAGGGAGACGGGTGGATCGGTAGGTGGTGTGTTGACGTCACTGTAGCGGCATCGTCAGTCGCGTGGGCCAATAGCGACGCTTACTCAGAGCCAGGTCCATCGATCCGACGGCTGCTGTCGTGTGTATCCCCGGGTTATGACGTCCGTGGGTGACGTCATCGTTAGCGCCGTTCGCCGTTCTCCGCCGCCGCCACCGCCGTCGCTACACACGCTACGGTTTTAATATAGCGGAGGAACGCGCGCGATCCGGACTCAGTTACGCGGCGGCCGGCCACCCGTGCGAGAGCGTATCGCTTTCTTGCAAAACGTGTCCGTGCTGTTTTCTTTCTTCACTCTCTCTTTCTTATCTCCGAGGCTTATTATTCTCTTTCCTCTATCTTTCTCTGCTCTCTTCTTCCAGTAACGCACGTTCGTCGTATGTAAAAAGGAAAAAAGGAAATATAGAGTCCGGTGTCAGCGTTCTCGTTTCACCGTACTCACCTGTGCAAGTCGATCGGTAAACGTGAAACGCGTATCAAGTGAGAATTAAAAAAAAGCAGGGGATTACACACGCAAAGCAAGGAAGAAAAGGTGTTGCAGCCAAGGACGTTTGTGTTTGAGTTTCGCGTGACCAACTTGAAGAGAGGGAGAGGCGCAACTGGCACGTTCGAACGCGCGTGGTTTCCGCGTGCGGGACTCTTGCGGTGTGTCTCGTGCTACGTTTCCGACAGCTTCCCGCTGAAATCGTCATCTTTAAACCGCAAAAACGAAACCGCGGGAAACAGGCAGATTTCGTAATCGAACAGGTGGACATTGTGCAGCGATCGATGCTGAAGTATTCGACGATATATCTGGAGAACATCGCGACGGTAACAGTGAAAACGATGTCGCCCGTTGTGACGGAGGAACGATAATCTGGACGATCGTGAAGGACATAATACGGAATTCTGCATGCGAGTACCCTGGACAGAAGTGTTCGGGCCGTTCGGTGGAGCGCTCACCTCCGATAACGTAGTCCGGAAGGATCCGTCTAGCCCGACGACCACGCAGACAGGTTGGTGATACACGTGTGTCATCACTGTTTTCTTGATCCATGTGTTGTGGGTGAGTTGTGTGTGTGCTGCTTGCGGCTGGATCACGTAGAGCACGAGTACTTGTTCCGTTTCTTGTCCCGCTTCTCATTTTCATTCGCGTCTGTAATCACACCGATCGTCGAGGAATTTCCACGTTCCGTTCGCCGGGTACCGTTTGCGAACCGTGAGAATCATCGGCCATCGATTTTCGTCGACACGATCCTCTCGATATTCGCATTCCACTTTCACTTTCATTCATCGTTCATCGCCTCTCTTCTCGTTCCTCGATAATCGCAGAACTAAATAGAAACTGCCTTTAACCATCGCATCGTTGACATGAGAATAATCAAATCGCTGACTCGGTTCCTTGATTCGTGTTAAGGTCAAATTCGGACCCCTGACCCACGTGTAACTTTTTCGACACTCGCTTTTCTACGAGTAGTCTTCCGATCGAGCACGTGCGCGCGTGCGCCGCGTACGAAGAGGCGAGAAGCTGGCCGAAGAAGGTGTCAAAGGTAGAAGGAAAAAGTGCGAGATCGTTGGTACCGTAGGATGGTCGCGATCGACGCGGCCATCGATCGTCCGCACGCCGGGTACATTTAAGAGACGCTGTTCGGTGAATGAAACGTGTAAAAAGGAGGCGCGATAGTGCTGATCGTACGTGCGATGCGTACCGTGGAGGATACAGCCACGGAAGCAGCCACCGTTCGTGCTGCGACCACCCATCAGCGCACCGCAACTGGCCGCCATTTAATCGACGATCATGATCACGATCAACGAGATCGATCGACGACGATCCATTTACCGAGTACACCGTACCACCAGGTCACCATCGCGGCGGACACCAACAACAATCATGATCATCATCGGAACTTCGAGCACCAAGGGGTGCAACGCCACGATCACTGGAATAAGTGTAAGTCGATAGTCAAACAATCAGAATGAAAGACCTTGGGACCGTCCTACGTTTAGTTTATCCTTCTCCACGAAGGAAGGTACACGCTCGTTGATGACTGACGGACTGTGGTTGAAAGGTGGTGGTGGTGGTGGTGATGGTGGTGGCGATGGTCGCATCGATGACGATCATTGATTACGAAGACGGATCGACGAGAAGAATATTTCTAAATTGCTTTCTGAAGAATCCTTCTTCGATATTTCTTTTCAAGTAAATTGTTTTCAATCATTTCATCTACCTCTCCGCAGTCAACAGGAATTGAATGGCGAAGCGAAAGACGATTGAAACTAACGAAAACTTCGATGTTCATTCATAACTATTTCTATTCATCACGCTTTATTTTGATCATCACCATCATCATCCTCCATCTTCCAAATCCTGCCGTTTTACGAGGACAGCGGTGGCGCGGATCTACCGACTGACTCTAAGTTCGATCGGTTATAGCTGACGAGCCTAGAAGTACTTTTTACAGGTGTAATTGGCACGTTAAGGTAAATATAGTCTGGCAGTCGGCCGAGTGCAAGACAGGCGTTTCTTTTCCGCGTACATACTTGGCCCGCACGAGACCTGGCCGCGCAGGAAAGAAGAGAGCGCAAGAACGAACAAATATAACCGCGCGTGGAGCGTGGTGCAGGTGCGGTCACCGCGCCGCGGGTACCGCTGCATTGTGCTCGAGCGGTGGTTGAATCGCGCTAAACCGATTGTCAGGTACGCGAGAGTAACGGCCGTGACAATGTAAGGTAAATCAATGCTTACTACTTCCGAGCGTTAAACGCGATTACCCGTTTCGAAGTTCACCCTCCCTCGGTAATAGGTCCGTTACGAGCATGTAATTGCGATATATGTACGCAAGTTTCACAAGGCTAGGGAAAAATAACCGCGACAGCGAGTAGGGAGAACGTTTGATAAACATATCGATCGAGAAATCTAATCAGTCGAGGTGACAGCTTCTCGTTCCATGATAAAGTGAGACGGGGGCTTTCGAGAACGGTTTCCTCCATGGAAAATCGTTGCTTTAACGCGTAAAGCCTGCGACACGTGTCGTTGCAACAGTGTACGTTAATAGGCCTCGAGTATAAACGCGAGTGGTCGGCTCGCACGGCTAGCTGCTGCTGTTGCTTCAGCGTGCAAGTAGTTAAGCGCAATCAGACTCAGACATTAGCGAGACGCGCATCGGAGGCCGTCTGAGCTGGCACGTCTCTAACTACTTAATTCTTTTTAAACACGCGTACGCGCGCTCCTACTTTCCTTCTCTGACTCGATCCGTGCGCGCCACGGCACGCTATAATTATAATTATTCAGAATGCAATCATTGTTTCTTTTTCAATTTTTTTTTCAATTTTTGGAATTTAATTAAATTCGCGATGCCGGTCACGGATGACCCAGCGACATTCGTATTGATCAATCAATTAACTGGCAAGTAAATACATTTTATTAAATGTAATTTAATTTATTACGAATAATTAACACGTTCGTTAATGTATAATAAGAAAACGGCGACCATGGAGGTCTTTTTTCGTCTCAATCTTCTTCGATTGAACGATGAATTAATTATTACTCGTTTGGAAGGGGAAATGTATTATGTTCATCCACGAAGGAAACGATCGAAGTAATCGAAAGGAATAGATAAATGACGAAGAAGAAAGTAATCCAGATCGTTCGTGGAACCATCAAATTGGATAGTATTTTGACGGCGAGTGCCCGTGGAACGGCAGCGCTTCCTAGAGGCCAATTGCATTGTTTTACTGGGCAAACTAAATATACGTGCGAGGCGGGCGATCCGTGGCTGCTTGGCTGGGACACAAAGGGGATTAAAGAGACGACGAAGGCATCGGGCATCACGTGCCGTTACACTTTTCACGTTTTCGGCGTGCTAGGACGATGTTTCTATATCTATGACTCGAAAATGCAATTTCTTGCGGGTGGGGTAATTACTCGAGTGGGGTGATATTTGCTGGACGAGGCTTGAATTTTCAGGTAATTTCTTTTCCTTCGTGTTAGAGAAATATCTAACCATAAGACAAAAGTCACTTACAACCATAGCCAGGGCATCGACATTGAAAGTTTCCGTCGAAGAAGTTAGACGATGACAAGTAGCTGTTCGATTCCGGTGATAAGTTTTTCATGAGCTTGCGGCTGGCGGGGCGGCAATAGGCCCTTGTTTCCGGGCACGCGATCAGGAAGCGACCGGAAGCGGAGGTGTAGTAACGAGGATGGAAAGACACGGCACCCCAGGTCCCGTCGATTCATATTGCATAAATGCTATGCCGCTTCTTCAATTATGTAATCGTTACTTCGGCGCGATTCGTGCAAAATACGAGACTTTCATCGAGCTCGGCCAACACGTTTCCAGCGGTTCGTGGGAAGGAAAGAGGGAACCGGCGATAATTATAATTAATCGAAACCGATACTCGTCGATAAACATCGATCGTTAAGCGTACGGTAATTTCCTCGTTGCGTAACAACGAATTACTCGTATGCGAAAAGGGGAAAAATTAAAAAAGACGGACGAGCATTTTCGAACGGCAAAACGGTCAATAATCGAAAGGGATAGAACGGTAAGAAAATATCATTGTCACGACGGTTTTCTCCTCTCTCGTCGAGCAAGAGAAGCTGATTACCTCGACAGAGAACGTGTTCTCCTGTGAGAAAGAGAGATTACTCGAGCTCTGAGTAATGAGATTGTGACTCGCATAATGACTGTAGGATCGATAAGTGACGTTGATGCATATGAACGCGCGTGCCAACGGTGAAAGGGTCAGTAGTCAGACGGTGGCGCTATAAATACCGGGAGGACTCGATTCGTTGTGTTTTAGCACGCTTGATTAACAGTAGCTCGATAATGATCGCGGCTTCGAAAGACAGGCAAAGAAACGAAAGAAAATCGGTGAACAAAGCAGAGAGAGGTGAAAAAATAAATACAGAGACGGAATGAAGATAAAAAAAAAAGAAAGGATAATTACCAACGGCGTATGCAACGCGTGTAACGTTCAACGGTGGTGGCCGCATGCTCGACAGGTTTATGGTAATTCGGGCGAACCGAGCAAAAAGTGTGTAACGCGACCGGCTGACGCACGGCCTTGTTTCACCTGAAATAGATTTCACCGCGCGGAAGCGTATTCCGCGCGAGTTTTCACGCCGCTCGGTAATTTCTCGCTGCTGTTTACCGATCGATCGCCGTATCGGTGTAATCAATTCGTTTGTCCCTTGCTTTCTCTATAGAAAAATTTGGGTGCGAGTCCAACACCCGAGTTGCTATTCGGCTCCCGAAATTACAGGTACTAGTACACACCTGTTCTATTTTCTTCAACTACAAACCTTGACTGCAGTGACAAAGAAAGGTGTCTTGAAATCCAACGAACCATAGAAAACGTTAGACGCAATCCGTCGTGTAATTTGCATACTCTAGTGTTTCTCGAATCGATTAAGCAAACGAGAAGCCAGATGGTCGTGAAAGAATATCCAACGACTAGGAAAGTTGCACGAGTATTCCCTCGCGATGGCTGGTTCATTCAAACTTGACGCACGACACGGGTTTCGCGCGCAAGCTCTGTGGCGTCGCGACGCTACCGTTCCGTCCTTCTCTCTTCCTCCCTTTGCGCCGTTAAACACTGACGTCACTACGCCGCCCCCGTCCGTCATCGACCGACCGACGGCATAACGACGTCACGCGTACCGCCAAGGACGACGCTATTTCGGGCGTTATGCATCGCCGTCCTCGTCGTCGTCTTCGCCACCTCCTTCGACGTTCTCGTTGTCGTCGTTGGCGACCGATGCCGTCGATATCGTTTCGCTCGCCCTTTCAGTTCCACCACGAGATTTCCTCTTTTCGCGTCACCGCACGTTCGCGCGGAATCACGCTGCCCCGCGTTTTCCTTACCCTCCGCTCGAAACGATGACGCGGTGAACGCGTTTAAAGTGTTGGCTGCCGGAGCCGGTTCCAAGAAGTTTCGAGTGTTTACGAAAGTTTCGGAGCAGTGCGAACGGGCCCGGACATGAAGTCGGTGTCGAAGTTTTCGCGCCTGTCACGGGACGAGTGCCACGCCGACTCTCTGTTCATCCATTTAGCGTCGCAGGGATATCCGGTCTGGTTGAAATGAGGTAACGAGAGGGTTACTATCGATCTGACGTTTATTTCGAACTGCTTTTTTCCCTTATCGATTGCGAACACCGTTTCTACGCCAGCTGAGTGGTATTGGTCATTTGGGGTTCGTTCGAAACTATAGAGTATGGTACACTCGCGATCAAATCGGGCTTTCCTTGGAAAAATCACGATGTCCTGGGTTCTCGACCTTTCCTGAGAAAACGAGACGATGTATTGGCCCTATCATTCGCGTGTAAGCGTTTACGCGGGAAAATTGACATTTATTTATTTTTCATATTTCGTTATATTATTTAAATTAAAGTTCAATTTCTCTTTTTGGAAAGAGAAAATCCAAATATCATCCTTGATGATTAAAGTAAAAATTTCTGAAAAAATTGGATTTCCCTGAAAAGGGAAAGCATCGCTATGTACGAAGATATTCATAAGGAGTGGCGCATTCTGTTCGCGACCTTGCGGGAGGCGGGCGTCACGTGGCGTCGGTAATTTTTGCGGAGGTGTCACGGGCGCATCGTCGCGCAATCGTTTCCCGGAAAATGCCGTCGAAAACAGCGGGGAAATTTGACGAAAGGTAGGAGCGGAGACGTGGAACTTACTACCACGGGATCAAACTAGCAGTTCGCTCGCGTAATAGTCGGCGTGGCAGTGGCTAAATTTAATGCGCGCGAATACGGCGAGGCTCGAGATTTAGCCCGTCGGGGCTGGGTTCCGCGTGACGTTGCCGTGGGTTAAAACGACCAGGGACGCGGAGGAGACGAAAGGCGAACGGTGAACGATGCCAAAACAGACCCGTGACGAGCGTGCATCGCGAGCGTGCTTTGACGCGAGCTTTTTGCACCGACTCGAAACGTAAATACCGGTCCGATGCCAGTCTTTGGTGAATGACCGGTCGGTGGAAAAGAAACTTCTATCAACAGCACCCTGTTAAAAGCTCTTTTTAAGAATTCAATCAAGAGCCTTTGAGAAATGACCAATTAGGAGATTATTAATTGGAGATTAGAACATTCGAATGATGGATGGGCATTAGTGGCAATTAGATTATCTGGAATATTTATTATCCTCCAGTTTTCATAACTGGATTCTTAAGAATACATTACGATGCAAATGTTGATCCATTATTGACACTTTGATCCGCCTCGAAGCGAGTTCTCTGTGATGTCATCGAGCAGAAATGTAGGAACTGTCAAGGGGAAAGGTGGAAAGGTTGCTGTGTCTCGAAGCACATTAACCACTGTGTACCTTTGGGAAAAAGGGGAAAAAGTAATTCTCAAAATTTTAATTTTTAAGACTCTATCTGTATGGACCCATCTCCTCTATAACAGTAATTTTCTTTGGGCAGCCCACGATGACCAACACTGTACGTTTCGGTCGCCCTGAATGCTAAAGAAAATCGGAACGTGTGTTAGGTAGTGGGTGCCACCGACGAAGCGGCTTGTATCGATTCAACGCAGTAATCTGGTTGGCTTAACGAACCTTTGAATCAAATATTTTTCCTCGGCCAGTTGAAATCTGAGATTTCAGACCGATCGTCAGACTTTAATGCAGTTGAATACTCAATGAAACGGCTGGTCTCTGGATACCAGAATAATTCCTCTCACTAATAAGGGTATCTTTTAATTCCTCCATTTGTTTCCAACCGGTTCGACCCAGTTTCTCAGCTAAAATTCATACTTTTAATTTCAATATTAGTTAAAAAAGAATTGAATCGTTAATGTTTCTTCCACGATGCATAAACAGCGGTTCGTGTATCGTTAAAACGAAGAAAGAAGTATCTCTTATCCTGACCTCGCTGGAGAATGCTGTGACAGTTACTTGAAATGTTGTCTATTAGCAACTATGTCCACTAATGAATTCCTACGCTTTTCCAACCTGTCTCCCCCGCGTCTGATTTATCGATGACTATCCTACCGGCAATGATCGAGTCTCGATAATCGCTCTTACCAAGTTCACTGAAATATGCTCGAACGATCTCGCGGCACGAACCGAATCCCCTGGGACAAGTCAAGGACGACGAAAACATTGTGGCAAAAGCGCGGATCGAGTAATCAAAATCAATCAGGCATCAAGATAAAACTGGCCCGTGAAAACACGGGCTAGCCTTGAACAGTCTCGGATTTCAATTCGTTCCGCTGTCCAAATTTCCCGTCAACCATGAAACCCTACTCGTGCCTGCCTTTGAACGCGCTCGAAATATCCCTGATCGAAGGATCGAGTAAATTATTTGAAACGGTACCACGTCAGAGACAGTCGAAAGAAACCTGCACGTCTCTTTGAAGCGACGGAAATGGAGGGTGATAAAGCGTATCGAAAGGGGCCACCTGATTTTCCGCCCCTGAGCGTCCGATGGGGTGGGCGTCGATCGATGAACGGAACTGCGGTACAACAATGACGTCATCGACGACGTCGCAGTATGACGTCACTGGATCAGAGGGCGGTTGAAGGTGGGAGAGGCGAGGGGTGGAAAGCAGCTGTGCAAAGGTGGAGCGGGATTGCGCCGATGAGGGACGCGAGTTTCTCCTCTGTGTGTTGACGACCCACACCGGAGGGTGCAAGGGTGGTTTGTTCGTGTACGTGTGCGAACGAGTCTGTTTAACGGGGGCAAGCAAGGCCGCCGATTAAAGGGGATAGACCGGTGCGATATTGAACGTCGGATTTTAACAGGTGGAAACCTAAGGGGTGGTTTTATTCTACCAACACTCAATGCTGTTCTTCTTGCATTTCTGACGATCCAAGGGATGAACAGGTTAGGGTAGGGGTAAATTAAATTTCGAAGGCTGATTAAATGGTAGAAATTCATCTGGAATGGCCTCGTGTTGGATTCTTTCACAATGAATCGCAAACTCCGCTGCCTAGAGTCGAATGCACTTTATCAGATGCATTGTCGTTCTGCTTCCTAGCTCGCGGACCGTACGTCTAGTCGCTTGATTTGCAACTTTGATCAGATTAATTTCGTGGAATCGCGTCACGTGTCCTAATTTACGAACCGACCGATTTCTGCTTTCATACGCTTTCGCGGACCAACCAGAGTTAGATATCTCTCGGTTCAACGCCGATGAATTAGCGTTCGCTAACACTTCGCTTGACCTTTTCTCTCGGAATGACCACGCGGAGGGAACCAACGAGCAGTCGTTCTCACCCCGTAATCTCTCGACGCAACGCACAATTTGCAAACATTAACATTAACGACGGAGGTGGTGGTCGGCGCAGGTTGCGGCCGATGCACGTCTTCGTCCGTCACGGCGAAGAAAATCCGCCTGGACGAGCGAGGGAGAGGCACGAATTGGCTTTACGAGCTCGCCGTCCTTGAGGCCTCGAGGCCCAACGGGGTCTCTCGATCCGTCCTGAGTCGGTCACAGTCGTTCGGTATGCGGACCTCGATCTAAGCGACTAAATCACTCGTTTGCCTGTTGCACGCTACTCGTGTACGAACGAATCCTCGTTAACTTACAGCGTTCAGGATTCCAGGATCGTCCGATTCCAGGATCCCTCTTACAAGCCCCATAGTTCGCGACGACATGCAAATCGACGGACTGCCGAATCGCGTGTCGATTTTTCGGTGAACCGAACGAAAATTTCTCTTCTCGCTCGATCAAATTTGAAAATCATTTTCTGATAGGTAACTTGCCCCCTAAAGTGCACTTCGTGCAATAAATTGCAGCACAAAAGCCCTTTTAGCCTGCTGTGTCTTGGTTCAAAATCGATAAGAACCATTGACAGGGAATAAATGGACCGCGAAAGCCCTTTGAGGGGCAAAGTTCTTTGTTAAGGATTCGGTGCAAAACATCGACCATTTTGTTTTTTGCATAAATTCAAGAAATGCATATGTGCATTAAAGGGTCGCGTTAATGACGTTTCGTTGAATGCATATAGTTCTACTAACATGATAATAACGTGCGATAAGTTTGAACAACCTGTACTTTTTTACTCGTTGAGTTGTTAATACATTGCTATGAATTATGATATGGAATAGCTTGAAATTAAGCGTGGGCGACTTACAGAACTTGCGTGCATGTTCAACAAGACGGGGAAGAAAATAAACGATTCCTTAATTTAGAAGCGGGTCTGAATTAAATTCGGTAGTTCCTAATTTGTTCTTAGACCTTTCTCCACTTTCCGCCCACAATTCTGCTTTCATTCAACACGTAATTTAGAAAGAAATAAACGTTCATACGCAAGTAATGGGGGTGCCATTGACCTATATATAAGACCTGCTTCGTTACCCTGTCATTTTCCCCCGGGACGCCTACGGGGAATCTTGATTTGCTCGCGAATATGTTTTTCACATGAGCTTATATCACCATGAACAGAATCATTCTATGCGCATCGTCCAATTTATTTCATATTTATATATGTCGAGTATTTTCTTATTCTGATACAACCAGTTTGCCCATCATCCAGCAGATTATTCCGTCGTGTTTTCGCGATGATTTATGATGCACCGTTTCGATTCGATCGCACATTCGTATTTACATCTAATTATGCACTCTGGATGCACGCTCGCCCGAAGCGAGCATTACCGAAGTGTATTGCACACGCGTGTCCGTCGATGCGAGGGTAAAGTGATTAACACTTGCCTCGAACTTCCAGTTCGCTCTCCAGTCATTAGCAGTCATCTCGGGGATAATTAGTCGCGGCTTGGTAGATGATCCTGTTCGATTGTTGTGACTCTCGCGAGTCTACAACATCGTGTTTCCAATCGTTAACAACACCGAGGACGTGCATTGTTTTTTAACGGTGCTGGTACCTCGCAATGTCAGTTCCGTGAAATATACGCTTCTCGAAACGGGAACTAATTAGTTTACGCTCGTTTCGGTGCATAGAGGACGTCCATAATTAACGCGGACGTGTAAGCGTAATTAATTTATGCCGATATCGAAAACTCCAAGTCGCGTTACTTTCCGTTCATGAACCGGTCTTCGATGATTGAAAGTCGTCGACGATATTTAAGGACGTATTTTAATTCGGTTTCCCCTTGGAAAATCAGCAGGGCATCGTGAAA